TACTACTAGCAGACTTCGACTTCATATTGCAGTATCGACCAGGAGACAAAGGTGGTGAGCCCGATGCTCTCACCAGAAGGACAGACATGCAACCAGCCGGTGAAGAGCAGGATCACAATGTGAGGCAACTACTGCCTCCTCGAGTGTTCAAGGAGACAGCAGACCATGACTCGCTCCTAGTGGCCCCCATGATCTCGATGGAGTCCATAGCATCAAAAGGTCTCAAAGACCTGGTCAAGATCTTCCAGCCTTTAGACCAAGAGCTACAGGAGATACATAGGAAGAAGCCTTTCGAACTCAAGGATGACCTATGGTACAGTGGAGGAAGGTTGGTTATCCCCAAGGTGATCATGCCAGGGAGGACCAACAACCGACACTCAAGGAGTGCCAAAGAGGTAGATGGACAGTCTCTCTCTGTAGAGCATCTGCGATTCATGGTGATGACCCAATGCCATGATGGTATCACTGCTGGACACGTAGGAAGAGATGCTACCATCAAGGCAGCTCAACGACATTACTGGTGGCCAAACATGACAGCTTGGATTGCAGACTATGTAGCAAGTTGTCCTGTATGTGCTAGGTACAAAGCTCCTCGTCATCGTCCATATGGTTTGCTACAGCCACTAGCAACCCCAGACAGGCCCTGGGGCTCCATATCCCTCGACTTCATTGAAGGACTACCACCATCAAAGAAGTATGACTCCAAGACCTATGACTCTATCCTAGTCATCGTCGACAGGTTAACCAAGTTTGCCATACTAGCTCCAACCCATAAGACAGTCACAGCCAAACAGACTGCAGTATTGCTATATGGACACATGGTTAGACTCTTCGGATACCCAGATCACATGGTCTCGGACCGAGGCAGGCAGTTCATATCAGGAGCATGGAAGGCATTTGCAGAGCAAATGGGTGTGAAGCACTCACTTAGCACGGCCTACCATCCTCAAACTGATGGTCAGACAGAGAGAGTCAATCAGGTCATAGAGCAATATCTCAGGATGTACTGCAACTATGAGCAGAATGACTGGGCCAACCTGCTGGACACTGCGGCCTTTGTATATAACAACACGGTCCACAACAGCATTGGTGTCTCACCATTCTTTGCATGCTATGGATGGAACCCCAAAGCTCATCCTGACATCCCTCAACGACTAGGAGTCAATGATCCAGGTCGCTTCGAGTACCTCATGGATGGAAAGGAGCGTTGCAAGTACCTCCAGGAGCAGATCAGAGAGGCACAACGTAGATCAGTAAACCAGTATAACAGGAAGCACAAGGACATCGAGTTTAAAGTGGGTGATATGGTCTATATCAACCGACGAAACTGGAAGACAAGGAGACCCACACCCAAGTTAGACACCCGGTTCGCAGGACCCTACCCAGTTCAGGAACGGGTAGGACGCCGAGCTTATCGAATCACATTGCCAGCAAACCTTAGGGTGCATGATGTGTTCCATGTCTCCATGCTCGAGCCAGCAAGAACAAGTTCTCTTCCTCAACGTGCTGAACAGCCCACCATACCATCACTTCCAGATGAGGACCTCGATTTCGAAGTCGAAGCACTCATCGACAAGCGTTCACACAATGGGACTACGGAGTACAAGGTGTTGTGGAGAGGGTACTCAGAGGAAGCTGCTTCATGGGAACCAGTAGAGAACCTCAACTGTCCCGACCTCATCCAGGAGTATGAGGTGTCGGAGGGGGGACGAGTGAGTAGACAGAGTGGAGAGAGGAGGAGAGAACAGGAGGAGTAGAGAGAGGAAGAGGAAGGAGGATGACGTTGAGAGAAGGAGGAAGGATGATGTTGGCGATGTTGTCAAGGAGGAGGAGTCAGCATGAACCAGACCAGAGCATGCCTCGACGGAGCTCGGCTCTTAAGAGGGGGGTAGTGTCATGGGCCTGGATGCTCAAGAAGCAGGAGGGTCATGGGTTCATATGGAAGGAGCACAGGTATCGAAGACCTAGTCGACACCAGTAGAGAGCATGGTCGTAGTGCAGTCTCCATGGAGACCATGGACTCCTATGGACTCACATGCAAAGGAGGGCCAAGCACGACCACGAAGAGGACCAAGCTCAAGGAGCATGCAGATGGTTACCACTCAGGGGCTCGAGAGACAAGAGCCAAAGGAACTGTCACTGATCAAAGGAGGAGGAGCAGTGTCGAAGGAGTCGACACCAGGTCATGAGGAAGAGGAGCAGTGTCGACAAGAGGCACAGGGGTGTCAAGCAGGAGAGGCCCCTGAGCAGTACTCGATGAAGAAGGTACTCTCTGGAGAGAGAACAGGAGCAGCATCGCTGGCAATGCTGTGAAGAGGTATATAACCATGCTTTCTCATCATCATAGGTCGAGTGGATCCCCATCCACTCTACTCACCATAACTAGTTATCACTTCAGCATAAGTATACATTAGTTTCAGTCAGCATAGCAGCAATCTATCAAGGTTGCTCCTCATCGTAGTGTGTGTGTTGTATCACCACTACCTGACGTCCGAAGGCACCTATAGCAGGTTAGCGGTCCGGATATAGATAGAACCGAAGGCAGTAGTCCACTGCGGTCCGGGGATCACTTCAAGCATCAAGTCAACACACTGGACACTCGTGTTGACGCCACCAACCTTATCACCAACACCATCAACCTCATTATCATCGACATCACCAATCCCATCACCAACACCATCAACCTCATCATCATCAACACTCACACCAGACCTTGGTGTCATCCTAACATTGATATCGATCGTGCCGAGCTACCCCTGAACGGAGTGTCCACAGAGGTCAGCCGAAACCTACGATAGTATATACAACGAACGCCACCTGCTGTCACTGCACAACTTGATAGTCACCGATACCGAGACAATAGCTGTCACACAGTTTGATAGTCACCGAGTATCTCGACGGACCGACCTGGGTTTCAGGCGCGAGACCCCTGACAGTTGGCTGACTTGCTGAGGCATGCTGATCCAGCTGATCCTGATTGATCCTCATGAGATTAACCTGGAACCCAGAGTTCAGTTGATCTTGTAAATCATATGTGCTACCAGCCCAATTAGCTTTGTCAATTCCCAATGATTTGGTGCTGATCAATTTGGTGCACCCTTCATACATTGATCTGCTGACCCTGTGATGTTACCATGAATGCTGTCAGTCAATTTGGCACACCCTTCATATGCTGGCCTGCTGGCCCTGTGACACAATGTCAATATCAATTACACAGTCTTGGAGAGAAGAAGCAGAGCTTTCAGATGATATCAGACAGTGTGGTGATATGACATATGGCTATTGAGCATTGGAGTGATGTGTGGTGACATCTAAAATTGTGGGACAGTTTACTCACAAGCTGTATATTGAGCTGATGGTTCTAGGCTCTCACCAGGTTTGACCAGTCAATTGAGTATAAGTATTTCTGCCCTAAAATAGCAGCAGTACTGTGCTCCAACTATCGCCGATCGTTGATCATTGGCACCTGTCCTTCTCACATTTCTTTAGTTAGAACATCGCTCGCTGTCTTCTAAGCTGTTGCCATTTGCAGAAGGTCAGGTCATCTTCCATGACAGCCTGCGCAGTTTCCAACGTGGCCTTCCAGATGACATCGAGCCTTGCAACTTCAAAGACGAGAAGCACAGAGCATTTCCAGCTCGAAAGAAAGAACAAGCAATGCCGATATCACCACTGATCGGGAAGATCACAGAGAGAGAGAGAAAGTGATCTGAAATACGGGAGGAAATGAACAGGATTTGGTGACAGCAGAAAGCGGCAAGCTTGAATGCTCTGTGTGTGCGAAATTGTATTTGCTCCGAGTGGTGAAGGAGCAATTTTGTTTCACTGAATCGTGATTCTTCTATTCAGCGGAAGCAGCAATTTCGTTTTCTTGAATACAAAATATGATTGGCAGTAGCGTGTAGCCAGGAAACGGACGTGTGGGCAAGCAAGGGCAGCCAGTCATTTTTTGCACAGAACAACGCTCAGAGCAAGCAGCAGCGGAAGCCCAACACTCAGGCAGGCAGATGTGAGAGAGAGAGAGAGAGAGAGTAGAACTTTTGGCTGCGGGATCAAGGCTTGTGACTTTCGCAGAGTCGCTCTCAATTTGGTCGTCCGTCGACAGCTCAACGCCTTTCATTCGTGGCCTATCGACATTACTCGACCTTCTTCCTTCTCTCCATCAATCCCTCCTCACCCTTCGCCTCACCCTCCTTTCCTTCACCCTTCTCGTACTTGGTATACGTCAGCATTGCCCGGCACACAGCGATACGACATTCTCTTGGAATATTTGCGTTGCGCAGTCTGGCATTGATTGCACCTAGCGATTCGCATCTACTTAGCTATACAACTCAACGGAATTCTTCTCGGTACCTGCTTAGCATCAGATCTCGACGTTTGTAGTCTCCACCTAGACTAGCGGTGTACAGTCGACCTCTTGTGTTTCGACTTTGGCTCTGTGCCCTGCAAACCGATTCTGGCAATCAAAGCGACGTGCAAACCTGGACTAGCTCCAACCATCTTTTCTTGCTCTTCAGGCTTCAGCTCTCGTCGACCTATCTCGACGAACATATCGCCAGCTTTCGATACGACACCGACTCGATCGAAGCTGTTGTACCTATCACGGATCGCATCACTGCTTGGCTGGAGCCGACACAAGCTTGACAGTGTGCTGCTTGGAGACTCGACCAAGCTGCACCACCGAACTAGACTGGCTGACGTCAATCGGCTCCACATCCTCTGTGCGCCGTCTAAGTTGAAGGGTCTCAGCATCAAACGCCGAGGTCATCAAACGATTCCGGCACTGCAACCTCACACGACGATTGGCAAGTTCAACAAAGCCAGCTTTTCTACGGCGACATCTCTTAATCAACTTAGGCTAGCTTGAGCAACCGCTCTCGACTAGGGCTTCTAGATAAGCCTCGCATTGTAGCAGCAGCTTTCACAACCAGTCTTCGCTTCTTCCACCGCTTCTGACATCGCTGAACCAACGCGGGCCGAGCGCCAGGGCGGGCCCAAATATGTTCAATGGCTCCGCTCCTCCAAATGGAGGCGGCGGCGATGCCAACAATCTGGCCGCTAACCCAGGCATCGTCAAGGTCGTCTTGGAAGCGTTGCAGAGCAATGGTTCCAAACCCGTCGTCAGCCTCGAGCAGCATGCATTGCTCCTCGAGACGCTGCTCTCTGACGCGGTGCCCAGCACTCCCGTCCTTCACCCGGCACAGCGTCAACGTCTCTTTAATGCCATCGCAGACAAGGTTGGCGCAGATGCTACTGCCGATGCTGTGCGTCAAGCGCTGCCCAAGCTTAAGCTCAAGCCCGAGAAGAATGTCGCTGATCTGCTGATCGAGCTCGGTGTCAAGAGCCTCCCCACCGTCGACACCGCCCTCGCTGTTTTGCAGCGCTTCGGTTTAACTGAGGCAAACCCACCAGAGGATCGCATCGTCTCCGAGATCCTCGCCATCCTACTTTCAGTCGATCCGGCCATCTTCGAAAGCGATCGCGTCACCAACTTTGCCAACCTCGTCCGAGCGCTCGCTTCCATCAAGCAGCAACTCTCCTGGCCCCGCATTGTTCGCGGTCTGGATGAGCTTGATGGCTTCAACCTTTCCTTCCATGGACACATGGCCGGTATGGCTGAGGTGCTGCTTCATGCTCCCGTGCAGAGTCAGGGGCAGGTCTCGGCTGTCTCAGGTCTTTGGGGCCCTTGGATGCACCGCCTCAGACAGCTACAGATCTTCCACGGTCTTCTCGCCCTCGGCTCCGAAAGGTTCAGCTTTGCCTCGCTTCCAGGAAGACACATACTTACCTCGGAGCAGGTCAACGAGGCTCCCAACAGTGTTCGTGAACTCGCCAGCAACCAGCTGGTGCCCAGCCCGTACAACTCGCTCGATCTTGTCGAGACTCTCATCGAGATCTCTGCTTCTGACGATCAAGGTATACGCTCTGCTGTACAAGAAGTGCTCGAGCAGGCTGTCAAGTCGTGTCCTGAGCTCATCTTGCTCGGACTTGTGCAGATCCCTCAGCCTTGGAACGCCGTACACGCCGAGCTCGCCTCCCAGCTGCTCACCCTGTTCATGACGCCTCACAACAGCAGTCTTCTCGTCTTTCACCGCATCTGGAAGACACAGGGCGAGTACCTGCTCAACGCCTTCCGCAACTTCTACCTCGAGAACCAGCTCAACCTCACTCGCATTGTCGACGTCGCTCAGAGTCTTGGCATCGTAGATGATCTCGTTGAAGCCCGACCTTTTGCCTTCGCTCTCGATGTTGCCGCCTTGGTTTCTCGACGTGAGGCTATTGACCTCGACGCTTGGCTGCAGGACAACATCAACCGCCACGGCAGCGACTTCATCCGTGCCGCCCTCGAGTTCCTTGACATCAAGGCCAAGGACGACCTTGCCAAGCCCGACCCGCACGCCGAACAGAGCTTCGTTCCGCTTACCGTACAGAACGTCGCCAGCTTCCTCAAAGCGCTCCGATCGAACGGCGAGAGCATGAGTGCGGAGGAGATCGATTTCTTCAAGGGAGTTCGCAACGTCTGCCTTCAGCTCCACCCTCGTCTCATGAACCTCGCTCCCGGTGCCGAAGGTCAGGAGCCAGGTCTGCAGGTCGTCACCTTCTCGCAGGACATTCACGAGGAAGCCGACTCCTGGTACCGACAGATGTACGAAGGCAAGATCAGCATCGAAGATATTGTGGTGCTGCTGCAGCGCACCAAGGCATCCGACAACGTGCGAGACCATCAGACCTTTGCTTGCATGGTGCACACCCTCTTCGACGAGTACCGCTGGTTCGAGATGTACTATCCTCCACGCGAGCTCGAGATGACAGCCGTCGTATTCGGCTCGCTCATTCAGTACCAGTTGATCGACTACATCCCCCTCGGCATTGCCATTCGCTATGTTCTCGACGCTTTGCGAAACCCACCGGACTCGAACATGTTCAAGTTCGGTCTGCAGGCTTTGTTGCGCTTCCAGAACCGCTTGTCTGAATGGCCTCAGCTTTGCCAAGCACTTCTGTCCATGCCTCACCTCCAGCAATCGTATCCCAACATCATCCGTCTTGTCAAGATGGCTCTTGCCGGCCAGCTACCGGGCGCAGATGTCGGGATGCCCGGAGGACAGTCGCTTGAGGACAAGAAGGTCCCCTTCCCTGCGATCCGCCCTGATCCTCTTCCTCAAGACGGCGAACAGCGCGATCCCAACGAAGATGTGACCGACAAGGTCCTCTTCCTCGTCAACAACCTTTCACCCGTCAACCTTGACTCCAAGCTCGGTGACGCCCGTCAACTCATTACAGCCGACACCTACCGCTGGTTCTCCAACTACTTGGTCCTACAACGTATCAGCATTGAGCCTAACAATCATGGCCTCTACGCTCAGTTCCTCGATGGTTTGGAGGCCAAAGGTCTCATGACCTACATCCTGCACGAGACGCTCTCCAAGTGTCAGATGCTGCTCAACAGTGACAAGACTGTTCAGTCGACGCAGGAGCGCAATCTGCTCAAGAACCTGGGTTCATGGCTCGGAAGCCTCACTCTGGCCCGGGACAAGCCCATCCGTCACCGCAACATCGTCTTCAAAGATCTCCTCATCCAAGGCTATGACAGCAACCGACTCATTGTAGCCATTCCCTTCGTCTGCAAGGTCATGGAGCAGTGTGCCAAGTCCAACGTCTTCAAGCCGCCCAACCCGTGGCTCATGGCGGTGCTGCGCCTCATGGTCGAGCTCTACCAATTTGCAGAGCTCAAACTCAATCTGAAGTTCGAAATCGAAGTCCTCTTCAAGGGTCTCGATGTCGAACTCAAGGATGTGCCTCCCACCACCATCCTCCACAACCGACCCAGTGCCGAGCTGCTGCAACAGCAACACCAGCAACAACACCAGCAGCAGCAGTCTTCGGGTCAACTCCAGCATCTCAGCCAACAGCAACAACACCAGGCCGCTGTACAGATGCAGCTGCAGCAGCAACGTCAGCATCAGCAACAGCTCTCTCAGCAACCTGCCACCGGCATTGCCCAGGGTCTCGAACGCCTCTCGATTGCCGGCGGATATGGCGCTGCAGCCGATGGTCGCATGGCTCCTCAGTCGCAGAAGGCCAGCGCGGCTGCAGCTGCCGTTGCCGCAGCTGGATCGGGCGCTCAGCCTGGCCAGTCGGCCGCCGCTGTCACTGCCTACACCGAGACGCTCGTCTCCATGCTCCAGAGCCTGCCGCAGTACGTGGTCATCAACCCGCAGTTCACCATGTTCAGCAACAATGCAGCTTTCAAGAGGCTCATCTACGTCGCCATTGACCGCGCTATCCGCGAGATCATCGCGCCTGTCGTCGAGCGATCTGTCACGATTGCTTCCATCTCGACCCGCGAACTGGTCACCAAGGACTTTGCAATGGAGGGTGACGAAGAGAAAATGCAAGCCTCGGCTCATCAAATGGCCCAGAACCTTGCCGGCAGCCTCGCTTTGGTTACCTGCAAGGAGCCTCTGCGCATCAGCATGATCGCCAACGCCCGCACTTTGCTCCTCGCCAACGGCTTCACCGAGCAGAATTTGCCTGAACAGGCAATCATGGTCATCATGCAGGAGAACCTCGACCTGGCTTGCTCCGTCATCGAGAAGGCAGCCATGGACAAGGCTGTGCCCGAAGTTGACGAAGGCCTCACCAACGCATACTCGAGCCGACGCGAGCACCGCACCCGTGGTCGTGGCTATTACTGGGACAGCGCCGCTTTGGCTGCCTCGCAGTACGCCGCCACCCTGCCAGACATGCTTCGTCTACGCCCCGATGGTCTCTTGCCCGCCCAGCTTCGTGTTTACGATGGCTTCAGCCGTCGCATGTCTCCTGGAGCTGATGCTGATCGAGATACCCCTGCATCGGTTCATGCATCGTCGGTCTCCGGACGCTCTGAGGCTGGTTACCCTGACACTCCTGCATCCGCTGCGGGCATCGTCGGAGCCGGTGCCATTGGTGCAGCCACTCTGCAGCAGGCTGGTGCCAACATCCCTGCTGGTCTGCTTCCCATCGCTGCTGGTGGAACTCTCAGCGCTCAGCAGTCGCTCGAGAAGTTCTCGCAGGGCATGGCCGAGCTTGAACGCTTGCTTGAAGCTGCTGACCAGGACGCTGGTCTCAGCGAGTTGCCTCAGGATCACGAGATCCAACATGCTCTCCGCCTCATCCCCATGGTTGTAGCTCAGTCCAGCAGCCGTGACGAGACCGCTCTGGCCTTCTCGCAGAAAGTCGTACAGCTGCTTTTCAAGATCGACTCGAAGCTCGGTCGCGAAGTCTACGTTGTTTTGCTCGATCGACTTTGCGAGATCTCGCTCAAGGCGGCTCGCGAGGTGTCTGCTTGGCTCATTTATGCCGAGGACGAGCGCAAGTTCAACGTTCCTGTCACCGTGTCTCTCGTGCGCGCTGGTCTGGTTAACATCGCCGAACTCGATGTTCAGCTGGCCAAGCTGATCCTGCGTGACTTCCGTGGCAGCGTGATCGACTTTTCTGCGCAGCTCGCCCTCGAGTGTCTGCAGGAGCCTGCATGTGCTACTCGTCAGCAGCTCAGCAACACCGTTGAAGCTCTTCAGCGTGCTGACCAGCGAGGCAAGGCCACTGAGGCTTCGAAGCGTTTCTTGCACGACCTCGAGAGTGGATTGCTCAAGAGCAAGGTCGATGTAGGCAACACGGCTCTGCGTGAGCAGCTTGCCTACTGCTTTGCCGAATGGGCTCGTCTCTTCCAACACTCGCCCAATCCGGAAAAGTCGTTCATCGACTACGTCACGCAGCTGCAGACCCAGGGCATCCTCAAGGGCGAGGACATCTCGTCGATGTTCTTCCGCGTCTGCACTGAAGTCAGTGTCGACAGCTACATCAAGCAGAAGGCTGTGGGCGGCTCGCCTGCCACTGGCATCTTTTCGCCGATTGACGCCTTCTCGCGTCTGATTGTGCTCATGATCAAGTATCACGCCGACCCGACTGGTGCCAACAACGAACAGGCCAAGGTACACTATCTCACCAAGATCCTTTCAATTGTTGTGCTGGTGCTCGCACAGTCGCACGAAGAGCTTGGTATTCACTTCCAGCAGAAGCCCTTCTTCCGACTATTCTCGAGCTTGCTGCACGATCTGCACGCTACCGAGTCAAATTTGGGTCCCGCCTATACGCAGGCCCTTCTGGCTATCAGCAACACGCTCAACACGCTGCAGCCTTCGTTCTTCCCGTGCTTCACTTTCTCGTGGATGTCGTTGGTCTCGCATCGCCTGTTCATGCCCAAGCTGCTTCAGGCGAACCAGCGTGAAGGATGGGGTGCATTCCACCGCCTCTTCGCATCATTGCTGCGATTCATGTCGCCTTTGCTCCACAATGCCGAATTGCAAGACACGTCGCGACAGCTGTACCGCGGTACTCTGCGTATCCTGTTGATCTTGCTGCACGACTTCCCCGAGTTCCTGTGCGACTATCACCAGAGTCTTTGCGACTTGGTGCCTGCTTCGTGCATCCAGCTGCGCAACTTGATCTTGAGCGCCTTCCCGCGCAACAGGCGCTTGCTGGATCCGTTCAGCCCCAACTTGCAGATGAGCTTGTTGCCCGAAGTTGGACAGCCTCCTCACATTGCTTCGGACTACATGGCTGCGCTCAACCAGGTTCAAGGTCTACGAGGTGCCATTGACGCTCACTTTGAGCAGGGACGAGGTGGCGAGTTGTCCGAGCAATTGCTAAGTGTTCTGAGGCAGACTACTACAGGCAACAGCAACAGTAACAGCAACAGCAGCAACAAGGACGACGCAGCCGCATCCGCAAGCAACGGTGCATCTTGGCTCTCAGGAAGCGGAATCAACGTAGCTGTGATCAACTCTTTGGTGCTCTACCTCGGTGTTCGATCTATTGAATCTCGACGCAGTGGCAACGAGGACAACGGTGCAGCAGTCCTTCGTTGGCTCGTGACCGAATCCGAGCCAGAGGCTAGATTCTTGGTTATCACCGCAGCAGCCAACCAGCTTCGATTCCCTTCGAGCCACACCGTTTACTTCTCCTCTGCCATCCTCCAGCTTTTCGGTGAAAGCGAAGACGAGCTTGTCCGCGAGCAAATCGTCCGTGTTCTTCTGGAAAGACTCATCATCAACCGTCCTCACCCATGGGGATTGCTGGTGACATTTATGGAGTTGATGAAGACCCAACGTCACCGTATCCCGCGTGCACCGGATGAGATCCAACTGTTGTTGAACAACATCTCCAACGCTCTGACGGCCAGCAGCAGTGGTGGTATGGCAGGTGGAGCAGAAGAGCAACAGCAGCACGCGCATATGAACGGCCACGCCGGATTCTTGCCTCCTCACTTGATGTCTCAGCAGCAACAGCAGGCGTAAATTTTTCACATTGTCACATTATTTGTTTTCTTTCTTGGATTCCCATTCATAACCATTCTCATTCTGTAACATCATCTCCAATCTGGTCTCGCTCAATCGTATCTTATTTCATCGTTCGTCCTTGGTTGGCAGTGGCCCGTGAAGTTGAGGTTTAAGTCGATGTGTGGTTCTAAGCGTGCATGCTGTGGTTGTTCGATGTTCATGCACGTCAAAAAAAGGAAGCAAGACTGTACGAGGCCCCTTTCTTGAAACAAGGGGTGGTACTGAAGAAGGAAAAGTGTTGGTGTGTTGTTTTGTGAGTGAGAAAAGGGTACACCTAGCTGCATGGTTTGCATGCTAAGCTTAGCCTCGCCTTGTCTTGCCTTTTTCTTCTTTCACTTCATCTGCTTGTGCAAGTGCAGAGAGTGATAGGCGGGCATCCTACGTCTGTCGTGCATTGTGCATCGAACACACAAAGGCTTAAGAACAATAGGAACTGGAAGCGTGTGTTGCACAACTGGTTCACTCGGCGTTGCTTTAGACGGACACACTAAAAGTGTTGCCTCTACTTTGCCCCTCACGATTCGCTGCAACCATAACAAACAACAAAGCTTTTCTTTTAGCCTGCAACTGGCTTAGAGCTTATCACACCGACGCTTTGACGATTGACTTCGATGCAGCAGGCTTCATCGCGACCTTCTTCTTTCTTGCTCGCACCACAAGGTACGGTTAGAGTCCTTCGAAAGGCTAGTGTTCGATATGGACTCGACTAATACAACACAAGCAGCCGAAGATGTTAGCAGGGATAAAACGCATGTTACAACACCATCGTTCGGCTCGAGCATGCTCAGTTTCCACACTGTTCAGTCGTCCACCGATACACCCCGAAAAACACTTCTTCATCTGGAGGAGAGTTTTGACGTGGAAGAGTTGATCGATGAAGGGCGTGCCACTCCTCAGCAAACCATCGATTTGAAGGAGGACAAGTCTATCGAAGATGTCTCAACTCCAACTCCAACAAGCTCCGCATTCGACACACAAACGCCAAATACAGGCTTACCTGATCTAGAGTGCGAAGATGGACATTCTGGCGACAGTGAAGAGGAAGAAGAGGAAAAGGTATTGGGACACGCAATAAAATCCCTACCGAACGGAATGACCTCTCTCCCATCACCCAGCGTAGGATCACGCTCATTTGATTGCTCCTCATCACCTTTCTCTCGCCCCCTTGCGCTAGTTTCTCTTGCACCAACAGAAGAATCACGACGAAGATCATTACGACCGATCGTCTACACTCCACCCACCATAACCAACACTGTTGCCGCCGACTCTTCTAGCTCCGGAGATTCCGCTTCCTCCACAAACCCTACTCGCCCTTCAACCTCTTCCTCAGCGGCCACCACTCATCCCACAGCCTCCCCCCACCACAACCACACTCGAAAGAAGAAAGACAAAGAGATCGAATCCGAATGGGGTGCGCAATTCTGGACCCTCATCACCGACCCCTCCAATCCTCGCAACACTTTTTTCGCAAACCCAGCCACAGGGGAATGCAAATGGGAACTTCCCAAAGGAACCATCGTTTTACCTCCTAGAGATGAAGGTGAATGGTGGGAACTGTACGATGAGGAGAGGAAAGGCGAGTACTATTGGCATACGAAGACGGAGGAGTGTAGATGGGATAGACCAGGTGAGGGAGAAGGGTTTCTGGTCCCAATGAGAAAGGTTCAGGCTCGACACTTCCTTCCTTGTGCGAAGGGGGGAAAGCGGAGGAGTGTGAGTGAAGCCACGCCTGCAACACAAAGAAGGATAGGAAGAGTAGGGGTGGAGAGGGAAGAAGAAAAAGAGATTGTGACTACTCCTCTTAGGCCCCGGACGAAATCACTCCCCCGCAACCATCACCATCGCCAACATGAAAAGCAAGACAGAAGAGCAACAAGAAATGCAGCAGCGGCACACACGGAGAGAAAGGAGAAGAAGGAAGAGGATTTGGCGCTACAAGCAAGAAGATCGATCGTATTGCGCGATCAGCGTGCTCTCGCTATTGCTAGAGAGACTTCTACCCCGCCCTTCCGACTCGAATGCATTCCTAAAACTCCAAAGAAAGAGGGAAAGAAGAAAATTAGACATTCAACTACTGGTTCACCTATCAGACCCCACTTCCCTACCCAAGCTTCCAGTCGAACTTATTGCTTCCTATTTCATCCACTGGGGAAGGGATGCGGTTTGGGGTTGGAAGATGAACTGTCACCAATCCCACGTGATCAAAGGGAGGAAGGGGAAGACGACTTAGTGGTGCCTATTATTAGAGTGGGTAAAGGGTTGGCTTATCACCCAAACGATGCGAGCGGGTGTGGGAGGGATAGTCCTTCGAGCTCCAGAAGAGGGGGAATAAGAGCGAGGAAGAGTTTGCCGTTCCTAAAGACTGGAGCAGGGGTGGAAAACAAAGCGGAGGACAGGAAAAAGCTTGTTGAGCTGCCGGACGACCTTGCTTGTGCGTTACTCAATGTCAATACTGATCCTGCTCTTGTTCGGCCTGAAAAGGAGAGGGTTGGGGAGGAGCAGGGGAGAGAAAAAGGACCCACCCCTCCGAAGGCTCAAAGAAAAGAGGGAAAACTGACCAAGTTGATCAGCTGGACCACTTTATCTCGCTGTAAAAGATCTGCTAGTGTTGGTGAATCCGGATAGCACCTGGACTCTTCGTCAATACAACGTGGCCTCGAGCTCGAACTCTTCCTAAGTAGCCAACCTCGAGCACCATCTTTGCGCTCGACGAATACGTCTTAGCCACAGCTGACGCTCTCATCTTTCGAGCTAAATCCAGCGAGATTGAGCGATCCTACGAGTCAGAGGGACCCCAAGGCAACACAGTTTCTGAGGGACGAATGGCTTATCTCGGCGGGACAAAAGGAACCTGACAATCTGGTGGACAACTATGTACCCTTCATGAGGAATGGTAGACCAGAGTCCGCCGGACAACCCAACAGCAAAAGAGGACACTCCAGTCTCCTTGATCAGATCAATGCTATCTGTAGTCTTTCAAGTGGATTGAGTATGTAGGCTAGTTAGATTTGGTAAGGAGGTTTAACAAAATCAACCTTTAGCATTCCCCCAGCAGTGCCACTCAATAGCAACCTACATCGGCCTAGATTCGGATTCCACTCTACCCAGTCACTGCTAGGGAGGGGTGCCATTGCGCAATAGCCCACTTTTTCGGTTCGGCGTTGTTCGCCACTTCCGCCAGCAAGTGATGCTTCACCGTCAATTCCCCCGTTGTCCTGTCCAGTACCTGTTGGTAGATGGGTACATGGTTACGCTGACTCCTTCGCAGAGTACGGAAGATGTTGGCGAGTTTCACCTCACCGTGAGCTGTGCCTGCTGCTATGATCGGGTAGAAAGCAGAGCAGGACAGCGAGAGGACTCGGGAGGGTGTGTGGGGGAGGGTGTGTGGGAGATCGAACGCGAACGAAGCATCTCCTCCGGGCGAAGGGAGTAGTGAGCGATGGAGCCGTCTGCCATTTCGTGAACGAGGCTGCCACCGGTGAAAGGTGAGAAGGTGCATGCGTAATGGACTGCACGAGACCGTTCGATCGAGGTAGCGCTGCAGCGGGGGAGGGAGATGTATGCTGTCCAGCCATCGAGGGATACGGAGAAGAGGGTTTGGGGGAGGCAAGTGTGGAGGAGGTGGCCGGAGGAGATGAGTGGGGCGAGGATGAAGGTCAAGTCGGTGATAGCGGAGCGGTGGGCTCGGATGACGTAGTCTGGTGGCGGTGGAGGGATGGAGCGGGAGGGATTGCGTAGTATACGACCAATGTTCCAGACTCCAATCCAACCTTGGGATCCACCGAAGGCGAAGAGTTCTCCTCCAGCCCAGGAGAGAGAGGTGGCTGATTGGTACAGGTGTTCGAGTGAGAGGATGGGGTCGAGGCGGATGTAGAGAGGTGTATCTGCGGAGGCCTTGGCTTTTGACTTGGTTTGAGCAGCGCGTGTGGAGTCAGGATTGGGGATGGAAAAAATGGATAGGCTGCCATCTGCAAAGCATCCTGCTAGCAGGCCTAATCGACGCAGCCTGCCTTGCATCCCTTGCTCTTCTACTCCATGAGCAGAATAGTCATGGCCGATCGGACAGAATGCAACTTTGTACGCCGCTCACATTTCATGACACACTACCATCTCCAGTTTGGCTTCTCCTTTGCTCCCTTTCCCGCCGTCAGAAGCTGCAGGCGAGTCTGGAGAGACGCTCCAAACCTGCAAGCTTGCAGGCGCAGGACGTTGTCGCTTCTGCCCAACAAGCGTCATTGGCGCCTTCGACGCGGCTGCAGACACCACAAAGTACTCTTTGCCCGTATTCAAATGCACCGGCACAGGAACCCAACCTAGATCGTAGACATGGCCTCCGGCATTCATTATATGACCTTGATCCGGCACTACGCTCATCCTGTCAAGCCGTTCTGACATGCCCCGTGGGATTTGCACTGGTCTCTCTTGTCCCGGTGGCCCGACTGAGATGTGCAGCACGTCGCCAGTCTGTGGACCTTTCTCTTCGATGCCAAGGTTGGGGATATTGGCAAACTTGGGATCGTCGAGGTTGATAGGCTCTTGATTCGCATCGAGCGCAGCAATGGCATTTTCGTCTTCGTTGGCAAATTCTTCGTCGGACCCTTCGCCTGCATCGTCAGCTTCTCCGTTTCTCCCATCAGTCTTGGATCGAGATGGTTTCTTAGGTTTTTTTGGGCGTGTCGGTAAGAGTGTGCCTCTTGAGTCGACTGCGCATGGAGATCTCCGGGACGGTTAGCTTCATGACAGTGGTCGGGTGGCGTACTGCGCTTTGTTGTAGGGTTGTTGTGTCTTGAAGAAATGGCTGCGCTGTTTTGGTGGTGAGAAGCTTAAGGGTGTGACGATGGGTGTCCAGCCAGCGCTGAACGAAGGGCGATCCTACTCGATCAGCCCTCTCTGGAGGCTGGAGTGGTTCTCGCCCGACATCAGTTGCTGTCTTGTAGTCTTCACCCAAGCTGACCTTTCCTGACTCTCTCTGTACCCCGTTGCTTTGCCCGGATACCAAGCCATATCGTACACACCTTCATTTGGAATCCACCCAACATACCCGAGCCAGAACTTTTGCAAGCTCTTCTTGATCAAAGGATACGCCTTGGAATCCAAGCAAGTCTCCGCAAGTCCGTCTTGCGGCCAAGGAAGTGCCTCTTCCAGTGAGTGCTTTCCTCGAGCCGCTTCTGATTTCGCGTCCCTTTCTTGGTCAGCTACATTTTGCAACACGTCCGAAGTGGGCACACCAAAGAAAGTTGGCTGGACAGCACCCTGTAGCCAAAACGGGCGCATCGCCTTCGCTTTGCTAGTCTTGAGCTGCACCCTATTAACATCATCTATCGGACCTTCCAGGGTGAATATCTCGAGGTCGGGATCTCTGCGAGAGGATGTTTCATCGGCCGCATCATCGTTGTAGTCTTCGTCTTCTGACTTGGCTCTTGCTTTGCCTTTGCCTTTTGCACTGTTTTTTGGAGGTGGTGTTGCGAATGTCACTTGCGGAGTGCTGGCAGGCGGCGTTGCGAGAGCGGCGGCAGCGGATCGTGGCGGGGTTGGAGTTGAAGTGCTTGGCTCAGGAGACTCTTCTGGAGATGGCTCGATTGCATAGTCGACGGTCACTTTTTGCGTTGATCGTCTTGGTCTGTTTCGCGACGGTGATGAAGCGGATGCGGACGCTTCGACGTATTGCACTTGAGTCTGAGCCTCTGATACGGGTCCATTGCTTGCCTCTTTGTCAGCACTCGTCGAGTCGTGGGCAAGCTTTGCCTTGTTCCGCGCCGGTGTTGCTCTCTTGGAGGATGTAGCTGGCATCTTGAAGCGAACACGAGGTACTCCTTGGAGATGGGAGTTGGTTGGACATGTCGCCGGTAGATGACCGTCAGACTGGTATGCCAAGCTCTGTTCAGTGGAAGAACTGCGGTGGCGTTGAGATAGTGGGCGTAGTCATCGACGCTCGGGCCTACCGTTGTGATGATTGCTCAGAAGCAACAAGTCGTGTAGTTGTCTCAAAATCGCAAAAATTCAGGGTCCAGCTGCGGATCGAGTCTGTCATTTCCAAGCAGAGACTAAAAATGTGAAAGAAATCCAACTGGAAATTGAGGCACAAAAAAGCCATGAAAAAAAAAAAAAACATCACAGGTCTTCAGTACCATTAAACTCCACACTTCTAGAGACGGCTGGTGGCGATTAGGCGGGCTTTGATCAGCTCAGACATGGACTTTGATCTCCGCGCGTGACTGGCTGGGGCTGTCACTACCTCTCGAGGCTTTTTTCACCGATGGCGAGCGGTTGATGGGGTTCTTTCTTAATGCGGTTATGGGGATGAGTCTGAAATCCAAAGACCGCGTGGCGCTTCCAAAGGTGTGCAAGACTGGAGGGCCAATCCATCGCCATGCCAAGTGGTAGGTGGCCGTTGCTCCGCGTTCGAGCGAATACAGTAAGAATTCGGATGCAGCGCTACAGCGGCGAGATGCTTGTTCAACGCGATGTCCATCCCATATCAAAGTCCGACAGAGCGGGATACTTTCGCCGCTGTTTGGTTGGCCGCTTGAAATGCTGAGGTTATTCTCTCGGTCAAGTGGCAACAGATCAAGGATCCAGGATGATCGTATTCATGCGTGGCATGCAGTTGGAGCGGCGCTTGCTTACCGTCTTTGAGACCCTTGACCTCCACTGGTTACTCAGCTTCGCCACGGAAGGATATCACGTTTGCCGGTGGTGGTCGCCTGCACGGGCTTCGTGTCAATTTGCGGTCTTTGGATGTATCGACTGCGAAGGGAACAACCTCTTTTCGCCGGGAACGTGGGTCAAAGCTTGATTATGGCATCTCTACTGCAAGACAGGATGGAAAGAGGATGAGCACCAGTCTAGGACACCATTTGCGGTAGCAGAGATGATATAATGCCGGCCACGCTACCAGTCATCCTCTCGTGTTGACAAGGCTCTCTCCGGCTTGACCTGAGGGATCGGCCGTCTGAAAGCGAATTGAGTCAGAAGTGGGAAGCAGAGCTAACTTGAATGCCACAAGGCTCTTGTAAAGCCCGTGAGAAGCGCCGTGAAATCCATGCTCGCGTTGTCCCTCACGAAGGGATGAGTTAGAAGGAAGTTTATGCTGACGATCTTCTTATCGTATGTTTCAATCAAGGCTGGGCAAGAACTCAATTCGCAGGGATAACCATGGTGAGATGGACCAAGTGCAAGATCCAAGGTCCAAGGAGAAAGGCCTGACCGTCCAGCATCAGAGTGGACAATCTATCTTGCGTTCAGACTCGAGATTATCGGGTGGCCTGATATTGACCTCGTTCCAGATCTACCTTTACGCTAGTCTCGAGCTCAGAACGAGGTCTGGCCTTGTCCGTGTTTCCGTTTGACTAAGATGAATGCTGGTAAGGTCAATCGCCTGATACCGTCGAGGCCAATGATTTGTCTCGAGTTTCGTTAACCATGACGCGGCGAGAGAGAGAGAGAGAGGTTTAGGGGTTGACTGCATGCCAACGACGCAATCTCACTTGTTTTTGAGTTGGAGGCGGTTAAACAACTTTGGTGAACCTCAAGGCGGAATCGCAGAGGAAAATGGGCTCTGTGGAGATTTTGGAGTCGGCTGTGCCTTGACTCGGCTGTGTTTGGATCAGGGGCAAATTGCACACACGTCGTGCCTCTAGCCGAGGCTGTCAAATATCAAAAGCGACATGAGGACGAGCTTGAGCTTGGTGCTCAGTAGTAAGAGCTGTAAGTGATCAGCGATGCGACGTTCACGAGGTGTGATCCTGAGTGATGACAGAGAACAGGCCGCAAACGCTGATTCCGCCGTCAATTACCAACATGCCTGGATGCCAAAGGTCATGCAAAGTGCCCAAATTGGCTCGCTTGTCTCGATCCTTGTCAACCTCGATGGACACGGCCATCATGGCATTGTCCTCCTCACCAAGAGCTGCTGCCATCCGTTCGAGTCGATGTATCTTTTTATTTATTATAGAGCTTCAAGTACAAGTTGGATCAGTGAAGGAATCGGCTTGACCGATGATCAACGGTGGCAGAGTCGGAACGAACAACGACGAAGCTCGAGGCTCAATTTGAGTCTATGATACTCGGATCAGCCGAAGCACTCTGTAACGAATTCTCACGCTGGGGTGCCGGAATGCCGATGCAAGAGCAATTCAGATCTAAGCTTGTCAGTTCTGAACACGGCTCGTTTGATTGCGGTATTATCGTAGGATAGCTAGGCCAACTGCAGGGTCACTGTCTCATCCCCAACTCGTGGGCGGCCGAAGGCCCCCTCTTTTGCCTTGCCGAAGGGCATGCCTTTCCAGACAGCCTCAACATTTATTGCTGTGAACCGACTCAGCGGAGTGTCGCTGAAAGGAAAAATAGTCTTGCAAGTCGGGAGAGGTCGGAAGAGTCCTGTCGGACTGTTGAGCAAGGGTGCCCACCTACCCTGGCCTCGTGTTAGAAAGGGCAATGCTTGAACAGCAAGGCGTTGCGGCTTCAAGCTGTCATTTGCTTAGACCTCATTCTGATTCGCACTAAGGCTTTGTCCAGAACATGGAATCAAAAGGCGCTCGAGCCGTTAGATTTGGTCTTCGAGCTCGCCCCTGTCTCTCTCTGTCCCGCGGGCAGCCTTGATAGTGGCCGCCATGCCTTGTGGCTGGGCTGGGCTGGGCTGGAATCAACTACCCACCAAGCCGCAGCTCCGACTTTGACCTGCCAAATTGAGCCAAGGTTGTCCCATTGTTCTTTGATGCTGCACATTAGATGTGCTGCGAACGGTTCCAGAAAAACAAGACGACGAAAATCAAGCCGTATTCTTGACTGGAAAAGTGCCTTCTTGCCTCAAAAAGGGGCTAAATTCTCAGAGATTCGGAAAGTCTGCTTTTTCCCACCCCACCTCAGACACAGGGGCAAGCTCAGCTGCAAATTCGATGCAGCTGGACGACCGTCATCGCGAAGTCAAATATTGTTTTCCCTTTTCTTTTCTTATCATGACTGATCACGTGATGCAGATTTGGTGCTGCTGTGTGTCAGAACTCTCAGAAAGAAGCGAGAGGAAAGAAAGCCAAAGCGAAACTATGCATTCGTTCGCTTCGAGGCGGCTGATGAAGTGCAATTTGTGAAGTGCAATTTGACCAGCCGCTCCAACCAACAACACACAGACATGGTAATCACGTGACAAAAGTCCTGTGATGTAATCTTTGGTCAGAGATTCTGCCAAGTCATGGCGCAGCTACAGAATGCTCTCTCTCCAATCACCCCCTTTCTCGCAGCTGCTCGCTTAGCAGAATCTCGCCGTCTCTTCCAGTGTTTTTCTTCTTTTCTTTTCCCACCCTGTAAATTCACCCCCTTGTCTTGACGCTCTCTTGCGCTCATCCGGCCCTCCTTGCGGCGGTCCGGGAGCCTTTCGAGCCTGTGAGCACACTCACGCTCATCCCGCAATCTTAATCTTTCTTATGCTCTCGTATTGTCTATGCTATGGTATGAATTGATGGTTCGGACACACACACACACACACACACACACACACACACACACACACACACACGCACACACATACGTGATACGCGCTCCTGCTGCGGTATTGTGTATCGGCTGCTCCGACAGACACTTACAAGCGCTTTCCGCTTACTGTCGTTCTTCCACCCCTTCTCGCAGCTTCTCTTTACCATCCAATCACCACACCGCCCACCGCCCCATCTCAGATCGCTACTTTAGTTCGGCTTGGTTCCGCCCTTCTTGATCCTGGGAGTTGAGACGCTGAGTTGTGCTCTTCCTTGGTACCGTTGGTCATCGTTAGTTTCGAATTGGAACCCCTCTTGCCCTCTTGCCCTCTTGCCCTCTTGCCCTCTTGCCCTCTCGACCCCTCTCCCTCTTTCTATCTCTCCACTGTTCCCGCCCGCCTTCTTCCCATCACCGCCTTGCCTTTTGCCCCTCAATCCTTCATTGGTCTGTATTCCCCTCTCCCGACACTCAGAAGCTGCCAGGCTGCACCTCCCTCTACCCACGCTACACTGCGGCACATCAATCCCGCTGTCGACACGAACGCCAACATCAACGTCAGACTTGTAGCGCCTGCTCGATTCTTCTCTGCCTCTGACAACCCACCAACCACTTCGTCCGTCTCCTCCAGCGGTCTGTCCCTCGCGTTCACCAACCTTCATCTCTTCATTCCCACCTCCATCTCACTACTCCCCTGGCTCCCGACTCTCCACCGTCATCTCTTCCTACACCTATCTTCTCGACTCGCTAACTACAACCCTAACGATAGTTCATACGACACGCAACGCATTACGAACTCGATACGACCAACATTCTCATTACGATTCTCCCAGAGCCCATCGCATCTCACACATCCGCCTTGACACCAGCTACGCATTTCTCGTCTAGTCTCGCATACCAGCTTCCACATCATCGCTACTAGCTCACGCTTTCGCAATCAAAGAGCAGTTGCGGAAAGGCATCATAGTATGCAATAGGGCTTGACCGTGCCACTTTCCCTTACCGCTTTCCCTTCCCACTTTCCCTTCCCATACCAGACCATCTCGAAGCAACCATCAACTCGCTACTTCGAACCTATCAGATCGATCATGCCCAACCTTCCACTACCCTCCAGATCACCCTTACTAGGGCCACGCAAAGCATTGCGCGAAACCAGCCCTTCCCCACCCACACGCACAAGTTCAGCAACCTCACTCCCGCCAGCAGCTGTCGCAGGACCAAGCAACCTCGCTTGCTCACCGCCAAAGCCCATCGCATCCGGCAAGGAGCTCTCAGAACAGTATGAGCTGCTCGAAAAAATTGGCGCTGGCTCCTTCGGTACTGTCTACAAGGCCATGCACAAGCAGTCCCGCCAGATCGTAGCCATCAAGCAAGTCGACCTCGAAGACTCGGACGATGACATCAGCGAGATTCAACAGGAGATTGCTCACTTGGCGCAATGTGATAGCGAGTGGGTGACACGCTACTACGGCAGCTTCGTCAAGGGGTACAAGCTCTGGATCATTATGGAGTACCTCGCAGGTGGATCCTGTCTTGACTTGCTCAAAGCGGGCGCCTTCACTGAAGCACACATTGCCATCATCTGTCGCGAGCTCCTTCTTGGTCTTGAGTACTTGCACAACGAGGGCAAGATCCATCGCGACATCAAGGCTGCCAACGTGCTTCTTTCAGCAAGTGGCAAGGTCAAGCTCGCCGACTTTGGTGTTGCTGCACAGCTGTCCAATAACAAGTCGAGGAGGAACACTTTCGTCGGCACACCCTTCTGGATGGCACCAGAGGTGATCAGGCAAGCAGGCTACGACCACAAGGCCGATATCTGGTCACTAGGTATCACTGCCATCGAAATGGCCAAAGGTGAACCACCACTAGCCGAGTATCATCCCATGCGAGTTCTCTTCCTCATTCCCAAGGCTAAGAGTCCCACCCTGGAAGGCAACTTCTCCTCTGCATTCAAGGACTTTGTCGACCTCTGTCTCATCAAGGATCCAAAGCACCGCCCCTCGACCAAGGAGCTCCTCTCGCATCGCTTCATCAAGTACGCCAAGAAGACCGTCTTGCTCACCGAGCTCATCGAGAAGCATCAGGAGTACAAAGCACGCGGCGCCACTCGAGGCGGCGCCATTGTTCGTGACCATCTTCGTGGCGTGGATGCCTCCGACTCGACGATCGGTGGCGGCAGTATCATGAGCGAATGGCAGTTCGACACGATGCGTTCGCGCATGTCCATCTACGATGACCCTGAAGATGATCATGGCCAACTTAACCTCTGCGCTAGGCCAGGTCGTGGTCCACCCGCCACCGGCCAAGAAAGAGCAGGCTACGATACAGTGCGTGGCACTCGCCCCGCTGGTCACTTGATGGGTGCCGTCGACAGTGCTATGCACACGCCACGACGCAATGGCACCATCCGTGCCAACCATGCTGTCAGAGGTGGTAATCAGGACGACATCTCGGACCTCTCGCCTGAGGCGTACACTAGCAGCGATGCTCTCAGTCGATCTTCCAGCACACCTGCCACTTCGACCGCTTCGGGTCCTACAACACCTGCAGAAAAGGGTCGCGAGTCGATCCACGTCGATGCTCTTGTTGCTTCATTCCGAGGCATGCAGCCTTCGGACGCTCCCAACGGCTATCTTGCTGGCGGCATTGGACGCAACGCAGCGGCTGCGTCATCCACATCGCACCTTGCGCCCCCTTCTGCGAGTGGCCTTGCTGAGAGCAGTCTTGACATTGCTACTGCAGCGGCCACCATGGCTTCATCTCATGCCGGTTCCACGGCCACTCAGCACATCCGCTGCGCCCGCGACGGCAAAGCTTCGCCAAGCCACAGCAGGAATGGCTCCGTGGCATCATCATCGCGCTCCACAGAGACTCGCACACGTCGAAGCAGCTGGAACGAACGCAACAACATCAACGGCACCGTGCTCAAGGAAGGCGATGTTGCCAACGGTCTCGAGACACTGCGACCTGTCCGTCGACTTGACGCAGGTGGATCGGCTAAGATCAGCCAGCAGTACATTGGCAGCTTGCGCAGTGACTCAGCCCTGTCAGGCCTAGACAAGACAGCCGATGGCTCTCCGCAGCGTCAGCTGCGCCACTCTCGCTCTGCACTTACCAGCTCGAGCAGTACGGCCAAAGCACACGCCACTGCTGGCGAAAACCTGGTGCGCGATGTCATCTTGCCCGTCATGGACCGTGCTAAAGAGAAAGATCTTGACGCAGCAGAAGTAGAAGCGCTCGACATGATCTCTAGAGGCTTCGAGGATCTAGCTTTGCTCAACTCGCCTCTGGCCTACTCAACCATCGTTGACCTGTTGCTGAGCATGAACGACAACGAACAGGCACGCGACAATCTTTCCACCACTTTCAGACAGAGGTTGATAGGACCTCAGATTGCCAAGTTGCAACAACCTTCTGCGGATGAAGCGCCAAGGTCGCCCATTGCTGATCTGCTGTACGGTCGGTGGTTGGAGGGCTTGCGCACGAGGTGGATGGGTTACTAGTGCAGTCTGCCTTGTGCCACGCTCTGAGACGGTCGCTGCTTGCACCCATCACATTTTCCTCATACATTTACTGATTTGCATCATCGCATTATCCTGCATATTTTTCATTACGGACACTTTTATCTTACATCATCAACTGCAATGCACTTTTCGCGACCTCAGCCCGCTGCTGCCTGTCACTGTTTGAACTGGCCAATCAAGGACGAGTCACTATGCGGTCAAAAGGACCAATGTAAGAAGAAGAAGAAGAAGAAGAAGAAGAAGAAGAAGAAGAAGAAGAGATGATATTCCATTGCACAAACCTGAAAACAAGGCTCCTACAGAAAGAAAAGTAGAGAACCACATTCCAAACCGACGTTGTGCTAAGCCTGAGCAGGCAAAACCTGATCCAAATTGTCACTCTCCTGTTCAGCCTCCTTGATCGTCTGTCTCAATTTCTCGATCTCGTCTTTGTTGGGCACGTGTTCGTTTGTCCTTAATCTATTGATCAACCTGATCCCGTTCACCGCCTTCCTAAAGGTTCTCTTTGCATTGAAAGCGCTCTTGATATCTGGCAAGAGATCCTTCTGTTCAGCTTGACCCTCTGCAGTCTTTGCATTCGGAGCGGCGGATTGCAACCATGGATGTTGCAGTGCTTGCTTCGCAGTCAACCTCGTGCCTGGGTCGATGGTTAGAAGTTGGTTGATGAAATCTTTGGCGTTATCGCTTACGTCTTGCCAATACATTGAAGGTTCGAATCTGTAATCGGCGTGGATGATGGCTTGCATCTCTTCCATGGTGGTATCCCGATCAAAAGGGGTATAACCACAGAGGAGGAAGTAGGTTATTACGCCGATTGCCCACATGTCTACTGGTTTTCCGTGACCTGTCTTTTTGAAGATTTCAGGGGCCATATAGCCAGGTGTACCGCAAGTTGTGGAAAGGACTGTGATCTTTTCGTCATCCACTACCCTACTGAGACCGAAATCAGCGATCAGAAGGTCCGATTCTTCTGTCTTGTCTCTGAACAAAAGGTTTTCGGGTTTAAGATCTCGATGAACAATGCCTTGATCGTGAAGATAGACAACAGCATCCGTGATGGTGCGGACAAGGTGAGCGGCATCCTTCTCGTAGTAGCTTCCCCTCTCGCAGATCCGATCGAACAGTTCACCTCCAACGCAGAGGTCGGTGACGAGATAAAGATTGTTCATTGTCTCAAAGTAGTCGACCAGGGTGACAATGGATCGATGACCTTGAGAGACTCGTTTGAGTGCAGCAATTTCATTGCGAACCATGTGTTCTCGTCCTTCCATGAGTTTCCTCGAGATAACTTTGCAGGCATAGTATTGACCAGTCTTGATGTGGACGGCTTCTTTGACAACGGCATAGGTACCTTGTCCGAGCGTTCGACCTGTTTTGTAGGCGCATGGGACTGTTTGTGGTTGCGAAGAGGCCATGTTGGGCAGTAGGGAGACGATAGGGTGAGTCGAAGACTATTGTTGCCGTTGGTAGTGCAGAGCAAAGATAGGGTTTGAGGGGAATGCGAATGTCGGATGTGATGCGTGCCGGTGAAAGTGACATGTGTCGCAATCGCAGGCAATGGATGCAATGCTGTGCGGTGAGTAGCCAAGTGGCGTCGATGGTATGTGCACCTTACTCGCACGAGAGTTTGAGAATAGAAGAAAAGAAGAAAAGGTGTGAGAGTGAGAAATGAGAATTAGTTGAAGATGTGTTGGCATCTCAAGGGGATGCATGAGTTGCAGCTGAGGCACTGTGGTACCAAGCACCTGCATAAGTGAGAAACACAATGAAACATGTGAAGGTTGTCATAGCAATGGCTCAGGGACACTTCATGAAGCAACAACATAGGGGTACAAGAGAGATGACTCATTCTGCTCAGATATGATCAGAGTGGCAACAAGGTATATATATCACTGTCAATTAGGTTCACATTATGAAAATACTAAGCATTACAAGAAGCATATGACTGTAGTAAGGGAGCCTGATTGTGGCCCCAATAAAATGGCATACACTAATTGTTATCTTCAACTGAATTCCACTTGAATTGCCGCGTGCGTTCGAACGAGTGTTGCACTCTCCTGTTTGTTTGTTTTTTTTTTTGTTTTTTGTTTTTTGTTTTTTGTTTTTGTTTTTTTTTTTTGTTTTTTGTTTTTTTTTGTTTTTTGTTTTTTGTTTGCGCACCCTCGGCCTTCATCTTGTACAACGACCACCAACCATCAAACTCTGTTGCGCATCCTTCGATCTGTACTATATACATACCCCTTTTGCGCTCTCATAGAACCATATTCCTCCTCTTACCTAGAATCATCCTTCCCCGCATTCCATACTCGATTCCGCAACCTCGGCATAGACCCAGCACCAGCACCAGCACCAGAAGCACATATCTTTCGATCCCGCTCATCACATGTGTATTGACTAAGCCCCAAAGCTCAACTCTTTCGACCACCTTTCATCAGCGTCGCTCCGTCTAACTTCTTTCGGCCGCCATGATCAACTTCTTCGGTGGAAAAGCGCCACCAACCACCTCCACCACCAAATCAACATCCAACGGCACACGCACAGGCCCAACCGCATCCACCACCACCACCACCACCTCCTTACAACCACCGCTCAAAAAGCCCAAACCATCCTCCTCCACAGTCGTCACCACTATCAAAAAGAGAGTTGCTCCACCACCCACCAAACCCTCCGAACCACGAGACCCCATCGCTGCGCTCTCCGGTTACAACTCCAAAAATGCCCTACCCGAAGAAAAGCGTCGACGGATCATCGAAGAGCGACTAGCCACACAACGGCAAAACTCGATTGAAACTAGTCTTGAGGCGCAGTTGAGAGCTCCGGTCAAGTCCAACTCGAACAAATCGGCAGGGAGCAGTTCGAAGCCGAAAAAGGCGAGGAAGAAGGTGGTGGATTCAGATATTGATGATGATGAGCAAGATGGTTGGTTGAGGAAGGGTGCAAGTGCAACGGCTACTCCGAGAGGGTCGAAGAGGGCAAGTGTTGATCCGCATCCAACGACGGATAGTTATCAGAAGGTTGGCAGGGAGGGGGTCTTCCCGAATTATACGGTCCCGCGGGACATTCTCGCTACCACTGATCGAGAGAGTAGGAATGGCGACAAGGAGAAGCAAAGGCCGATCTCATCAGCTGACGTAGTCACGAGCAACTTCAAGTCTTACGGACCCTACTTTCATGGGTTGCGGGATGCTCCGAGAGCCACGCTGGTCTATCCGGGGGAGGGAGCGTCGGAGGAGTTTCTGTTATTGGTGCCAAAGGATGCGGATGAGTACGATCCATTGATGGAGCTGCTGGCGACAGTGAGGGCTATTGTGACGCACTATCTCACTCCAGAGCAGCGCAAGGCGTTTGGAGCATTGGACAGTTTGGAGGTGTCAAATAACGCTGGCATGATCCTTCCCTCTGCTAGTAATGGTGCTACTGCATCGACTAGTAGTGCGAGTCATACTGCTGTGGCGCTAGCCGAGTCCGGTGTTGGGCTGAATGGAAGTCAGAACGCCAGAGCAAAGTCTGCTGACTTGCTCGACAGCGAAGGATGCAAAGCCTCACGTCGGGACGAACTGGTCGGTAACCACGTCAATCGAGACAGTGGAGCAAGAACCCCAGAACCTCACATCAATCGCATCTCTCACACCGCACCTGTATCTCCTTGCTCTCACTCTGCTCACAATGGTACGGTAGCAAATGGCACCCACAATCCATCCACCAAGTCCGTCCTCACCCAAAACGCCCTCCTCCGCCTCGACTCCCCAGCACCAGCCGAACTCTCCCTCGCCTCTTCCTCCTCCGACCACTCCGCACCCGACCCCGACTCAATCCTCCGCAGCTTCACAAAAGCACGCAATCGTCGAGACGGTCCACTCTTCCTCCGCACCATCGCCCGTTTCAACTCTGCTCTCCTTGCTCTACGCGAATCCGGCGCACTCTCTTACAATATCTCTTCCCTTGGCATATCAACCGGAGTACCCGAAGGAATCTGGCGTTTGATCCAAGACCAAGTCTACGCGCGCGTCGTAGGACCCCGAGTAGAAGAGTTAGGTCGATACCAAGCATTCTCCGACAACGTTTACGGCGAGCTTCTCCCCCGCTTCATGTCCGAGATTGCACAACTTACTTGCCTTGGTCCCAACAAAGTCTTTGTCGACCTCGGATCCGGCGTGGGCAACCTTCTTATTCAAACCTCTCTCCAAACCGGTGCTGAGGCGTATGGATGTGAGATGATGCCCATCCCTGCCTCCCTCGCCTCTCAACAGATCATCGAGGCACAACACCGCTGGGCTGCGTGGAGATTGCGTGGTGGGGAAAGAACCCAAGCGTGGTTGGGCGACTTTGGAGAGCACAATGGAGTGCGAGAAGTGTTGAAACGTGCGGATGTAGTGTTGGTGAACAACTACGCATTTCTGCCAAAGACGAACGAGAATCTTTCGTTGCTGTTTTTGGATTTGCCGGATGGAGCACAGGTGGTGTCTTTGAAGCCCTTTGTGCCGGCGGATTTTAGATTGACGCAAAGGACACTAAGTAGTCCATTGGCCATTTTGAGGGTTACCGAAAGGCTGTACACGTCAGGATGTGTCAGTTGGGCCGACGGTGGGGGGAAGTATTATATCCAAACTGTGGATCGGAGCTTGGTGAGGGAGTTTTTGGAGCAGGCGAACAGTGCGCGAGGAGGAGGTGGTAGAGCGGCGAGAAGGGGAAAGAAGGGGGGGAGAGAGCCAAGTGAAGATTTGATGCTGGGACAGGATGTTAGGAGGAAGCGTTGGAAAGCTGCGATTGAAAGTGATGAAGAGGATGAAGATCAAGTTGTCTAGACCTCATATTTGCTTTCTTCTACCACCACAAACTTTCCAACCAGAGCAATGCTTTGTGTGTCTATGATTTGCAAGTGGTGCTGTGTCTATCAAAGGGTATACAAATGCAAAACAGTGATCAAACCCGAGGTGGCTTGCTGGAAGGTTAGACCTTCTCGGCACCCATGAACCGCATCGCAGTCTCAAAAGCAAACAGTGCCGCTGCGTTGGTCGGAAACGCTCTCAGTAAACATGGCAAGAACCCTGTATACACCCCTCTAACCTTGTACCACCACCTCGCCTCTTTCCCTCTTTGATTCCAAACGCTAACCCAGGCGCTTTTGATATCTTTGTACTTTGGATTTGTGATGTTATCTGCCATCAATCGATTCTTTATCACATCAGCTGGGAATGCGGTTAACCAAAACACCTCCGCTCCCAATCCGCCCGAGATGAACGTGATTGTTCCCGGGTTCAACTCCCACCTCGTTCCTTTCCAGGAGTTGAATAAGCGTTGGAAGTATTCATAGCTGCCGAACATAGCTGCGAATGAGGAACGGAATAATAACGTTGCTGGTAAGGCATGCCATAGGCCGAAGATCCCGTGTTGCGAGGTTATTTGCCGAATGCAATCGATTGGGCCTGTGAATGTACGCTGTGTGACGGTGGTGGTTGTGAGGGAGGACTGGCCTGGCAGATGAAGAGAAACTCTCTGAGTCTGCATCTGCAACTTGGCCTTGACCAGTTCAACGGGAGTAGTGACGAAACTGTTGGTCCAACCAGCCATTAAGCCCGCCAAAGCGTGATACTGTATCGCCAAGCCTTTCCCATTCTCCTCCTCACCGCTGTTTGTAAGCCTTGCAAACATGCGGCGATAGTTATGCAAGCTTCCAAGAAGAACCGAATCTGTAATAGCCCATCCCAGTGCAGGTGGAGTTGCACCTTTGTATAACCCAAGAAGAGACTCGCGACGGGCAAGTTGGAGAAAGCATTCTAGTGGACCAGTGTATGTTCCATGGGGAGAACATTGCATTCGGACCTTGATGGTGTCGAATGGATGCCCAACGAGAAGTTTTGTGAGGCCGGAGACTGTGCCCCCGACGAAGCCTTTTATGGAAGCGCCGGTTTCGGAGGGTGAGGTGGAGGGCTTGGAGGGAGAAGAGTTGGAAGAAGATGAAGAGCGGGGTAGAGTAGGGTGCGCTAGTGGAGTTGAGGGGTTTGGTGGTGGATCTAGCGTCGTATGTGTAAGTGAAGGTATTGTTGATGCCCAAGTGCAAGTGAAGGGTAAGTGGAGGAATAGGAGATGTGTTCCGCCCCAATTTGGGGTAAAGGATGAAGTGTACATCCTGAACACACTCCTGCTTAACGATGTACGCTCCGATATCGAAGGGTGGTGTTGATGTTGGTGGTGTAAGGAAAAGAAGATGAGATGAAAGATGTTGACCGTTGGACGACAGGTGTGATAAAAGATGAGGAGGACAGGTGCCGATGATCAACGATCGGCGATAGTCAGAGCACAGTACCGCTGCTATTTAGGGCAGAAACGCTTATACTCAATTGACTGGTCGAACGTGGTGAGAGCCTAGAATCATCAGCTCGATATTGTTAAATATAAAGGTCGTTTAGGTCCCGATACTGGCGATCGGGGAGAGTCTAAGTACGATGTCACTGCTAGTTATAGACAGAAACAAATATACTCAATTGACTAAGGGAATGTGGCGAGAGCCTAGTGCTCTCTGTGAGTTATATATACATGTGAGTGGCACTTGCCTGATGTGGGGGTACTACTATTTCATGGTCTATCATGACAACGAGTGGGACTGTGTTGCACCCGATTTCTCCTGAGATCGACTTGACCTAATCTACGATCGAATCGGTAGCTCAACCGGATCGGCCCTATCTGATCTTCGATCAGATCGGCTCCGCGTCGCCCTTTTACCGTCTCATTGGATCGTCATTTTCAGCAGATATATATACATCTGTGTGGCACAAGTTAAAGTTTTCGTGTGATTGATGATGATGGTAAGAGAGAGAGAGCGAGAGAGCGAGGAGAGAGAAGGAGTCTATATATATACAAAAGAAGAGCAGCAGAGAGCCGCATTGACTGCGGAACATAACAAAGCATTTGTCTTGAGTAGGTTGTGACACATGTGGTCTGTGCTCAGATGCTCAGGCCTTTTACTCAGCTGTAAGCACTACCTTCACTGTCTCTATGCTTTGTGTAGCTTTTATATACTTTAACTCCCCCCCTCAACAGCATATGTACCCTGTTCATTATGCTGTTGTTTCAAGGTATATCCTCCATTCTTTAACATCATCGCATAGCTTGGGAACTCCATTTCATATGCTGCCACTGCTGGTATTTGCAAGTGTAGCCCAGATCTCGCTTGCTGTATTGCCTGTCTCCCAATTGGCTTGGTGAGTACATCTGCCAAATTCCTTGTTGTGTCCACATACTTGATTTGCACCCTCCCCTCTTGAACATTGTTACAGATGAAGTGATACTTGGTGTCGATGTGCTTAAGCTTCCAGTGCTGTGCTGGGTCTTTACTAACCTGTATGCATCCAGTGTTGTCTGAGTAGACCGTTGGGGTGCCTGTGGCAATGCCAATCGAGCGCAGCAGCTGCTTGAGGAAGAGCACCTCACATGTTGCTTCCGTGGCTGCAATGAACTCTGCCTCAACAGCAGACAGTGATATGCATTTTTGTGTTGCTGACTTCCAGGCTACTGGGTTCCCGTACACTAATGCCACTGACCCTGATGTACTCCTTCTCTGAATGGTGGCATCACTTGCCCAGTTCGCATCACTATGTGCAATCAGTGGCTCTTGCGACATATTTCCCCTATAAACTAATCCAACATCCTTTGTGCCTTCGAGGTAGCGTAAGACCCATTGTGCTGCCTGATAATGCTCTTGGGATGGTTCACACATGTGTCTAGCGAGGACACTCACGGTGAGGCTAAGGTCGGGCCAGGTGCTGTTGGCGACCCAGAGCAGCTTGCCAACAATCACTGGATACTCCTTCTGTTGTGCTGCACTTGCGACAAGGGTTCCCTCCGGTATGCTCTGCATTGGAACCATGGTTGGCTTGGTGCATTTGTCCAGGTGCTTAGCCAGCACTTGGTCAATGTACCCTGACTGACCAATCGTCATGGTGTGCCTCATACGGTTTCGACTAATTTTGATGCCGAGGAAGTGAGAGACCTTGCCACTATCTTCCATCTTCCATCTCTGACCGATCTGCTTCTTAACCTTTAGGACTGTTTCCAGCCATGGTGCTATGCCTAATGTATCATTGACGTAGATGACCACAATGGCCATATCTTCACCCCATCCCTTGGTGTAGATGCAGGGAGCGCACTCTACCTGGAAGAATCCCATGTGTTGCAAAGACCTGTTGAACTCCTGGTTCCATTCTCGCCCAGACTGCTTTAGGCCTTACAGGCCCTTGACCACTTTGTATACCTGTCCAGGTGCTACTCCTGATCCCTCTGGTGGTTTCATATAGATCGCTTCTTTTAACCTGGAGTTTAAGTAGGCCATTGTGATATCCAGTGCATGCACCTCCCAGTCATTCTGTACTGCTAGTGCTAGGATAGCTCTGATTGCTCTGAGGGGTGCTACCGGAGAGAAGGTTTCCTGGTAGTCGATTCCCTCTCTCTGTGTGAAGCCCCTTGCCACCAGTCGCACCTTGTGCTTTATGGGTACACCATCAGCATCAAGTTTTAGCTGAAGCACGACCTTAGAGTCCATGAGTGGTGCCCCTGGCGGGTGATTCACCACCTCCCAAGTCCCCATTGCCTCGAGTCCTTCCAGCTCTTTTCGTATTGCCTCCTTCCAGAGCTGGGCATCCTCACCATTCATTGCTTCCCCAAGTGTCGGGTCCAGGTTCAGTACTGCTGTGTGTCATGGGCCTGGATGCTCAAGAAGCAGGAGGGTCACGGGTTCATATGGAAGGAGCACAGGTATCGAAGATCTAGTCGAGATCAGTAGAGAGCATGGTCATAGTGCAGTCTCCATGGAGACCATGGACTCCTACAGACTCACATGCAAAGGAGGGCCAAGCACAGCCACGAGGAGGACCAAGCTCAAGGAGCAGGCACAGCCACAAAGAGGACCAAGCTCAAGGAGCATGCAGATGGTTACCACTCAGGGGCTCGAGAGACAAGAGCCAAAGGAACTGTCACTGATCAAAGGAGAAGGAGCAGTGTCGAAGGAGTCGACACCAGGTCATGAGGAGGAGGAGCAGTGTCGAAGGAGTTGACACAGCTCAAGAGGCACAGGGGTGCCAAGCAGGAGAGGCCCCTGAGCAGTACTCGATGAAGAAGGTACTCTCTGGAGAGAGAGCAGGAGCAGCATTGCTGGCGATGCTGAGGAGAGGTATATAACCATGCTTTCTCATCATCATAGGTCGAGTGGATCCTCATCCACTCTACTCACCATACAACTAGTCAATACTTTAGAAACATAAGTACTCATTAGTTACAGTCAGCATAGCAGCAATCTATCAAGGTTGCTCCTCATTGTAGTGTGTGTGTTGTATCACCACTACCTGACGTCTGAAGGCGCCCATAGCAGGTTAGCAGTCTGGATATAGATAGAACCGAAGGCAGTAGTCCACTGTGGTCCGGGGGTCACTTCAAGCATCAAGTCAACACACTGGACACTCGTGTTGACACCACCAACCTTATCACCAACACCATCAACCTCCTTATCATCAACACTCACCAACCTTATCACCAATGACATCAACCTCATCATCATCAACACTCACACCAGACCTTGGTGTCATCATAACCGAAGCATTGATATTGATCGTGCTGAGCTACCCCTGAACGGAGTGTCCACAGAGGTCAGCCGAAACCTACAATAGTATATACAACAAACGCCACCTGCTGTCACTGCACAACTTGATAGTCACTGATACTGAGACAATAGCTGTCACACAGTTTGATAGTCACCAAGTATCTCGACAGACCGACCTGGGTTTCAGGCGCGAGACCCCTGACACTGTGTTGGTGGCGCCTACTGTGCTATCTACAGCTGGTAGGGGATCCTCCACTATGGCTGGCATGACACCCTCCTCCTTGACCTCTGTGGTCACCACAGGCCGGACTGCCTCCTGTTGGCGATCACTCCATCCTTTGTCCTCATGGAATGTTGCTGAGTTGCTCCATTGAATTGATGCAGGCTGGTCTGGGTTGCAAAACTTCCACGCTTTATGCTCATCATCGTATCCAATCATGATGGCTGGCTTTGCTCTAGCCCCATACTTGCCCTGCTGATCCTTCCGTTGAACATGGACCCATGCCAAGCATCCGAAGACTCGCAGCTGCTGGGCCAGCTTGTGCACAGTGGTTCCATAAAAGGCCTCATGGGGGATGGTCTTGGTAGCTGATGGGGTGAGGTTCATCACGTGTGCTGCTGCTGTGATTGCATATGGCCACAACTCTCTGAGGCAAGCTTGACCAATGAGCATTGAGCGCATCTTTTCTTGGACCGATCTGATCGCTCTCTCTGCCTGTCCATTCTGGACACTGATCCCCAGGACGCTCTTTTGCCACTTGAAACCCTCTTGAGTTTGCCAGTCTTCAGCTCCTAAGCTGCACCACTCTCCTCCATTGTCACTGCAGAGCATTTTGAGTTTCCTGTCTGTTGCTCGTTCCATCCTGGTGATCCACCTTCTCAGCACTGGGAGTGCAGCACTCTTAGTGCAGAGTGGTTCCACATAGATCAGGGAGGAGAAGTCGTCCACAGCAACTAGTGCATAGTGGTAGTTGGTATGGCCCTTAAGATCTGTCATCAAGTCTACGTGTACTAACTCTAGTGGCACCTCCGCTCTCTTCGACTCTGATTGGCTCATCTGCACTCGGGTCTGTTTTCCTTGACTGCATGCATTGCAGTGCTTTGATTCGTGCTCCATTCTCTCATCAGTGCCAAGGTAGTGTGCCTGGATTTGCCTTGTCTTATCTCGTCCTGGGTGTCTGAACCTCTCATGCCAGAGGTAGCTATCTTTGTCTTCCTTCGAGTTGTTGTCTCAGTTTCCTGTGTTCTGGTTGTCCTCTGGGATGTCGTTGATTGTCTCTTCCAGCTCTAAAGCCAGTGCTTGTCCTTGCACATCGAAGCGGCCTTGTTTCCTGTTCTTCTTGAATTGCACTTGGGTACTGTCATTCTGCTTTATGGTAGTTCCAAACTCATCAAAGATTACTCGTGCACCATTCTTGATCAAGCCTTGTATGGACAATAAATTAGAATTGAGCTTCGGCACATAGAGCACATCCAATAGCTGGATGGTAGCCTCGCCAACCCGAAGGGAGGCATCTCCTATGGCTTTTACCTGAAGCTTTTCATCCCCTGCCATACTGATCTGACCATCCTTGCTCATCGAGGTGAGCAGCATTCTCTCATCATTTACCATATGATGAGTTGCACCTGAATCGACAATCCAGGTGTTGTATGCTGATTGCTCCCCCCTGTCAGTCGCTAGGAAGGTGCACCCAAGTTCCTAGTGACTCGCTTCCTGTGCCACACGAGCAGCAGGTTCACTCGTGTTTGGTGCAGGGTGGTTGTTGGTGTTTGTGCAATTACGAGCGATATGATTGGGTCCCCCACATGCATAGCATCTTGGAGGAGCTGAGGGATTATGCGGATCACGCCTGCCTCTGGGCCCCTGCTCCACCTGACCAGTACCCCCTTGCTCCGCACTTGTAGCAACCCTGGCTGCTCCTCTGATACAACCTGAAATCTCACCATCCTGCTGTTTCTTGGTAGTGTGTGGTAGGCTTCATCATACTTACAGTCTGGTTTGGCTGTCTTGAGTGCATCAACGGAGTTAGCATAGAACCAATCTTGTGCTGTGCAATGGTAGAGCATGGATTTCTTTAGGTCCTCATCAAGGCACTTCCCAAAATGTGCAGCATCGTTCCAAATGGAGTCAAGTTCCTTGCCTAGCCTGACTACATTGCAATTGTACAGACACATGGTGTGGATGCAGTCCTGCAGGCCTGCTCACTTCACCATGTCATTCAATGTTAGTGCCTTCCTAAGCTTAGTGTAAAGCATACTTCCAAGTTGGGCCTCCTCATCCACACCCCTAACGGTGTATGTGTTGATGCAGCTTTCTGGGCTGTGATCACAGCAAGCATGGATAAGACCTACCAGCACCTTGTCCAGGTCCTCATCATATCCCTCGCTTCCAGGTGCTATTTCGCTGTATAAGATTTCCTTTGCATTATGCACCCATTGCAAACAGTCAATAAAGGTGGGCTCCCAGGTGTGCCAGTTGTTGTCACTAAGTTTCTTAATGTGTGCAATGGCACTCGAGATGTCCTTGGGAATCTTCTCTGCCTCCCCTCTTGGGGCTTGAATGCTAATGCTGACAAGGCCCATTGCCCGTACAATTGCCTCCTCTGCTGTCAGCACCGGGTTTGCCAACTGTAGTATCCTGACCACCTGTGTAAGCCAACCCTCCTCCCAACCATTGCCCACAGTCATGGCTGCTTGATCATCATCTCTCTCCTCCCTTCCTGTCTGTCCTGCTCGTGTCGATGGCGGCATTGTACTTATCGTTGGACTATTGATGATGAATGTTGTGGGTTCGAGCCCCACGTTGGGAGCCAGTTAAAGTTTTCGTGTGATTGATGATGATGGTAAGAGAGAGTGAGTGAGAGAGTGAGGAGAGAGAAGGAGTCTATATATATACAAAAGAAGAGCAGCAGAGAGCCGCATTGACTGTGGAACATAACAAAGCATTTGTCTTGAGTAGGTTGTGACACATGTGGTCCATGCTCAGATGCTCAGGCCTTTTACTCGGCCGTAAGCACTACCTTCACTGTCTCTACGCTTTGTGTAGCTTTTATATACTTTAACTGCACATGCCGAATGTGGGTGTATCCTACTTAATGACCAAGTCTGACAACGAACGGGACTAGGTTGTACCCGATCTCTAGTGGGATCGGCTCTGTCCGATCTCTGATCAGATCGATTTTGCCCGATCCCTCCCGTATCGTCTCATGTCAACTTTCATCATCATATTGGATCGTTACCTTTGGCAAGGTGGAGCAACAAGAAGAAATAATATCAAGTGAGGGTCCGATTTTGAAAATTCTCAGCTACACAACTAAGCCGACCTGAAATTTCCCTCTCTCCGCGGAGACACGGTACGACATTGTGCACATACCACCACACTTTCGCTCCACCATCCTCGTTTCTTCCTCTTCACCACTTTCATCACACATTGCCATCATTGGTTCCGGTGGGAAACAGAAGCTGGTCTTCGCCCCCTTTTCCTCCTCTCATGCACCATGTCTTCCTCTACCGCTCCCCCTCCGCAAAGCATACCTCTGGCACAACACATCCCAACACTAACATTCCTCACCCTGACAGTCCTTACCTCAACCCTCATCCACCGAGCCCAGCCAACGCCGTATATCGATGAAATCTTTCACATCCCTCAAGCACAACTCTTTTGCTCTGCCCTACCGCACTTCTCTACAACCTCACTAGGCGGGCTATGGGAAAGACTGAGGGATGTGGAGTACGATAGCAAGCTTACCACGCCTCCCGGCTTGTACGCTATTTCGGTTGGATTGGCGAAACTGTTGCCGGGTTGGAGATGTGATGATGTGGCTTGGTTGAGGAGTACAAATTTGGCCATGGTGTTGACGCTGCCTGTGCTGGTGGGTAGGATTTTGCGGCAGAATGAAGCACAACAAGAATCTAGTTCACCTTCGATTCCAGCAACGCTGTTGCTTGTGGCTCCAACGAAGGCGGAATGGGTACAGAAGAAAGCTGTTCCAAGGACAGAGATCCAAACCTTACAGCAAAAAGCCAAGACAGAGGCTCCACCAACACCAGATGGCTCCAACGACGACCAACCTCCTTCGGTACCAATCCCTACAGTTGCAGTTGGGGAGAGAAGGGAGCAGCTAACTCTGCCTCTAAGGGCGAAGAGAAAAGAAGCAACACCCTACGACATGGCTCTAGCAAGCACGATTGCTTTCCTGCCCCCACTATGGTTCTTTGGCTTTCTGTACTATACAGATGTCGCTTCGGTTTGGCTCACCCTCGCCTGTCTTACCCTCTTCAATGACCTCGACCCGTCCAAGTCTACGGTCTCAACATCGATACTGTTGGTGCTAACTTCGATACTAGCGGTGATGGTAAGACAGACGAATCTGGTTTGGGTCATGTACTGTGCCGGACGGGCAACTCTCACTGCCATTCAAACACTGCAACCGGAGAGGAACAGAGGGGACGGGGGGCTGGTGGATGAGTTAACGAGATTATTCAAGACAGTAACGCGGAGAGAGTTCGGCAAGGTCGTAGGAAAGAACCTATTCCCCCTCCTACCGATGCTTTTCGGCTGCATCGCGTTCATCAGGTGGAACGGAAGCATAGTCCTAGGAGACAAAACAAACCATCAAGCAGGTCTACACTTGCCTCAACTAGGCTACTTTCTCCTCTTTTCCTCCTTTTTCGCCCTTTTCCCTCTCCTCCACACCTTTTATACTCCACCCTCCTCTTCTCGCTCACTTCCATCAACACTCGTCAAAACCTCGATGCAGACCATTAAAACAGTGTGGGACGCAGCTTTCGGCTCGCCAACCAAGACAGCCGTTTTCACCGTACTCTTCAGCCTCGCTTGGGCTGGAGTTGATAACTTCACAATCGATCATCCTTTTTTGCTTGCTGATAATCGACATTACACGTTTTATCTCTGGCGTATCTTCCGTCGGCCCTTACGCCTTGGAGGGGGAACGATGGTGTTGCAGCCGAGGTTTTTGGCTGTACCAGCGTACGTCTTCGCCTTTTACGCGTGGGGGTTGGCGTTGGGGTATAGCGGAAACGGTGGATTGAAGGGCGTATTGTTGGTAGGGGCGGTGGTAGCGACGTTGGTGCCTAGTCCGTTGGTTGAGGTTCGATATTATCTGATTCCGTACATTCTACTCAGACTTGCTATCGAGGCGAAGGGAGGGGGGGATGGGAGGGTGAGATGGATGTTTTTGGGATTGGAATTGGGGTTGTATGCCTCGGTGAATGCGGTTACGGTGGTTTTGTTTGCGGGGAGGAGTTTTGAGTGGGCTCCGGAAGCTGTTGATGTCTTGAGAGGAGAAAGCACTATCATGCGATTCATTTGGTAACTCACTTGTCGACACGCATCACATACCACAACTACACACGTGTCATACAGTATTTCTCGTGACTTGTAGAAAGTGTCCATTTTCGTGCGCTCCAAGATCAAGCTAGATCGTGATTGGTTCAAACAGCGCTTACACTCTTGCCGAAGCCAAAGTAGCTCGAATCGAGTCCTTGCACACTCTCCTTCTTCCCCCCGCTCGCAACACCAACTTGTTTCGGAGGATAGCCACTCATCTTATCAGCCAACTCCCTCGGAGCCATAGTCCAAACCGTCCCCATGCCCATTTCCAGATGGAAAGTCAAATGGCAATGCAGCAGAAACACACCTGCATTCCTACCATCGACTTTGTATCGGAGCACTGCGAATCCTCCATCGTTTTCGTTTGGGTTTGGGATCGTTTGGTTGAGGTATGCGGCTCCGGGACTCGCGTAGACGATTGTCGTGTCTCGCTTGATTGGCTGCTGGAAGCCAGAGCCGGGGGAAGGGGAGGAGGAGGGGTTGTAGAGGGATTCGAGACGAGAAAAGGAGAAAGTTCCAGGTTGGATGGTTCGTGACCAATGTTTATGTGAGTGCATGTGCCAGGGGTGAATTTCGACCGAGGATGAGAGTTGGGAGGGTTTATTGACGATTACGATGTCGATGACTTCGTTGGATTCTGCGAAATAAAGGTTCAAGTTCTTATCATAACCCTGACCCCAATGTCTTGCTTTTGCTGCGTCCCGCTCCGCTTGGCTGTCTGCGATTAGGCCTTGGACAGTGGCGTTTTCTGGACTGCTCGCATAGCTAGTCGGGTTGAAGCTAGGTGAATCGAGTTGCTCCGGAGTGGGGAAGTCAATATCGCCAAGGAAAGTTCGAACCAAGAAAGGCGAGGGATCGGTTGGGTCTGGGTTTGTTTCGTTGAACAGCTTCCCATTCTCCGCCCACTTTACGCCCTTGTTTGAAGGGTAGAACTTGACTTGTTGAGTATCGATGATGACCGTTCGAGTAACTTCGTCATCCTTAGGCATTGGGTTGGGGTACCACCATTGTGGTCCACCTGGTTTGGAGAGAGGTGAGAGTTGCGATGCGACCCATCCGAAAGTTTCCTTGGGCAAAAGTTGGAGTTCTTTGCCTGCGGAATCGAATAGAGCTGGAGGCGAAGCCCCGCCTTTAGCAGAAGGGTAGACGAGTTTAACCCACATACTCGGACCGGCTCGCCATCGCGATTCGGCTCTGATCCAGTAAACTCCTCCTGTGTTGTCCTTTGCTACTTGAGCGGCGGATTTAGAGCGGAAGAGGGTGGAGTAGCGTTGACCAGAGGTGATTTCGACACGATCAACTTCGAGTGGATGCAGGTAGGAACCGTCTGCTTCGATGAGCTCCATTTTTTCCCACTCCACCTTTTTACCTCCCCGTCCTGGTTTTGCGATTCCCAACGAGACATACATCAAGCTTGTTGCACCGATAAACCTGAACCTGTACCTTTTCCCATAATCCACCTGAATCTTAGGATAGTCTTTTGCGGTGGTACAACTCTTTGGAGCTGCATCGCAACTTACACCCACCAATGAAGCTTTGGTAGCGTTGCAACTTGGTTCGACCATACTTTTAATATCAGTGGGAGAGCTCTTTCCGTTGAGTAAAAGTCGGTTTGCACTTCCAGGCCAAACAAAAGGATCACCCTTTAATTGACCCGCCACTCTTTCGGGTGAACTATAACTCCACCAATCGCTCACAGCCAGCACCCTATCCTCATCCCACGTATATGGACTCTTCTTCCCACTTCCACCCGGTAACCCTTCATCACCCCATACATCCACAAATTCCACCTTGTCTCGCATCTTGATATCATTCGGATCAAAAAACTTGTCCTCATCCGGATCCTCCACAATCACAGCTCCGTAAGCAGTCATAGCCTGCACCCCCACATGAGAGTGATAGAAATAAGTACCCAAATCTTCCGCTGTCAAAGGGATTTTGTAATCGAAGAATTGACCAGGTTGGATTGGCCATTGGGAAACCATTGTAGTTCCATCCATAACTGGGTGCATTTTCATTGAGAGACCGTGGAAGTGCACGGTTAGGTTGTGCTGCATTGAGGAGGTGTGAGGGAGGCTATTGTAGACTCGGACGGAGAGGATTTCGCCGGAGCGAGCTCGAAGGGGTGGGCCGGGGAAGGTGGAGTTTATGAGGGGTGTGGAAGAGAAGGATTCGCATGCTTGCCAGATGTCGGAGGAGGTTACGTTTAGGATGTAGTGTCGGACGGTGATTCGGCGAGGTTTGTTGGGAGTAGGTGCCTGAGGGATGAGCGGAGAAGTTTTGGAGGGGGTAAAGATGATATCACTTGGTCGAGCAGAGATAAGGGATGTGAATATGGTGAGGAGGAGGAGGGGGAGCAGCAAAGTGCTGCTGAGAGGGGTTTGACGCATGATTGATTGGTGTGTGCCTCCTCACTTCTCTAGCACAGCTGTTGGGATGGGAAGCGAGGAGGGGGATGGGAAGGGAGGGCATATATCAATCCACCTACCCCCATCACCCCTCCTATACGGAGAGCCTAGAGGCGGGGGAGGTCCTCAGCGGAAAGCATGTGAGATCTGAAACACTTCTGTTGTCCATACTTCATTTACCTCTGCGTTCCCACCGAGTTCAGCCTGATTCTCACCTGCTTCTCCGCTCTCACCTTCCTTCTCTGTAGTTTTACACCATCTCCGGCGCCACACTATACCCACCAACGGAACCCACGTCAGCCATCATCGCCGATGAACATGCATTTGCTTGTACAGCCCCACCTAGCGACCCACACGGATTCAAACACCCGCGCTTGTCGATTCGGACCTCTTCCAGTTGAAGTCAGATGCGCCCGTACTGGACTCCTGACAGAGAACTTTTTTTTTTTAAATTCCCCTCCTGTATGTACGCTAGTCTTAGATCCATCATCAATTCATCACCCTACAACTCTTCCCTCACAGCCCCTACCGCCTCACAAGGCCCCCTTAGCACATGCGCGGGCACTTGACCGATGTAGCCTGCGCGGTTTGGCGCTTTAGGACCCACAATCTCACCCCCCCCCCCCCCCCCCCCTTCATTCGTTTTGGCCGGTGGCGTTCAAACACCGCCGTCGCTATACAAGACAGAGCTGTAGAACCCGGGGCGCAATCGTTGTCATCTTCTGTTCTGGGGAAGCAGCTGTATCAGTGAAATCACATGACCTCAACATTATGCTCTAACATGTCCGCCAACTTGGCTCACCGTCGCCACTCATCAACACCCCCTTACCCCTATTGCGATAGCACGCAATTATACGTCTCACTTCATTCCACATACGCACACACTGACCATCAGTAGAGACACAAATACCTGGCTTCGCTTTGTACTTAGTTGTCTCTTAATTATAACGATCGCTATCTACCTCGCCGCTCCTTGCTTGTGCATTCCTCAACAAAAAGTCGGTCCGAATGGCTGGCTTCGTTATTTGACAGCAACCATGAAAGGCAAGAAAGTGTGGAAATAAATTCCAATTTAAAAATAAGTCTGCATCCACCGCCACCACAAAGCCAGCAAGCGAGAGAGTGGGTCACAGAGCTTCATCACAAATCAGCAAGACAATGAGGGTGGCGGGAAATTGGCATAGAATTACACCAGCGTGAAAAAACAACAACATGAACCTCGAAGTGGATAGGCTTCGAAGAGTGTGTGCTAACAAAAGCCTATACTTGTGTCGTTTTCCGCACCGAGTACAAGGGAAGAGAGGGTGGATGCACATCATAGCTGCCGATAGATCATATCCCGAAAAGTCTGTGTCATGTGGTGAGAAGAAAGCAAAGTGGATCCAAGCCTCCCCAAACACCCCTTTCCGACATACAAGTCACGACAGCTCAGTGTCTTACATTTTCTTCGAGGGGTGGAGGATGATTTACCAAACCCGAGTCTCGAGCAACAAATCGCTCTCGGGAGCCAAGCCGAGACAAGCCCTCATGAAGTTAGTACAAGCGGCCCGCTGTCTGTTCAACGAGTTTACAACGTCAGTTCCCGGCTTGACAACAGGAGCCTTCAACGAGTAGCTCAAGAGCGAAAGAACCGAGTACATCGAGTTCCATTCTCCCTCCTTATCGCCCTCGCTCCTGTAAGTGATCCTGGTCATCAACTCGGCCAGGATGGTCAAGTCCAGCAGAAGAGGCGAAGCGAGAAGAGAGTCCTCGCACAGGTTGGTGACATAGAGACGGTTGCGGCCACCCATGCAAAGTTCGCTGGTGTAATCGTCCATAGCAACCTTCTGATCACCCACAGCAGGTTGGTACTTGATGACGATACAGTGGTCAGGGTGTTCGCCTTTGTCGGCTTTACCATCTGCAGTCTTCTTACCAGCAACGGCGGGCTTGTAGAGAAGATGGTTGGCAGCACAACAGTCGTCGACGACGGAAGATTTGGAAATCTCCTTAGACTTGAACTGACGTTGAGAGCTCAAGTTGTAGCCATCGTTGTTACCCAAGTGGTTGTAACTGGCGATCGAGAGAGGCTTGATACCGGCATTGACGAGGAATTCAGCAAGGACGGACTTGACTTTGGTCTGACCAGTCTTGAGATCGTCACCACCAATGAAAGCCTTGTGCTTCTCAGCAAGCTCGATGCAACCCGGAACGAAGGTGTTCTGAGGAGCACCGTTGACGTAAGGAGCATTCTCAAGGATGCAGGCAATGGCGAAAACGGTTGAAGGTGAGACTTCGGCGTGGTTCTCGTTGACCGACTTGAGCAAGTTATCAGCAGTGTCGTTGACACCGGGGATGATCTCGGAGTAACGTTCGGTGTTGGCGGTCCAAACAACGATGACCTGGTCGAGGTTGTTCTGACGCTTGAACTCGCGAATGTCGGCACGGATCTGGTCGACGTGAGCAGCCTTGGAGTCACCGGGAAGGGTGTTGTCAGCACGCTCCTCCTGGTTCTGAGCGATAAAGTCAGGGTAGTAGACGGAAGCGAGAGGCTTCATCTCGGCTATGTAAGGAGCAACCTGACGCTGAAGATCATAGTCGAGAACCTTGGCACGAGTCATAGCCTGGTCCATGGGCAAACCCGAGATATCCCAACCACCAAGCACAAGGTCGTTAGGATGAACCATGGGCAAGACGTTGGAGAAAGGAACCCAGACATCCTTACCGGTAGCAGGGTTGGTACCGAGACGGATGGTGGAAGCACGAACGAGCGATCCGTAGTAGTTGGGCACCTGGAGTCCGTCCTTGTTGTGCCAAGTGATGTTGTGCTTGTTGGCAAGGATGGTAGCGGTGATGGTGGTACCGTTGTTACCACCCCAACCGACCATCATGAGACCGGTGCGAGGAAGCTTGCGTTCGGTCTTGAACTGGTACTGACGCTGGATGGGAGTAGCAACGTACTCGGTGGTGCCATCGTCGTAATTGACCTTTTCAACGTGAGTGTTGAGGTACTCGTAGTTGGAGGTGATGGCCTCGGGAGTGTACTGAACCTTGTCCGAGTTGACTCGGATGAACTCGCGCTGCTCGTGACGAGCATTGGTCGGGTTGATGGGCACGTTGGCGCCATTGCCGTTCGCAGCATGGCCATTGACGGCATTGTTTCCGTTAGCGACAGGAGCCATTGTTGGAAACAGTAGATAGGAGGAAAGGGCGAAAGTTGAAGATGTAAGTCTTGTTGCTTGAAAGGGATTTAATGGGCTGCGAGGAAAGCAGGGGCGGTGTGTTTGCTGCCCCTGTGAGAGTTGTGAGACGAGCAAAGCTGGTTGGAGAAAATGGTGGGCAACAGTTGTAAAGTATTGCAAGTCCCTTGAGTCTTTCTGGGACAGTGACTTGCAAAGGAACAAACTGGGAGTATTTGAGGTGTAAGAGAGCTTGAAAAGTCGACGATGGACGATATAGATACGCGATGCGATGGGGAAAGAGGAAGAGGAGAAGGTCGACGGCAGAGACAGGCTTCTTATATGGGGTGACAGCTGAACTGGGAGCTCCGAAGCCTCTTTTGGAAGCGTGTGACGAAGGCTGGATTGTCTCTCGATTTTCCCTCCTCCAACTTCCGATCAGAAAAATGAGAGGCACTAGCCGAGTCAAGGATGTCCAGACACAGCTGCTTTGCTCTAACCGGGAAATAGAAGGAACAGCGTGACGCCAAGGGGAGGCAGCAGAGCAGAGACCCACCGAAATGGAGTCGAAAATCAAAGTGAAAGCCGCAATGACCTGCGTGTGTAGTGCAGCAGCTCGGATCACGGCAAACACCAACACCATCCACAACGCGTTGCACAAGAGAGCCACAGCCGGATCCAATCGGCCGAGAGTGGAAATCAAAAATTTGTCCTGCACACAGCACAACACGGCCGCCATCACCCTCCTCCCCTTCGATCCAGCTCTAACAGACCTTGGCCAAGTGTAAGACAATGCAAGCGGTCTGTGTGTGCCAAACAAACAAAAGCATGAATGTAGAACAATTAGCTAGCTGGCGGTGGTCAACATGTTGGTTGAACGGCGTTTCGCTGAGACGTGAAAGCCACAATTGCCGAGCCAGAGAGAGAGGCAATGCAATACTGGCTCGAGAGAATGCTTCCACTGCAGCCTGCTGCATGACCTTGCCTTCTTCCCTTCCACTCTCGGCATCTTGACTTCCGATCCTTCAGACTAGTCCAAGCTTTGATCGCCTTTCCGAGAAGCTTAAAACCAACTTTGTGTAGAGGGTCCTAAGCGTGCAAAGACCGGCTCCGAGTAAGACGCTTTGGGGATGCCGTCACACAGGCCTGATCAGTACTGCTTGTCGTTCAAGAAGCTTGACAGAATCAAATTCTCTCGAGATACAGGTCGATCGTCTCAGGAGCTGGACCCCACACAACCTTACCACTCGCCGGCTTCACACTTGTGTGTGTTTGATGGATTGATGGATTAGCAGAGTCTGCAATTCCAGAACTCCATTTCATTCATGCGGGTATACTTTTACCTCTACCTCCGACTCGCAAGCTGCAAACTCGGATTCACCACCCTCCTCTGATTGACCAGCCAACTCCTACCAGGAGCATTCAAACTGGTCAACCCACTAAGCGCTTTCACTCCGCCAGCCGCATACACTCCCGAAGCTCCTCTTGCCCCCGCAATACCACCACCACCTCCTCCGCTCGGATTCCTGCCAGACTCCAACTCCACCATATACCTCCTCCCCAATTCTTGATACGCTGACATCATAAGTCTTTGTTCGCGTTTCAAGTTCCGCACCTGCTCCCTCAGTGAACTTGCTTCATCACCTGCACCGCCCTGAAGACCAAGTCCGTTTCCATTGCCAGCTAGACTACTAGCCGCAGCTGCTGCTGCAATGCTTCGATCTTTCTCCTTGATCATCTTGTCTTGTTGCTTGATGAATGTCTTCGCTTTGGCAAAGCGTTCTTGTAGTGCTTTGAGATCGTGTGATGAGCTCATAGCGTCGTTTTGCAGGCTTGCGACCATATCCTCCACTTCCTTGGGCAGACTCTTGCCTTTGAGTCGTGTCTTGAGCTCGCCCAGTGTACGTTCTCGTTTGAGCGCTTCATCGCGTTGTCCGATGCCTTCAGCTTGCAAGTCCACCTTCTCCATCAGCAATGCGTTGACTTGGGCCATATACATGCGGTTCTGCTCGCTCACCGAAGCCAATTCTGACTTGAGCTTCTTGACATTCGCTTCCAACTCGTCCTTGTCTCCTTCCATCGACGCTCTCAGCGAGTGCAGAATATCCACCTGATCCTTGTTGACCAGTGTAAGGTCTGACTTGGCTACGGTGAGCTCACGAGCCACTTGCTCGTTTTGCACTTCCAGCTCGGTCAATCTCCGCTTCGCACCATCCAGCTCTTCGACCACCTCATTGAGTCGTAGTCGCAACGCATAGGCTGCTTCCGTACCATCACCTAGATCCGACTTGCCGCTTCGAATCGCCTCGAGCTGGTTTTGGAGCACCATCTTGTCTCGATGCCCCCGTAAGTAATCAGCTTCGTAACGAGCTTTCATGCGCTGCGCATCCTCCAACAAGTTCTCGAGTACGATCAGCCGCGACTGGTCCGCTTTGTTCGCTTTTGCAGCTTCGAGCTCGCGTACCAGCTTGCGAACTTTGATCTTGAGATCAGTCATGGTAGTGCCACTCAGGGCATCCTCGAGCTCGCCTGACCTATCCAGTAAATCTTCATCCTCGAGATCATTTCCTTCTTCGGCACTAGCCCGACTTGCGTCGGCCGCAACAAGACCATCGACTCCATTCGCAGAGGCGTTCGAGTTTCGGCTGACGAGCTTCTTGCGTGTCGCACCAGCAGCATCACCTCCCAGCTCAAGCTCCTTGATACGTTCCTGATACAGTTCAATTTCTTCCTTCTCTGAAGCTCTTGACGCTTCTGATGCTTTGAGCCGCGAAAGAATTTGATTTTGTTCGTATTTGGAAGTCGCGAGATCGCGCTGCAGGTTGCAAGACTTGGACTCGAGGTCGGCGATCTGTGTCTTGTACGAGTCCATGAGCGGCTTGAAAGCGGAGACGCGTTTGTACTCGTCTTCGAGCTTGGCATTGCGATCGACCAGCTCGGCGTTCTGATCCTCGAGGGTCTTGAGTTGACGTCGAATGTCGGCTCCCTCCTCGAGCTTCTTCTTGTACTTTTCGATGGCGTTTTCTGCCTTCTGCAGTCGATCTGCAGCGTGGCGATGCTCTTCAAGTTGATCCTTGAGCTTCGTGGCCTCCTCTGCGCTCTTTTGCAACTCCTCGATCTTGCGCTTGGACTCTTGGGCCGTTTGAAGAAGCTTCTCGTTATCCGTCTCGAGCTCGGCAACGGCATCTTCGCTGTGTCGGAGGTCATTCTTGAGCTTTTCGATCTCTTGAAGCATGAGCACATCAGCCTGCTCGTTCCGCTCCTCTTCAACCTTCTTCTTGTAGGCTTCGTGTGCTGACGCAAGCTCGTCCTTTTCCGTTTGCAGATCCTCGAATTGGTTCTGAATGTTGCGATGTCTCTCGAGCAAGAGCAAGTATGTCTTTTCGATATCATCCTTCTCCGCTTGTACTGCTTCAAGCTGGGTAGCAAGTTGAGCAGCAGACTTATCGCCGTGCTTCGCAACAATGTCATCTTCAGCACCGGCGGCGACAGATGACGAGATAGAGTCGTCAGCTGCCGAGGCTGCCTGCTCTTCTTCCTGCCCTTGCTTAATGAATGTCATGATGCGCTCGATCGACATCATGAGCTGATGCTGATGTGTCTGGTCGAGCGTCTGAATGGCAGCAATGTGTGTTTCGTTCTTTTCGCTTTGTACTGCGATTCCGATCGCGAGAAGGCAGAGCTTGGCCAGCTCGGCAGAGTCTGACGATCGCGCGATGGCGTTGAGGTCAGGTGTTGGTAGCGGTGTCGGAGCACATTGCAAGCTCTGCGAGTAGAACTGCATCATGAGCTTGTATAGTCGTTTGAGAGTGCCGATGGTGAGCACCCAGTTGTCCTTGGTGTCGCCGGCATGTGGATTGCGGAAGAGGTCCGGGTCGATATCAGCAAGGATCTGGAACAGGGCGACACCATCTGAGAGATCTGCTGGCCTTCGTACGGCCTTGCTAGAACCAGCGATGTCGGAAAGAACCGCTTGTGCCCATGCGATATAGGCGTCAATCTGTGCATCTGGAGCCGCAGTAGCGCTAACCGAGGCTGGTGAGCCTTCCGATGGTGGTATCGGGGGTTTCTGTGATTCTGTCATGATGGCTGACGGTCAAACGGAGCGATGGGCCGTTGTGGTGGATTGATATCAATGAGGCGTTGTGGCTGTTCACGGATGGTCCTAATTCACATTGAGACCAATGAAGGATGATGAGCTTTCTGCCACGTTCTTGTGGGAAGTTCCGATGCCACTCGGAGTAGCTGCCATGCCAAGGCGGAGACTCCGATAAAGCGTGGGAAAGATGACTTGCAAGCACGGATGATCCGACGCAGCGATGATGCTGCTCTGCTGCTGGTGTTGATAGTATGATAGTGGTGTGCTGTAGCTCAAGATAGGAAGGTTAGTGCAAGAACGTTTAAGTTTGTCTGTGCGTGCGTGCGTGCGTGTGACATTTGGCCAAAGTGGAGCTTGACTGGCGGCTGCGCGTGAGAGGCACACGAGCACAGGTGTTGGTCTCAAGAAAGCCTTTCCTCGAATCGCGATTTGGGCATCACGTGAGATTGGCAGTACCAATCCGAAGCTTCGCACAGGCACACAGACAGACACGCTCTCGAAAGCATCATCCACACTCAACTTTCCTGACGTTTTGACCACCACCATTTCGCACAGCCTCCAGCTTCATCGTACAATCTTTGCTAGCACCGACTTGACACATCTCTACTAGCTTCGTAACGATCATACGTTCAGCTTTCATCACCCACGACAACGGCAGCATTTGGACTGGAAGCGGCCAAACAACATCATTCTAACAGCTTCTCCACCTTTCCTCAGCTGCCATCCTCCACAGCAGTCACTCGAAGCAGCAGAACGATCAAGTGCACAAGAAGCCATCGGAACTGACCTCTTCTCGTCGTCATAGTCATAAGAAAGACATAGTTTCGTAAGGCGGTCGCAAGTCGGACAAAAGTAGTTACGACTGACACCGTTCACCCGTTTGCCACCTCTGCCTCGATATCTGGCAGCCAGAATATGACCATCATGGACGGCGAAGACATGCAGAGGCTATGGTCTCTCATAGAAGACCTTACCAATCAACTCCAAGCCAATCGACAACTCTGTGAATCTCTCCAACAACAAGCCGATCAACTCCGCGGCCAAGCCATCCACTCCGGCACCGGATTCGCACTTCGCAGGTTCAACACCGATCTTTCCAAAGAAAAATTCGAATCCGAACTCGAGACTCTCAATGCCCATCTCGTTAAGGAGAATCTGAGCTTGTCGCACGAGAACAAGCAACAGGCTGTACTATTGCGAGAGTACGAAAACACGCTCGAGACGGTCATGGCCAAGTTCAGAAGCTTTTCACATTCCACACAACAACATACGTTGCAGTTGACACAGCATTATGAATCCTTGTTGGCGCAGACCACGCATAATGCGGCAGAACAGACTTTGGCTGCTGAGACGGCGTTCAGTGGGACTTTGACACATTTGGGTGGAATGGTTAGGAGGGCGCTGCAGTCTTTGGACGGTGAGGTTAGTGATAATGATGAGGAGGAGGAGGAAGGAGAGGGGGACGGGAGTGGGAGTGGGCGGAAAAGGAAGTCGAAGCGTGGATGGGTGCAAGATCCGAAATGGTATGGGTCAGGGGGGTATACTGGCAAAACGACGGATCCTGTTGCGCTGCGTGCGGATGAAGCGCTGGAGCAGTTAACAGAAGAGGAGAGGTTGCGGATGGAGAATGTTACCCTGCGCGAACTTCTCGGGTTGAAGGAGAAGAGCGATGCGTTGTTGTCAGCCGGTAGAGCAGGTGGCCTGGTGCAAGCAGATGTAAACGCAGCTGCTGCAGCGCCAAAGCCCATGTCACCAGCAGAACGACGTGCGTCACTGACAGTAGACGAAGCAGCGATTGCAGCAGAAGCAAGCGGTCAGCCCCCATACAAAGCTCTATCAATATCTTCCACTACACGACCTGGAGAAGAGAGCAGTGTGGAATCAGCGACTTCACCGGCTCGTGCATCACCCAAGCTCACATCCGCACTCGAGCGCAAGGATCAGATCATTGAAGAAGCCATCTCGGCAGAGGACGAGAACAATGCTGGGAGAGGACGTCAAGCTGGAGAGACGAGCCTGATCGTTGAGGCGGCGGCGAATGGCGAGGCTTCGACCAATACAGCAGCACTGCCCTTCGTGTTTGCAGCAGATGATGCAGAGGAAGCACCCTCGTCCATCGAGGAGCTTCGAGCTTCGGCCGCAGCTAAGCAGGAGAATGGTGAGACTACGCAGGTGCATGCTACTCTTCCCGACACAACCGGTGCCGCGACTGATGCAGACGAAATCACACCGATCGACGAAGTGGATGTGCCCAGCTTGGCAGAGCCGGCATCGAGTGCAGAGCCGAACCTGCTGGCAGAGGCGTCGCCTCCAGCGTTGGTGTCGACTGGGATTGAAGATAGTGATGCCAAGACCACTGTCACTTCTGCATCTGGTATCGATGTAGCTGAGTCGACGGGTGCTGCACCTTCTTCACTCACGCAAACACGGTCGGCTGCGTCAACTGCTTCCTCCAGTTCCTCCTCATCACCCTCGCTTTCTGCCGGCACCAGCGAGACTTCCACCTCGGTCGTCGAGACTGAGGCCAAAGAGGAAGCCGAAGCCGAAGCCGCTGCCGCTCCTCCAGCTGACAGTGCAAAAGAAGACTTTGCGCCCGTCGTAAGCGAGCCTTCAGCGGCGGCGGCGGAGACAAAAGAGGCTGTTTTGCCCGCCGAACCAGCCAAAGCGGACAATGCTAGTGCCTGGCCAGAAGCAGTGGTCCTAGCAGATGCAAAAGGCACAACAGCACCTGTTTCAAGCACGGAGGAGAAGGAGAAGGCTGGTGCTGCAGCGGCTCCTGTGAAAGAGACAAGGGCTCCATCTACAGCGAATCAAGGAGGCGGCGGTAAGAAGGACGGGCAAGCATCGCCGGCGAAGAAAGGTGGGCGAGGGCATAGGGGTAAGGGAAACAGGCATAACAAGTCGAATTCGAGTGCTTCGAATAAGGGCGGGTTTTGAGTGCATCCATGAAACTCACATCCATGCATGTCCTCTTTGCAATTATTACCAGCAAGCAAGATGCCATCTCCTGATATTTGTGTACTGAGTAGTTGGATTCGTATCTGAGCAGTCAGGTGTTGTCGAGCAATTTTGCAGTGCGGAACACGGAAATTGAGCCCTGAAGTCTGGAAAGCGCGCTTTTTGTGGTTGCGCACGAGCCTTGTTCGCGAGATCCATTCTTCACACCATCACCAGCAACAGCACTTCAAACACGACCCTTTGCTTCTACTGACAGCGCCTTTCTTCCCTCACGGCTTGATACAGTCGGACTGCTGTCAAAGCGTAGCAAAGATGACATCGACGCCACGAATCTCACAGCGATTTTCAACACAAACAACCGCGTCCACCTCTTCCACGTCTTCCTACCCTCACCCTCCCCCATCGCAGCTGCCGGATCCGTCATCAGCAGCATCCTACTCGTTCGCCCAATCCAGCACTGCCATACCCCCACCCTTTTCATCTCGTCGTACCTCTGCCAGTGTGCTTTCCTCTTCCGCCTCCTCATCCCAACAAACCGCACTTATCTCCTCTTCTGCGTCTTCGGCTTCACAGCGCTACTCGAATCCATCTCGGAACGCTTCTGCAAGATCTGCTTCTTCCGTCATCGATGAAGGAAATACTTCCTACAACTCTACCGGTGCATGGACGAGAAGCGGACCGGTACCGGATATCGTAGAGCGACCGAGGGATAAGACTCGACAGAGTGAAGTGGCTCTCTCTTCACTTTCGTTCCTTTTTTCCGAGATTGTTAGCTACACTCAGAACAGGGTCACGGGCGTCACCGACTTGGAGAAGAGGTTGAGTTTGATAGGATACACGATGGGTCAGAGGGTATTAGGGTTGGCAATGCATAGACAAGAAATGACGAATAACCCAAAAAATCCAAAAAGGGAGACGAGATTGTTACCTGCCCTACTATGGATCCATACTGGCTTCTGGAAAGCTGCGTTCGGAAAGGCGGCAGATTCGTTGGAGAGAAGTACTGAAGCTGGTCGTGGTGATGAGTGTAAGTTCCCCGCCGCTCCCTAAGCCCCCTTTGCGAAAGAGAGAGAAGAAGTGCTAATGACGTTGACGTTTTTGTTTGGGTGAGGATAGATATGATTTCGACGAACGTGCCTACGTTCAGCCGAAGCATATGTGTACCGAACGACATGTCCCAACTCAGTGTGGAAGCGATTACAGCAGGAATGGTAGAGGCGGCATTGGATGGGTTAGGTTTTCCAGCAAGAGTTACTGCTCATACGGTTCCAACGGCACAGTTTCCAAATAGGACTACGATTTTGATCAAGCTAGATAGAAGTGTGATGGATAGAGAAGACGCCCTTTCCTCATCCTAACCCTTCTCCTCGGCAATATTACCATTCCCTTTCCGATCTACGACGGTGATTCGGTGGGAGGGACGTACCATTTAGCCTGAACAAATCGACGTTGCATGTTAACCTCACTCCTTCTGTTGATCGCTGTTCTTCTTAACACTTCTACTTCCGCCTCTAGCCCTACTTGTCTTGCCAGCTCCTCTAGTTGCTCCTTACGGAAAAAGTAGTTGAAAGTATTGTCTCCTCTTCGGTACCAGTTGTGTTCCGGATCTGGGGTTAGGAGCGAAGGTTCTGCCCAAGCAGCATCTTTTTTGGTGTGATATCGGACTTGGGATAGGTCTCCGTATGCATAGTCTCGAAACAGGATATGTCCTCCTTGTGGTAGTAATGCTTTGAGAGACCGCAGGACTTGGGCGTGAAGATTTGGAGGGATAGCTGAAAGTACAAAGATCAAACTTATTGTGGTGACGCTAGGCCAGGTATTATACGGTGCAACAGAGAGGAAGGTCGAGAGGGGTGGAGAAGGGGAGGTTAGGTCGAAAACGAAAGCGTTTACTCTTGCTGGATCGTATTGTGGCTGAGACTTGACCAGATCCACCGCGCGGGATGAAAAGTCACAACAGTGTACACGAAGAGAAGGATTGGTATTGAGGAGTGGATAAAGCATGTTTCCCACTCCACAGCCTACTTCTAGGAGAACTCCAGATTCGTTGCCAACTTGTTGCGAGACTAAGGTTGTTTCTTCTTCCCTGTCATCTTCGCCCTTTGCCTTTCCGGTCGAAGAAGAAGCCGTCAAGGGCGTGGAAGTGGAAGAGGAGGAGGAAGAAGCAGATGGAAGCTGAGAAGAAAACTCTCGACTAGTCCAATGACGATCTTTGAAGAATTTATCCTGATGATTCTTGTAGAACTTGTCCCAATTCTTTGCTGCCTCAGCAGAGTGCTTTTTGACGGCGAAATCTGTAGCGGAACGACGATTTGTGGAGATGAGGGAAGAGATGGTGGATTCGACTTCTGGTTGTTCGGGTAGTGATTCGTGTGGTGCTGGTGCTGGTGCTGGAGCAGATCTTGCGGGTTGGTCTGTCATTGTGTCTGCTGTTTCCTCTTCTTCGGTGCAAGGAGGTGATCGTTGCGGTAAGTGCAGGTCGAAGCCTCAGAAGACTGAAGAGGGTGGACCAGAAAACGAGAGATCGATGAGGTAAATCGTGCTAGTGGTGCACGAGGAGGGATGAAGAGGGTCGAGAAGACAAGATAAGTTCGGCGACTTGTTTTTCTTTTGCTTTTCATTTTGCACAGGGTCTAAGCTCGGGAGAGAGTGGAGGAAACAGAAGCCGAAAGATAGGTTTGCCCTTGTCCTACTCAACTTGAAGGAGATAGGCTCTGTTCTGCCTCAGCCTCTTATCGACGAGATACTTGCAGCTTTGTTCTGCTTCTGATGTACTGCAGCATGTTCTCTTTGGCGGGTTATCTGCGTTATGGACCATATTTCATTCGATTAGAGACTCAGAAGGAAGGCGCAACACACGGGCATCAACCCATTCCCAGCATGTCTTAAAAGAGGCTGTCCCCCATGAGAATGTCCAAGGAAAAAGTCGTAGAATATGTACAAGTGTCACAACGTTTTTTGCTGAAGGGGGAGAGGTCGACATTGACCCAGCCAAACTCGAGGCATTGCTGATGCCCAAGCCCATCACTCAAACCCCCCGAACCTGTAACATCATCCCTCGCACCCTACCCCTTCGCACCCAACACACCAGCCAACCAATCCAAACCCTCCGTCAGTCCCTTTCCCGTCAGTGCACTACAGCCAAAAATCTGCCATGTCCGCTCCCTAAACGCTGTCAGTGCCAAACTTTCACTTATTTCCGCCGGCGTCATTGCTCCCTTTATATCTTGTTTATTCGCCCAGACCATTATCGGCGCTTTTGTCACCTGTTCGTCTTGTGCTATTCGATGCAGTTCTTCTCTGGCGAGAGAGGCCCGTTCACGATCGTTGGAGTCGAGGACGAAGATTACGGCATCGGTGGAGGTCAGGTAGGAGGTCCAGGATGTACGGAGCGAGGTTTGGCCGCCAACGTCCCATAGGGTGAATTTGAGGTTTTTGTATTCGAAGTTTTCTAGCCAGCACCACAGGAGCAAACAGGATAATGAGAGGGTTGGTATGGGTGAAGGTGGTGAGAGGAGGGGAATGGGGAGGGGATGCTTACCAGTGTTGGACCCGACTGTGGGAGCGGTGGAAACGACTGATCCGAGAGTCATTTTGTACATTAGGGTTGTTTTGCCTGCGTTGTCCAGTCTGTTCATATACACAGAGCGAAGGATGATGGGATGGTATAGTGAGTAAAGCAATGATGGAAGTAGGTTAGGAGGGTGAGAAGGAGAGGTACGTACCCGAGAATACAAATCTTTAGCTCCTTCGACCCGAACAAGGAGGTCCAGAGGGAGCTGAACGCCACGCCCATGGCTGCTGCACTTGGCACTTTTTCGTGTATTGCGGCTGTTTTGTGCTCAGCCTCGGTTCCGGTGTTGTTGTTGGTGGTGGTGGTGGTGGTGGTGGTGGTGTCTTGGGAAGGTATGCTATGAGGCGTTCCAAAAGGCGTGTACCGAAACCCGTGCGACAAGAAGAAATTCCTCCACCTCTCACACAAACACACATGCACGGCCACTTTTCTCGTTCAGGGTCCAACCCGACCAACACCAGGCAACCTTCTCATTGACCATCACTCACCGAAGATATGCTGAAGCGACAAGCTTGCTCGTCTCAGCCTCCCCTCTCTTACACCCATTCTCCTAGCTCCTCTACGGTTCAGCTGCAAGCCAAGGCGAGCAACAATGCATGCACATCGCTCGCAGCAGCGCAATCGCGAATCCTCCACCTCTCTCTCCTAATCCGCCTCCTGTCCCTCTTTCTCCTCCTCCTCGCCTCCCACCTACAACAACCATTCGATACATCCCATCAACTCCTCTCATTCTCACTCGACCCTTCGACCGCCCATTTACTCTCCTCCGGCCCTTTCCACTGGCTTCTAAGCTTCGTACGATGGGATACAATCCACTTCCTCTCTTCCGCCTCCCCCTACAACGCTCCGCAACATATTGGTGGATATCGGTGGGAGCAAACGCTAGCCTTCCAGCCCGAAATCATTGCTCTTCTTCGTGTCACTGGTTATGTCACGCCGAGTATGGATGGGAGCTGGAGCCCTACTTCCGCGATACTTCTTACGACGATTTTAGCGAACCTCGCGACACTAGTGGCGCCCGTGCTCTTGTTCCGGCTCAGTTTGAGGGTGACAGGCAATGCAAAGCTGGCCGAAAGTGCCGCAATGCTAAGTATACTGGCTCCTGCAGCAGGGACTACGTTAAGCTGTCCTACTCCGGAACCATTTTTTAGTCTAGCGAGCTTGGTTGGGATGCTAGCACTCGAAAATTCAAATCAGGCAGGACAGATTCGATGGAGGAGTCTGGTCGCAGCTTCACTCAGTTTTGCCGTCGCAACAGCTTTTAGGGCCAATGGAACGCTGTTAGTTGGATACATCGCTTTCGCCCTCCTAAGAGCAGCCAGAGTAGAGAACGCGATCTTGTTGCTGCTCAAGTTGATGGTGGGCGGGGCCGTGTGTGTGGCTCCGAACGTATTGTTTCAAGTTTGGGCATACACTCGGTTCTGTCTTTCAGGCAAATCCAGGCCATGGTGCGAAGGAAGATTACCAAGCATATACAGCTTTGTCCAATCTCACTACTGGAATGTCGGCTTCTTACGCTATTGGCAACTATCTCAACTTCCCAACTTTGCTCTCGCTGCACCAGTTCTCCTCGCTATAGCCTATACCGTCTTTGCTTACTATCGCACTTCAACGCCCCGCGAGATCGGGTTTTCACTCAACCCACTCGCATCCCCACTCGCATCAAAAAAGGAAGCGGAACGGTTGGGGTTAAGCTCGGCCGCAAAGGCAGTCCCGTACGTGGTACATGGTTTGGTGTTAGGATTGGTGCTGTTATTCGCATCACATGTACAGATAGCGCTTAGGCTGGCTACTCCGGGTGGTATGCCGATGGTTTGGTGGGGTGCAGCTCACGCCGTAGTTCAGTCGAAGCGGTGGAGGAAGGTGGTTGTGGGATATTTGGCGGTGCAGTACGGAGTCGGGATTGTGCTTTATGCTGGGTTTTATCCTCCTGCTTGACACCTCGCCACTTGACCAAGGCAAGCTTTGTTCAGTATGTCAGAGGTATGATGTGTGAAAGTGTGTCGATACAGCAAGATGAGAGGTGTAGCGCAACGCGACAGCGAAGAATGAGATGCAAGGAGAGGTCTTTCCTCTCTCTCATGCACCCAGTCCAGGAATGAGGAAGGTCCTACACACCGAAGGGAGAATACGGAACAGGATTGGCTGTGGCGAGTGGCAGAGTGAAAGAAGAGCGGAGAAGCAGAGAGGGATGCTGCTATATTTGGTTCACAGCCAAAGCTCACACCGCCCCTTGAGAAGGCTTTAAATACAGAAACCTCACCACGCCCTTGACGTTGGATTTCCGACTCGCCAATCCTAGCTCTCCATCAGCCTTCTCCATCCATCATCTCCATCCATCATCTCCATCCATCATCTCTTTTCCACTTATCCACCAACGCATCCCCCCTCCATCTCATATCCAAACAAGGTTCAACCATGTCTCAACAGCTACAAACCCAGCTATCGTCAGCCGGAATGGCCGAAGATTCCGCCTACTACGTTGGACGATACACCATCCAAGGACTTCAATATGGCTGTCTCGCCGCAACACCTCTCTATCTACTCCAAGCTGCACGTGGACGAGGTTTCTCGCTCCGCGCTTTGGCCCGTTATAATTGGATTCTTCCTGTAACCGGAGCAGGAGCTGGTTCAGTCGCTGGTTATGCCGCCACATCGCAACTCGACCATCCTTCTCTTGCCGCTAGAACTTCAGAGTTGCGTCTCGATGCGCAAAGGGTTAGACAAGATGATTTGCATTTGATTGGAAGCGTGTTGGGTGCATTGGTGCTTCCAGCAATTTTCTTGAAGAGGACTGGACTGGTTAATGGTTTGCTTGGTGGTGCAGGATTGGGCGGTGCGGGGGGAATGATTGTTCATCAGGTTCAAAAGTTGGGTGGTAGTGGAAGTGCGATTGAAAAGTTGGAAGGAGAGGCGAAAGGTGCGGTTGAGAAGGGGAAAGGAAAGGTTGAGGAGATGAAGGGTGAGGTTCAGAAGCGACTCTAACCCCCTCACAAAGATATGAGTGTGGGTGAAGAAGGAGCAAGTGAGGGAGCGGTTGATAGCGAATGGTTGGCAAGAGTTGCAATTCTATCGCAAGGATGTCTTCAGTGCAAGGTACAGAAACAAGCAACTACAGGAAGCCTAGCTCAAACCCTGCATCCAAGCCCAACAAGCAGCCCGACGAGCTTGATTGATGCACCAAAATGCGACACTCCCCCCTCTCCAGCCCTACTCGGTGCAGACTTAGGCTTTATGTGGAATGCTTTCACACAAATCTAAACCTGACTCGCGAAGCATGCATGTCAATATGCCACAAACAGCCAGGTCAAGAGCATCTTTGCTAGGGGCCACGCTCCAGTAGCGAGGCTGAGGCGTGATTGAAAAGCAGCATCTGGGAGAAGATGTCTGGTTGAGAGATTGCAAGGAGACTGCTTTGCGCGCTTATTGCTTTCACTGACGAGCAGACTGTTTTAGACGAGCAGACATGGAAAGAGTGAAGAGTGAAGCATGTTGTTGCAAGTAATGAGATTCCAGAGTGCGCAAACAGCAAAAAGCTGCGAAAGGTGTACAAAGAGAACGGATAATGCTGAAGGAACTTATCCCATTCGCAACGGTCCAGTATTGCCAATCCCCCCATTCTGTCCTCCTCCTCTTGGCACACCCCTTCCCCTACCATCTCGATGACCACCACCACCCCTCACCCCTCTCCCTCTACCTCCCCGAGCACCACCACCAACACTAGCCCCAGTATCACCGAAAGTCTGCATATTCTTCATCTCCTCCGCCATCCTGATCGCCCTTCCTCTACCCCTTCCACCCCTACCGCCACGTCCACCAGGCGCATCAAAGAATCCTCCTCCCCCATTGCTATTCTTGCCATCTTGCGTCGTCGCAGTGGCAGTGGTTCTCTCATACCTCTCCTTCACCTCGCTCGAAATATTGTCAAAGAAGCCTGACTTTTTATCGTAAAAGTTTCCTGGACTTTCACTGGAAGGTGGTGGGATCGAATCCAACAATCCTCCTCCTTCTCCTCCTCCTCCTCCTCCTCCTCCACCACTACCGTTTGCTTGTGGGGTAGCAGAGGAAGAGGAAGCGTCTGCATGTTTTTGGAACTTAGCATTTGCTTGTTCAAAATCGAACTCTTTGTTCGGCATGGAAGGTCCACCAACATCATGGCGGGGATGACGAGGGCCTCCTCGTCCTCCACCACCACCACCGGTGCGACGATCGGATTGGGCAGCGGCATTAGCAGCAGCAGCAGCCGCATGTGGGATCGCTGGAAGATGGGCTGCTGCAGGTGGAAGTGATGAGGGCGAAGCCGAAGCAGCGGCGGGCTTGGAGACGGAAAGCTTGGCCATTTCTTCCAACACCTTGTCTGCGCTCGACTTTTCTGCGGTAGGGGGAGAAGGGGAAGTTTGGTCGGCATTGCTGGAGCTGGATGCTGCTGCGTTCGGAGAAGGTGGGATGGGTGATTGCTTGGCAGGTGCACCGCCGTTGAGGTTAGGAGGAGAAGGAGATGGACCACCAAACCTAGGAGCACCGAAGGATGGTGGAGACATCATTCCACCGTACATTCCTGCCGGTGGAGGTTGGAAGCCTCCAGGACCATGTGCAGACGACTAATTGTTGCAGCAAGTCGAAAGGTGGAGGAAGAATCAAGTCAGTAACGATGCTCTCATCTTTTGCTGAAGATGGCTTGAAATGAGCTTCCCGAGGATGAGAGCCAAGACGGGAGAATCAGTAGGAAGGCAACGGAGAAATCCACACGGTTTTGCGCTCTCGGACAATGACAAGTCCCGAAGGACTGTTTTACATCCGTAAATGGTTCATCACAAAGATTGACTTGTTCCCTTCCTCGGTTTGCTCTCGATTGCCATGTGTCCCACTTTTGCTATGGTGTTGGAGGCATGGGCACTTACGTTGAGAATAGCAGGATCATTGAGCGCAGGCTGAGGCGGTGCTGGTGTCTGCTTAGGCGGGTTAGGATCGTCAATCTTCAAGTCCTTGACGTCGGCGGCACGGAACATGATATATTCGTAAACATGGTCGCTAGGTGGGATCTCCTCTTGAGGACGACCCTGTGCGGAGACACGACCTTCGGTACCCCATGATCGAACTTTTTCGAGAGCGATAGTAGCTTGTTCAGGATTGATGGAGGCAAGGAGACCCTGGTATCGGATGTCGGATTTGGAGATGAGCGAGATGAGCGCTCCAATGTATTCTGTGGTAGACATGGTTGCCTTGTTGGGCTACAGAAGAATGAATAGAATAGTTAAGTATTGATTGAGGGATTGGAGCCTGGTTCGAGGTGAAGACCTTGTCTGGATTCGGTGGAGATGGATCACGAGTGAGTGACTGGACTACGACTGAGTGTACGCAGAGAACCTTGAAATGGTTTGGCAGGGCAATGAGATCGAGGAAGCACCTTTGACCGTGCGTTATGCTGGGTTGTATCAAGTCGGAGGGAAGCAATGAGAACTCTCAGAGATGAGTCCTGATTCGTGACGTTGGGTGTCTGAAAATAGCTGAAGGAGTAGTCAGGAATGACCGAGGGTATGAACGGAAAAGAAAACCAGAAGAGAAGGGAAGGAAGAGAAGGGAAGGTAGAAAAGGGAAGGAAGAGATGGAAAGAGATGACGCTAGGGTGGAAGTTATGTATCGTGAAGAGAATGGGAGGAATGATGAGAGCGCAAGAGAAGCATCTGTCTCAAAAGTGAGGTTCAGGGCAGACGCAGATCCTCGACCATTTTGGTTGGCCTCTGCGCAACAGAAAACAAGGCAGTCGACCAACGCTGAGCTGGAGAGGAAATCCAAGGAAATCAATCGACTCGAAAGTTGTCCTTCAGGTCGCGCTGTGCTCTGCCGAATTTCAACACGGTGATCGGCTGACCTTTTCCTGTTCCTTCTCTCTACAGGATGAAGAGGATTGTATTACGTAAGCGTTCTTGCTGTCAACGGGGCCTCGTTCCCATGCATCCGACACACACACTGTCACACAGATCAGCCGTAGATTGATGATGGAACACACAAATACAATAGAATTGATAGATGCGAGATGTGGTGCGAAGGAATGTCAAACCAGCCACAAGGAGACGGGTGGAACTGGCAAGGGAAGGGAGAGGGGGATGACGAGAGATGGTAAGGGGAAAGGATCCAACGAACGATGCGGGCGGTATCTTTCAATATGCAGGTGCAGAAGCCATAGGTCGCGTGTGAGAGTGTGTATACAGATGAGATGGGAATGAGAGGGATTATCTAAAATTCTGCCAACGTGTGGACGGCAAGAGCCAACAATGCTATATGCTACGGTGAATGGTGAGGCCTACGACAGATAGTGAGACAGGTTGAGCTGGCTCCCGTCGCCTCCTCCACCATAGTGATTCGAAAACTCGGCCAATGCTTCCGCCGTCTTCTGAGGGTCGTCGACCCATTCATTGCCGTTGTACCAGCAGCCCTGGTTCTGGTTCATGGCTGGTGTCAGTGCTTCGTCTGTGCTGCCGTTGCTACTGGCTGTGGGCATGCTAGGACCTCCCGCACCAATGGCACCACCGCTAACGAGACGGCCGAAGCCGGGTCGCATCAGCGGAGAGTTTCGTGCACTGGGAGCAAGAAAGTCGTACATGCCCGAAGCGTGCGGCACGTAAGGTGACGACCCAGACAACATAGCTCGCGGTGTTGAGCTGCCGTTGGCCGCGTTACTGGGCTGCAATGGTTGCGAACCAGTCACTCGGTTGCCGTTGCGCAACTGCTGATCTGCGTTGCGATCGCTGTCGTTGCGCATAGCAGCCTGGTGATAGAGGTAGTCGAGCGTGTGGTTACGCAGATGTGCCTGCTGAGGAGCGTAGAAGCCGTTCTTGTGCAAGTCGTTCTGCAGTGGCAGATCCAGAGGCGCAGCTGCATACCAGTTGACCTGTCCACCTGGTTGGTCGGCAAACAAGTCGCGCGTCTCCTGTGGTAGTGCTGCGTAGAACCCTTCACCACGTTGTGCGCGAGTCAGATCGACCACACCGATGGTTGGTGGCTGCTCTGCGGGCTGAGCACCTTGCTGTTCTTGCTGTCCTTGCTGCTGCTGCTGCTGCTGCTGCCCGGCAAAGTTGGACGAAGCAACTTTGTCGATACCGGCAGAGGCAACACCAGCGGCAACTGCAGCGTTGCGGAGCTCGGTGAGAAAATTGACATCGACACCTCCGAGTTCGTTGCTGACCTGTGTCATGTCCAGAGAAGCTGCTTGAGGCGTGGAAAGGAGCTGTTGCAAGCGCAAGTACTGATCTGGAGTAATGCGAGCAGCGACGAGCGATGCAAGCCGTGTAAAGGTTTCATTAGGTGCTTCCCCACCAGATCCATCGACACCGCGACTTTTCTTTTTCGGCCGCAGATCATCGGCAGCATCCTTGAACAGATCGGGGAACTCAACAACTTCGCCATTGGCGGCATCCTCGTCGCGCAACGCACCAGGACCGTGAACACCGCGAAGGAACGGCGAGTCTTCCTTGGGTGGCGGCGCGATGGCCTTCTCAAAGTAGTTCATCGGCGTCTCCACCTTACGGATCTCTTCAGGTACACAGCTGGCCCAACTCTTGATCTTGTGGAAGACTCGCTGCTGCTCGTTGTACCGTGACTCGGTAACGTAGAGCGGACTGCGTGGATCCCAGTACTCAGGCTTGGGTCGACCCCGGATGTACTTGGTGTAGAACATGACCATGATCTTTTCGAGAATGTCCTCAATGTGGTGGTCCGCAAAGTAGCCGGTCTTGACCACCTCGTCCTTGAAGAACTTCTTGGATGCTGGGTGGAAGGTCTGCTCGGGTCGATAGTACCAACAGACGGTAACCCAGCCCTGATCAGGGTCATCGTCTTCGCGACGAAGCACCTTGAAGATCTGAGCCACAATGGGCTTGGTAGGGTCAGAGGGGTTGATGAGATGGATCCAGTCACCGACACGGTAAGCCTTGCCCTTGTGGTTGAGATGCTCGTAGTAGGTCTTGCACTTGCTGCTGATGCGTGTTGTGAGGTCACCATGCGAGCCTGCACTGGCATACAGAGGACCATGTGGTATTGACGAAAAGTGTCGACTGGAATCGGCGCTTGTTGCTGCTGCATGCACGGCCTCCGCTGTGATGGGCTCGCGTCTTGATGGCTTGGCCTTGGTGATCTCGTGATACAATCGCTGGAGCACCACAGCATCTCGGTATGTCTGCGAGCCGATTGAGTGCATTCTGCGGGCATTCTCGAAAAGCTGAAGCATGTCCATCTCGAAGTCGGTAGCCTTGGGATACTCGCCCTCTGCGATGCGTTGCGAAATGGCAGAGAGCGAAGTTGGCTTCTCGACCTGTTCGTAGTAGTCTGGATCTACCTCAGGGTCGGGACACTCTTCCAGCGGCTCGGCCAGTCTTCGACCATGCATATCTGTGTGACTGCGAATGCACTCGACAATGGCAGCATAAGCTCGCAGTGCCTCGGCGGCGTTGGCGGGTTCGGTCATCCAGCCAGCATCATGGGGCTCAGGTAGCTTGAGATCGGGCTCGGTGGCCTCAGCCTTACGCCGTGTGCGGCTAGCAGGGGATGCGCCAGCATTGCCGACGGCCTGGCCGAGACCAGCGCCTATTGTTCCACCGGCAGCGGTCATGATGGTGCCACCTTCTATTGAGCCTCCTCTTGTTCCTGTCGCTGAGGTTGACGGCTGAGTCGCTGATGAGGATGCTGGTGAGGTTGTCAAAGCTGTTGCACCTTCAACGCTGTCTCGAGGAGCACTCGAAGCTCTTGCCTGCTGCACCTCTTTAAGGCTCTGCTGACCCTGCTGTTGCTGCAGCTCTTGCTGGTGCTGGAAGGTGAGTATCGCGGGGAACGAAGGCACATTGTGTGGCGATGGTTGTATGCTGCTGAGAACAGGCTGGTAGAAGATGTTCTGCTGCTCTGGGATGCCCGGACCTAAGCTATGCGATGGGAAGCCGGTGAGTGGCGGTGGTTGGAAGGGTGAGCCTGTCGCTGAATATGCGGTTGGCTGTGCTGCTCGAAGACGTGGTGAAGTGATGTGAGATATGCGCGGTTGCGGTGTTGACTTGGGCGGCGGTGGCGGAGCGGACTTGGTTGGTGTTGCGTTGGAGTCGCGGTTCTTTGGTGGTCGACCACGCCCGCGCTTGATGGGCACAGGTGTGCCGAGGGGCGAATTGCTGCCGGATGCCATGGCTTGCTGCTGCTGCTGCAGCTGATACGGATTTGACATGGTGGCGGTTGCTGTGCAAGAGCTATCAGAGACTCAAATCCTTCCGTTGGGGCGGGGGCGAGAGAAGGGAGTGGGTTGTACGGGTGCAGATAACAATCGCCACTCGATGGGATCAGGTGCGAAAGTGACGCTGCCTTACGAAAGTGCCTATCGGGAGAGGCGACCTAAGGCTTGTAGCTGCGATGGTTCCAACGATGGAAAGCCTTGAATGCGATCAAAGCCGAGATGCGAGTTTGTCAAGCAAAAGCGATCGGCTGCTGAAGCAAGAAGATTGTTATGACGTCTGATACGAAGGTTGCTTGATTAAGGCCGAATTTCCGACGGGTACCACTTGCGATTCCGCTCGGCTTTGCGCGTAGATGCTGATGTATGAGATGAAGTGGCGTATGCGGTATAGCTGATGAATGCGGGTGAGTGATTGAATGCTGTGGAGGAAAGCGAGCGGTAGGAAGGGGGGGGGGGGGGGCAAAATGTGAGGGGAAGGTCAAGTAGAGTAGCGAAACCGGACTCGACTTGCCAAGTGAGAAGAAGTGAGCTCAGGGTGGCGGTATGCAGGGTGAAGATGCAGATGATCCGTGGTAGATGCTGGATGCAGAGTGGAAGCCGGAGTGTATGGTATGAATGCGGGAGGGGTCAAGAGAGAGGTGATGCGTTTGGGAGGATGGTGAGGAGCACCTTTGATGGAGGGGTAGAGAAGGCAAAGTTCAAGATAGCGGGAGGGTGGCGAAAGGATGAGCGAGTTGTGGGTGTCACTGTCAGCCAGAGAGAAGCGTGAGCCAAGAATTCCGTCACGTCGAACACAGCTTGGCCGGGCCAGGGCGAGCAAGGTCGGACCGAAGGCAAGGTTTCTGGCTTAAGCAATCTCGACAAATCGCATTCAATTCAGCCTCTAGGCTTGCAGGCCAGTTTTTGCTCGAAATTGACTGAGTCATAGTCGCGTCGTAATAAGAAACTCAGCTTTTTTGGAGCTGGAATTATTCACGAAATTCCAGCCCAGTTTTTCTTTTTCTTTTTCTTTTTCTTTTTCTTTTTCTTTTTCTTTTTTTCACCCTTTCGCTGACCAGCTGAATCAGTGCCAGTCACGGTGCGAGCTACGGATAAAACTGTCGTAAGTCACCCCAATTTCACCTCTCTTCTCCGTTTTTTCTTTTTCTTTTTCTTTTTTTCTTTTTTTCTTGAGCCTGACGTCAAGGCAACAGTCAGCAGCATATGGTTAGTTTTGATCGTCTTTTCTCCGCTTTTTTGGACACTCGTTCGCCGACGTCAATCCTGTCAGAAATCTCATCACTCCACTGCGGTCGCTTTTGAGAGACAATCACAGCTGAACATGAGGTGATTCTTCTATTACTGACATTCGAAAAGTGTGGGTAGATGAATACATACAATAATACAAAGCTAGAGATATAGTATACGAGACAAGGAGAAGCAAACCGGGCACTGTGAATCGGAACAAGATAGAGCTAGAGAGACAGTTGCAAGCAAACGAATAAGGAGAAGCCGAAGCAAGAGACGATACGAGCGTCTACAAAGAGGACGGAGCAGAAGGGAGGAGGAACGTCTACAGTCGCGAATCCTCCATCTCGTGCATCAAACGACGACCTTCACGGATACCCTCATGCTCTTGACTGTATCCGTTGGCCTCGAGAGCAAGAGCGGCATTCTCGAAAAGCTTGTTGCCAAAGGCAGCCTCCATAGCTTCCCACACCGTCTTGACGTACTTGATGTCGAGCTCGTCGCGCACATTCTTGGGCAGATCCACCTCCACGTCCTTGCGGTTGCGGTGAGGCAGTAGCACCTTCTTGATTCCAGCACGCGAAGCCGCGGTCACTTTCTCTCGGATACCGCCGACGGGCATCACAACGCCACGGAGCGTCACTTCACCTGTCATGGCAAGATAAGGAGAGATGGGCGTCTTGGTGAACAGACTGACCAGTGCACAGGTCATGGCCACACCAGCCGAAGGGCCGTCCTTTGGAATGGCACCCGAAGGCAAGTGAAGGTGGATGTCGTTCTTCGGGAACTCTGAGTCGCGCGTGTGAACAATGCCGAGTTGGAAGGCATTGCCTTTGACCCAGGAAAGTGCCAGCTCAGCCGACTCGCGAATCACATCACCAAGTGAGCCGGTCAGCTTGAGGTAGCCGCTGCCAGGTGGGAGAAGCAGCGATTCGATGTGCAAGATGCCGCCCGAGCCAGAGCCTTGGTAGGCCAGTCCTGTCGAGACACCTGGGCGTGCATTGGCTTCCGCCACCTCGGGCTCGTACGTGTCGGGTCCAAGGTACTTCTCCAGATCCTCTTCTCGAACAACAGGATCGTACTCCTTGGGATTACCTTGCTCATCTTTGAGTGTGCCCTTCTTGAACTGCGAATACTCGACCGCTTTGGCTCGTGCCAGAGCGCCGATCTCTCGTTCCAGTGTACGAACACCAGCCTCATGCGTGTAGCCCATAGCTACCTTGAGCAATACTTCCTCCGAGACGACGAGCTGGTCAGGAGTTAGACCCTGTGCCTTGATCTGCTTGGGCAGCAAGTACTGCCGTGCGATGGCCGTCTTCTCATCATGAGTGTAGCCCGAGATGTGGATGACCTCGGTTCGATCAAGCAGGGGTGGCGAAATGGTGTCGAGCGAGTTGGCTGTAGCAATGAAGAGCACACGGCTCAAGTCGATGGGCACGTTGATGTAGTGGTCGCTAAATGTGTGGTTCTGTTCAGGGTCAAGCACCTCAAGCATGGCAGCCATGGGGTCACCATGCAAGCCGTTGCCACTGCCAAGCTTGTCGACCTCATCGAGCAAGATGACAGGGTCCGAGACGCCAACCTTGCGAAGAGACGAGACGATGGAGCCTGGCATGGCTCCAACGTAGGTTCTGCGGTGACCTCGAATCTCGGCTTCATCACGGACACCACCGAGCGACATTCTTGTGAAGGGACGCTGAAGTGCCGATGCGAGCGACTTGGCAATCGAGGTCTTACCGGTACCTGGAGGACCGACGAGCAGCAAGATGGGACCCTTATCGCCAACACGCAGCTTTTCGTTGCGTCGACGACGCTTCTCCTCTAGAATCTCCTCTTTCGAGATGCCCTGCTCTCGCGCCACCAGGTCTTCGCCCTCTTCGAGCTCGGCAGCCGAGGAGCCATCGTCATCGTCATCGTCGCCGGCAGAGGCCGCCTCGTCCGTCGAAGTAGAGGGGGTGGCCTTGCGTCGCTCTGCAGTGATCTTGCGCTCCTCGGCTTCTTCAGCTTCGAAGCGCTCCTTGGCTTGGTTGGTTTTGAGCTCGAGCACGGCCAGATACTCGATAAGACGCTTCTTGACCTTCTCGAGACCGTAGTGGTCGGCGTCGAGGATGCGACGAGCACGGTCGACGATGCCCTCTTCAGGTGCGGGCGCGTTGTTGCTCTTCTCGTGCAGCAGAACAGCCTTGCCCTCGTGATCGCGAGTGAGCTCAACGTCGGCACTGATCTTCTCCCACGGCAGCTCGGCCATGATTTCGAGGTAGGTTATGACGACACCTCGCTCGACACTCTGCTGTGGAATGCGCGAGAGACGCTTAAGCTCCTTGTCGCAAGCCTTGCGTGCTTCAGGGCTCAGACGGGCCTGTTCGAGTTTCCTGGCGAGCTCGGCGACTTCGTCTTCGTCATCATCGCCTCCACCAGCGCCAGGCAACCCTCCGCCGGGGATAGCCTTGATGCCTGGCTTGCCGCCACGACGTCCGCTGAGAGGCCCAGTGATGATGGGAACACTGCCGTTCTCGTTGTTGGTGTTGTTGCGGGAAGAGGGAGCGCGGATTATGATGCCACCACCAACCTTGTTGTCGTCTCTGTCGCCAGGGTTGGATGGGATGGCGGAGATGCGTGCAGCTACACCCTGGTTAAGCGCAGCGAGCTGGCTGAGCAAAGCTTGGAGCTGCGACCGAATGACAGTCTCCTTGTTGCTGGGGTTGAGGGGAGAGGAGAGGGCGGCGAGCAGTTCACGGGCAAGCTTGACACGCTTGACACCGTTCTGGATGACATGGACAGAATGACGGACACGCTCGCGCTGGTCCCAGTCAGCGAGGATGGCTACACGCTCAGACCATTCGCAAGCACCGCCAAGTGTGCCAACGACAATGTCTGCGAGAAGCGCAGCTTGCGACTCTCGGCAATCTTGCATAAAGTCACGCAGCTTCTTGAGCAGACTTGCTGGGAGGAGAGGAAGTGCAGGACTTACGATGGGAGAAGGGATGTTGGTGGTGCCATCGCTGGGAGGGTGGAGCTGAGCGATAGCATCGATGAGTTCGGCAGATGCCTTCTTTAGCTTGACGACGAGGTTAATGTCGCCTGGCGAAGCTTCAGGGAAGGTAGGCCATGACTCTTCGTCGACGAAGGCGGTGGCAGTAGCGAGCGGAATGGGCACATCAGGAATGACAAGATTACTCTTGGGGTCGACGGTGGTGGCAGTAAGGGGAGCACGAATGGAGAGCCATCGATCGATGCGGACACGAGTGAGACCGGAGACGAGCAAGGTACAGGTCTGTGTCTGCGGGTTGCGGACCAGACGCACCAAGCGAGCAGCGCATCCCCAATCGTAGAGGTCGTTGATGCGAATACGAGTGTCGTTGTCTTCGGCAGTGGTGACGCTGCGGGCATTCAGATCTGTAGGCAAAGCTGGGTTGGTTGCGCGGGAAGCTGGCTTGTCCGCTGATGCGGTTCCCTTGGGTGCCTTCAGGGTCGGCACACAAGCGATGATGATGGGTTTGTTCGAGTCAAGGCGAGAGGCGCTTCTTCGGTGAGAACCTGGGGAAGCATCGTTGTGAGACTCGATGCCATCCTTAAGCGCCGAGTACTGCAGAGCAGCTTTGAGAAGGCTGAGCGAGTGTGCATAAGAGATGTTGATGGAAAGAAGGAGGTTGGGATGCAGGACGAGCGGGTATGGAAGCGGCAAGACCGGAAGACGGTCTGGGATGGAGATGCTAGGGTTCATCTTAATTTGGAAAGATTGCTGCCTCAGCGGTGATCTGCGCCAGACAGGATCGGATAAGTTCTAGGTATGGATTGGTGGAACAGAAGACACGATCAGCTGTAAGGTGTGAGTTGCAGAAGGTGGAGAGGGTGCGATTGATTTGCTAGATGTTGGTGCAAAGGATAGGGTGATTGATGGCAAGAAGTAGTGGTTGATGATGATGAGCACGATGTAAGTGACGAAAGCTTTCCGGTTTAGTTTAGTCTGAGTGAGGAAGTGAGTGTAGAGGCAAGGAGAAATGTAGGGTCGAGGGCGAGCTGAGCCAAACTCACACACACATACACACACACACACACACACACACACAATCACTCACCCCAGAAGTGCGGGGCGAGCCACGGTCACCAAAATAAGAGGCACACAAGCGAATCATGGATCACGGCATCCGGGGCAATCTACGACCGGAGGGCCGCTGGGCTTGCTGGGCGAATGTGATTGCATAAAATAAGTTGAAATGGAATATTACATAATGTTTTAATTTTGCTGTCTTTGCACGCACAGGTCACAATGCGTAAGCTAAAGCTGCTTAGCGAGAGTTGACTTGAATTTGACTTGAATTTGAGTTGAAGATTGCAGATAAAACGCGACCGATCGGAGCCACTAGCAAGCTCTCGTACACAGTTGTATTACTTCTTGAATGCTTATCTTATATTCATGTGATGCTATATACATGGTCATATATATACTTAGCAATCTCCTTCAGCCTGTGCAATTGTGCGATGTGTCACTCCTCGTGTTACTCCTGTGTTGTCACCTCTTGTGCATTATTGTAACAACTCCTATGCATCCCACATGTGTCGCCACCTGTATGCACCTTTACCTAATTATTAGATCACTTAAATTCTGTGGACCCCATATGATTCCGTGGACCCCGTGAATCCCGTTGGGATGCTGACACATCTTCAACTCCCCCCTTCGATGGCATTACCAACCCTAACAACTGAGATAGCTGGGATGTTGCTAAACCCTTCAATGGTTTTGTTAAAATGTCTGCAACATTGTCTGCTGTTCCAACAAATTCTATCTCTATCTCCCCATCCTGAACATGATCCCTAATGAAATGATATCTGGTGTCTATGTGTTTCAATTTCCAGTGCTTTGCCGGATCCTTACTCACCTGTATACATCCCTGACTATCTGAACGTAAGACTGGATGGGCAGCATCGATTTCTAAGTCCCTGAGGAGGTATGAAAAGAAGAGTGCCTCTCTTGCTGCTTCTGAGGCAGCAACGAACTCAGCTTCCACTGCTGATAGCACCACACATTTTTGGACATGTGACTTCCAGCTAACTGGGCACCCATATATATATGTCATTGCTCCCGATGTGCTTCTCCATCCATTTGTTGGGTCTGAGGCCCAATTGGTGTCACTATACATGACAATCAGTTGCTTCAAGTGTTCGCTTGATCTGCTCCCAAGGTTCAGTTGGTAGTCACTGGTTTGGTTGAGATACTTCATCAAGTGTATAGCAGCCTTCCATGTGCTGTTGGTTGGGGTCGACATATATCTTGCCAGTATTCCCACTGTGAACAATATGTCAGGTCGTGTGGTATTTGCTACCCATAACAATTGTCCCACCAGTTCTTGGTATAGTTTTGCCTCTAGGGAATCACATTTATCATTCCCTATGGCATTAGGTATCTCTGGCATTGGTACCCATGATTTCTGATCTGTCGACTGTAACCACTTACTCACCATGGCCTTGGTGTAAGCAGTCAAATCATTTGACATCTCCCTTCTTGTCCTGTTTCATTTGATGTTGATGCCGAGGAACTCTTTCACTGGGCCATTATCTTCTGTTCCCCACTTGGACATTATCTCCCTTTTGGTGCGATCCACCTCCTTACAACTGGGCGAGGCTATGAGCATGTCATCAACATAGGCTGTGATAATAGTTAGGTTACTTCCAGTTCCTCTTGAATACAGACAAGGTGCACTTGGCATGCAGTGAAAGTCTATGCTCCATAGGTACAAATCCAACTCTATGTTCCATTCTCGCCCTGATTGTTTCAGTCCGTACAGTCCTTTTACTAGCTTCAAGGCCTTTCCAGGTGGGATTCTCATTCCAAGCAGTGGTTTTAAGAATACATCATGATGTAGCGTTGAGTTTAGATATGCTTGCTTGACATCAATACTATCTACTTCCCAGTCACGAACTGCTGCTATGGCTAAGACTCCTCGGATTGACTGAATGGGTGCGACGGGCACAAACACTTCAGTGTAGTCTATACCTTCTCTTTGTGTGAAACCTCTTGCCACCAGTCTTGCTTTAAACTTCATTGGGATGAGATTTGCATCTGTTTTGATTTTTAAAACCCAACGTGTGTCGATGGTGTGCATACCTTTGGGGAGATCGACGATTTCCCATGTATCCATGGCTTTCAAACCATCCAGTTCTTTATGCATTGCTTCCTCCCAATGTTTCCTGTCCTCTCCTGACAATGCTTTGCTAACTGTTGGGTCTAGGTTTCTTCTCTTTTGATCGTTTATTGCCATGAGTCCATAGTGATTGCTATTGGTCCATGTGTCGTCAAGCGTTTTGGTGTCAGTATCAGCCCCGCATTCTATTGCCTTTGTTGTATCTTCACCCAGATCTTCTTCGTCGTTCAATCCATCTGTTTCTTTCATATTCATGTACTCATTCAGTGGCTCCTCCTCTTGTTCGTCAAAGAGGTTCATATCTGTGTATCCAAGATTGTCTATGTCTCCTTCGTCTGCTAGTACTGGTGGTGGGTGTATGTTTACTGGTTTCCACTCTGTTTTGTTGGACCAGCATTTTGTCTCCATGAATCTAGCTGAGTTGCTCCAAAAGATGTTTGGGCTGTAGAAGAGCCATCCTTTTCTTTCCAGACTATACCCCAAGAAGATAGATGCTACTGCTCGTTGATCTAACTTTTTATTATCTCTTTTGACCTTGGGGATGTTTACCCATGCTAAACATCCAAAAACACGTAGGAGTCTTATGAGTTGCTCTGGCGACTTCCCAAACATGACTTGGTATGGGAACTCACCATCAACACTCGGAATGAGGTTCATTTTGAAGGCTGCTGTCTGGATTGCATAGGGCCAGAAGCTCTTCGGTAACCTCCTTTGCATGAGCAGCATTCGCATCTTCTCACCCAAGCTTCTGTTCATTCTCTCCACACGTCCGTTCTGTCTGCTATTGTACCCTACCATCATTTGCCATTCAATGCCCTTTTCATATGCCCACTGGAGTGCATCATTGCTTCTCCATTCTGTACCTTGGTCAGATTGTATTGCTTTCAGATTCTTTCCTGTCTGTGTCTCAAGATACGATACAATTGTTTTGAGCTTGGGAAACGCATGACTCTTTCATAGCAAAGGCTGCACGTATACATACTTGCTGTACTTATCAACCAGTACCAATGTGCATGTGTATTCTGTCATGTGCGACGAGTCAACTATCAAGTTGATGTGGATGAGATCAAGCAGAGAGACAGATTTCTCTCCACTACCTTGCCCCATTTGGGCTGCCATGCTTTTGGATCAGATGCATGGCTCACACATTGTAGCAGTCCCTGGGTTTAGGTCTGCTGTGTCATTTTCTCCTAAGCAGTTGATGATGGCCCTCATCTTATCTCGACCTGGATGTCCCAGACATTCATGCCATAGTTGTTGTTCGGATATTTTGGCTTTGTTCTCAATATGCTCGAAATCTTCATCAACACCTTCAAATAATGACGTTGATGTGATCATTGCATTTTCCTTCCATGTGTCGCCTTGAAACTCCAACAGTCCTCGCTCACAATTCTTGGATATTTTGAGTAGCATACCATTTGCTAAGTGTATTTGCCCTCCAGTTGAGTCTAGCGTCACTTGTGCTCCTTCATCTGTCAGAGAATTTGTTGACAATAGGTTAACATTGAGATGCTGAACATACAATACATTTTGGAGAAAAACATCTCCATGACTTGTTGATATGCTAGCATCCCCTATAGCAGTCACTTCCAGAACCTCGCTTCCGGCGGTGAATACGTGCTTTCAGCAGGTTCTCGGACTAATGAGCATGCTATAGTTGTTTACCATATGATAGCTGGCGCCCAAATCTAGGATCCAATGATGGTTCCCTTTTGAATCTGGGTGGCTCTGCCAACTTGGTGCGAATGAGCACCAGGCTTCCTATTTGGGCCTGGCGAAGGGGGAATTTTCTGGTATGGTCACCAATGCATCACATTGACTGATCCCGTGTCCAGGCCTCTTGCAGATCCAACATCTGAGCCTTCAAGGTCTAGTGGCGACTTTGGCGCTGGTGCTGTCAGTGTCCTTTTCGTCTTTCTCCTCCTTTCCAGGTGTCTCATCCTGGTCGTCGCTGCTGATGACTCTGGTGCTTGCTTGACGGGGGTCAACTCTCAGGGTGGGGTTGTTCTTGATCGCCGACTGCCAAATAGATAGGGCAGTGGTGAGGGCGTTAAAACTAAGCTGGCTGACAGTGGCGATGGTCTCCTTGTACATTGGGTGTTGGATAGTGCACTTTTGTAGATTAGAGAACAGAGTATCATCAGCGAATGGCTTTCCCAGTAAGCTGCTCTCCATTTGGATGGTCCTTATTTCCTGGATAAGCTTTCATACGTCTGAGTTGTGCATCCTTAGTTCACCTAGCTGAGCAATCAATGCAATACGATGAGATATGGCAGTGGCCTCATTGGTGAGTCCATTTTCAATCTTCTTCCATACATGATGGAACGTATGGTGCTCCCTGATGATGTCAAGAATCAAGTAATTGATATTGTGCTCTCTGGTGGTGTCAATGGTACTGCGTAATGCATTTGTCAAGGCATCATCGAATGTGCGGTTCCATTTGGGATGTTTCTTGTCATATGCTCCATCAAGATGCTTCATGGCATGAGGAATACATCGTAGAAAGGACTTGATATGGGCATTCCAACTATAATAGTTGTGCGATGTGAGTTTTGGGACAGGCTCAAGTAGTTTTGCTAGAGTACGAAAATTGTATGGCTTTCTGTTGTTGTCGTGATCCGAGTCGGAGTCAGTTTCTTCCTCAGCGTCATCGTCAATCACCTCGGTGTCTGACTCGTTGGTGGCCTCATTGTCAATGGCTCGTGGTTGCATTGCCTTTCCTTTTCTTCCTCCTTTGGCCTTGCTTGTGACAGCTTGAGCTTTGGCCTCTTGTACCATGTTGTTGATGGTCCCAGTTGGCTTAGTTGGTAGAGCTTCAGACTCTTAATCAGTTGAAGATTGCAGATAAAACGCAACCGATTGGAGCCACTAGCAAGCTCTTGTACGCAGTTGTATTACTTCTTGAATGCTTATCTTATATTCATGTGATGCTATATACATGGTCATATATATACTTAGCGATCTCCTTCAGCCTGTGCAAATGTGCGATGTGTCACTCCTCATGTTACTCCTGTGTTGTTGCCTCTTGTGCATTATTGTAACAACTCCTATGCATCCCACATGTGTCGCCACCTGTATGCACCTTTACCTAATTATTAGATCGCTTAAATTCTGTGGACCCCGTATGATTCTGCAGACCCTGTGAATCCCGTTGGGATGCTGACGCATCTTCAACTATTTGACTTGAAGCTGTGTGGAGTAAAAACGAAGAGAGCACTTTCAGGCGCTACGCCACTCATCTGGCACAGAAACTGCCAGGAAAAAAAAAAAAAAAAAAAAAAAAAAAAAGCGCATTCCGCAGAGAGAGAGAGAGATGCATTTTTCTGAATCCAACCCAAAACACTGTTAGATCGCAACTGTTCAAACATGCATCCTTGATATCGCCGATTGCTTCCCGATACTGAAGATACGAGCTTCCCTTTCTTCTGGCGCGGCTGAAATTTTCCAGTCCTGTTGTGTGCCTCAAGCTTACGTGAAGCTGAGTTCGTTCAAACAAGCCAAGATGAAGAAGCTCTTTTTTTCCTCTCTCTCTTTTTCTCTCTCTCTCTCTCTTTTTCTCTCTCTCTCTCTCTCTCTTTTTCTCTCTCTTGCTGTTTCCTAGCTGTGCCAAGCCGGACCTTTTTTTTTTTTTTTTTTTTTTTTCTTTTTCTTTTTCTCCTTGCTTTCGCTTTTTTTGGTGGGACTGCAACTCGAGCTTTTATTTGCTCTCGACACAAAGACATGTTCATCTCCTCTTCGCCTCCTCTTCTCACCCACACCACATCTTGCATACACTTGCTTGCAACGCTTTTTCACCTGCGCAGCATCATCGCATTCTCTACAACAAACAGCTTCCAGCATCGCATCAAGCCGCCGCCGCCTCGTCCTCCGCCGCCACTCGAACGTTTGTTCTCTCACTACTCCATCTATCTATTCACACCACAGCTCGCCCTTTCAGCCTTTAGCTTACCCAGCATCACTACCGCCGCCTCTCAGAGCGCTTTCCAACACCACCTTCCGCATCCAGCAGCAACACTACCTTGTCGCCATCTATCAAGGCTTCTTCTGACAACCGTAGTTTTTATGTCTCTCTTGTTCTCCACCATCCCTCGTCCATCTGTCAATTCGCCCTTTGCCCGTAGACAAAAACCGCCCTATTCGGTTTTGCATCGTAGCTGTACTTGATACATCTACCCAAACACCAAGCTCGACCTGTTGTTGTCGAGTCTTTCCCAGCATTCCCAACTAAGCAACCTCCACCATCATGTCCGTGGTCAACATTCGTCGCGATGTCGACGACAAGTTCTACCGATATCGCATGCCTCTTCTTACCACCAAGATCGAAGGCAAGGGCAACGGCATCAAGACCGTCATCCCCAACATGGCCGACATTGCTCGTTCGCTCAGCCGTCCTCCTTCCTACCCTACCAAGTACTTTGGATGTGAGCTCGGTGCTCAGACCTCGTTCGACGAGAAGAACGAGCGATACATCGTCAACGGCGCTCACGACGCCGACCGTCTCCGCGAGCTTCTCGATAGCTTCATCGACAAGTTCGTCCTCTGCGGCGACTGCAAGAACCCCGAGACCGACCTCAAGATCCTCAAGGATGGCGACATTCTTCGCAACTGCAAGGCTTGCGGTAAGCGCACCGGTGTCGACATGAAGCACAAACTCACCACTTTCATCGTCAAGCACCCTCCTCCCAAGCGTGTCAAGGGAGCTAAAGGTGCCGGCAAATCCGCCGGTCAGGACGCTGGTGATGCTGGCTCCGACGACGAGCTCACGAAGCGTATCAAGGCTGAGGCTGCCGAGATCCCTACCGCCGAGCAGGCCGGCAATCTCGACGACGACTGGTCCGTTGACACTTCCGAGGCTGCTGTTGCTGCCCGTGTCAAGGCCCTCGAAGGTGCTGTCAAGTCTTCGCTCGTGCTTGGTGATGACGACGAGGACGAGGATGAGGACAGCCCTTACTCGCAGTTCGGCCAGTGGCTCCTTGCCAACCGTAAGGGCGGTGAGGAGGGTCGCGAGTGCACTCCCGCCGAAGTCTACAAGAAGGCACAGGAGTTTAGTATAGAAAAGAAGCACAAGACCGTCCAGGTTCTCGCTCAGGCTCTCTTCACCGAAGATGCTCCCAAGGAAATCGAAAAGTACGGTGCCGTCCTCGCCAAGATGGTTGGCGACTCTGAGAAGCACCAGAAGGCCATGCTTGGTGGTTTCGAGCGTCTTGCTGGTGTTCAATACCCTTCGCTCGTCCCCAACGGTGTTCCCAAGATCCTTATGGCTTTGTACCAGATCGATGTGCTCGATGAGCAGTTTATCAAGAACTGGGGTACGCACGTGAGCAAAAAGTACGTCGACAAGGACACTTCCAAGAAGGTCCGCCGTGCTGCTGCTCCTTTCCTCGCTTGGCTTGACGAGGCTGATTCCGAGTCTGAGGAGGATTCGGATGACGAGGATGACGAAGACGAGTCCGAGGAGGAGGCTGCTCCCAAGGCCAAGGCAACAGCTAACGGCAACGGTACTAAGAAGGCTGCTGCTCCCGCTACTCCTGACGAGGACGACGACTCGGACCTCGACAATCTCTAAAAAAAAAAAAGGGGCTGCTTCGATGCGCTTATACATGCCATCCCAACTAGTTTTTTTTCTTCTTCAGTTTCGTGGATATCTCAGTTCTATTCTTTATCAATCCGATTCACCTCTCTGTTTCAATGGCTCTGCGCAATACATTTCAAAAAGGTTTACCAGTCGCTCCCAAAATCTTTCGTCTGATTGCATCTTCATTCTCCTTTGCCGGCAAGAATGATCAGCTTGCCATTTGACGGCGCAAAGCTGAGCATGAGCTTCGTGTCATCGGAACAGTCTTTTCATGGACATTCGAACACGAAACACCCACGAACCCAGCCTCTTTGTGTTGCGAACGCTCTCTTCGAAGATGATGAAATAGACATTGCAATGATGAGCAATCTTCGCTCCTTCCCTCAGCGCCCGTTCTAGTATCCCTGGTCCTCGACAGCATACTTGAGCAAGTAGCTCGCCAACAAACTCTTCAGATCCAACTGCACCCATGGCGCAGTCGCCTGCACGAAAGCACCCATCCAAGCTGACAATCCCGGGTAATACACCGCTCTTGGGTGGTAGCTCGTGAGCGCACACCTAATAGACTCGAAAAGCGGGGTTGGATCTTGATGTCTTAGTTCCCTCGGATACGTTCTGGCGACTCGCACCGCCGGGCCGTCGACGGGCTTGACTTTGAGCATCGTATACGCCGGACCCGAAGAAGCGGTGGAGAAGGGCAACTCGGGCGTGTCGATATCCTCTGCTAGCTCATCATTGAGGCCGGTGAATAGCATGGATGGTCGAGGGTGGTATCGACTACCGAAAGTGTTGGGGGTGGAGGTGGAGCGAAGCAATGTTGGGTTGGAAAAATGTTGCTGGGCAGCATGGGACCTAGATGCGGAAGCGTGGTTGGAAGAGACTGTGTACGGGCGAAGGAGCGATTGAGAAGGACCTGGTGTTGGAGGGCATGATGAGCCGAGTGCGATGGGGTAGCTGACTGCTGCTATGTGTTCTGCCAAGTCGTCCCATGGGACAGAACACAGCTCGATCCAGCGGAAGACTCGAACGAGTCTCCTCAACGCACGTACTGTCATTGGAGCAGAGGTATCGCTCTCCGCTTCGCAACTACTACCATCAGCTCTCCCAGCCCCAGCTTCGGAAACAGGCCTCGACCAACCCCTCAAGAACGGCCTTAATTCAACCGGAATATAGATCTCATACCTTCCTCTATCTCGCCTCGTTGTCGTCTCCTCCCCGTGCTCACCGCTCGCGGATCCACTCAACCTCCCGAACCTTCCGACGAAAGGCAGCCTGTCCAGGGCCCCAGCCAGACTAATCCAATCTTGCACCCTCCGCCATCTCCTCTTCCTTCCATGATGCGCAAAGTATCGCACCGACTCATTCCACTTCACCACCTTCTTCAATCGCGTTTGAGGCAACTTGATCAGTGGATTGGTTTCGATCATGGATACGTGCACTTGCTTTGCTCCGCCTCCTCGTCGACGGTATTCCAGCTCGAGTTCGCGATATTGCGTGCGCAGGGCTTCGCGGACTGTATTTACGACTGGGCTTGGCCAGGTGCGAAGGATTGGTGTCGGATCTGCCTGGATGTTGTTTCGCTGCGGCTGATCGTTGGACGAGGAGGAAGGAGATAGGGAGCGATCGCGCGACTTTCCACTCGAACCGCGTGTGGGGACAGATTGAAGAGAGAGTGTGTCTGGATCTTGTGGGAGATCAGGCCCGTGTCCGCAGGGTACGAAACCAAGAATTCGACCTTTGTCACGCTTCAAGGCGGGAAAGAGAACGTTGATGAGTGCTTTGCACTGCACTACATCAGTAGCCAGTGCACCGTGCAGTGCTGCTTGCTCGTCGTCTTGCGTCCGTACAATCCTTGCGCTCGACGGCGAGAGCGGCGGAGAGTTTGCATTGAACGAGGAAGAGGACGACTCCATCGAAGCCCCGAACTCGTGATTCGCCTCTTTGAACGCCGGAGCCAGACCAAATGGTTCTCTTGGTGCGCCATGTCCACCTCCGCTACTGCTGCTCTTACCGGCGGACGACGGTCGCAGCTCGCCCAGAAAATCCCTGTTGCATAGTGTGAACGGATCAACATCGCTATACGCGCTACTCGGTGTCTTTGGTATCTCCATACGCGATGCCAATGCAGCAGCGCTTCTCGTCAATGGCACATTCCTCGGACAGAGCACCGACGGAATCAAGATGATACCGCTAAGCAAAAGATCATGCGAGCTGCAATAAGCAGAGATGGTAGAGTTGATCATCGCCAATCCATCAGCCGTCTGCACATCAGCCATGATCGGAATAATGGTTCCAGAAGGTGTAGTCTTGGGTCCCGTTCGACCGGGCATCCAGCCTTTGAGCATGTCTACTCCATAGCCAAAGAGGTCGGGCGTTGCCCATGTTGACCAACTGCGAGAGCGTCGTCGTAGCTTGCTGTCGGTCTGGATGGGTGCTGGTCTCGAACGCTGCCGGTTGGGTCGTGGGGTCTCGTCACCTCCGTTCCGCGCTTGCACCGTGGCGAAGGTCGCAGCGGGTGAAGAAGAGCCAGATCCCTGTTCGCTCTGATCTTGCATCGACTCTGCGTCTTGCGTGTTCGCCATTGATGTGGGCGATGAAGGGCCACTCGAGTTGGAGGATGCTGATGACTTGCCACCAACTCTCTGTCTCAATAGTACTTTCTCCATACGAGCCTTCTTCGCAGCCCATTGTGCGACGGTAATTGAGAATTGATCCGGATCCGCATGCAAGACAAAGCATGTATAGGGCGCACGAGGGTTTCGCTTTGTTGGTCCGACATCTTTCAGCGCAAAACTCGACGGCGAGCCCGAAGAAAGACGGAGCGCGATGTAGCGTGCGACTGCATCATTGTGCGGAGCATAGACAACGACGGCTGAGCCTTTGGATGAGTCCCACCAGGCGCGAGAGGCTGGTTGATAGGTGTGAAAGATGAGAAAGTAGAAGAATGTGTGAAGGCTGCACAGGAAGGATTCAATGTAGAGAGAGATGGTGGTGCAGATGGCTCGAATCTGTCGGACGGTGGGCGACGGTGCGAGCGAGCTCCGAAAGCAGACCATGTTGACAGTCCTAAGCGACTTCTACTCGATAGGGTCTAAGGGGTGGTTGCGAGGAGACGTGAAGACCGATAGTGCGCTGGTAGATTGTCTATTCCCAAGCATCCGTCATGTGAAGGGTCGCGTCCTCTTCAGAAATGGTTGCTGTTGGTGAGCAGATAGCCGTAGATGCCATACGGAGATGGAGAGGTTGTGTGACGAGAGAGAAGTCTTACATGGGACGGAAGGGCTCTATCGGATGGTAGTGTTCATCTAGATTGGTTGGTCCGGGTAGACAGGGAGGTCAATCGATCGAAAGAGCAGGATGGTGCTGAAGTCTTTCGTCTATACAGTCCATCCATTCATGGTTCTGCGAAGTGCCAGCCAGCGATCTATCCAAAGCTTAACGATGTGTCGGACGGAGGATCGATGCTGACGACAATAAAGACGAAGTGGTTGTGGAAGCGAACGTCAGTGGCTGGTACCGGAAGTGAAACCTTCACACACAGATCCTCGCACACGCTGTGCACCGGAACAAATCTGTCCACAATGCCAAGCAAGCGAAGACCGGATTTTCTGACAAGTGTGTGCTTGCGGGTGCAGGGTTCGTGCAAGAGAGAGAGCGGAAGAAGAGAGGCTTGCAAATTTAATGCAGGGTCCAAAAATACCCGGCAACATTTCACTCGCCGCACAAGAGAGGTTTCGGTTACTTACCTACGACCAACGACGAACTCGTAGACGAGTACGTCGGAGAGGTGGAATTAATGGTGGTTCGGAGGCAACAACATAGTCAACGACGGATTCGGTTTTCGGACTGCGCAATTCGGGAAATAAAAAAACCCCTATTCACGTGACGCGTCTGAGCGATTAATAAGCATGAGCTCACCAACCAGCGGCCCTCGGAACCGGCTGATTCAGTGAGTTCCGTGAGCTGGCGGATGGTAGTTCGTGACCGCGATCAGGCACGGGTCGGTAAAGTTAAGGTTCACGGCCTTCGGTCTCTATTACCCCGTGTTTCTCTCACTTCTTATACCCCACAATCAGCGCACTGCACTGCCGACAGCATGAACAGCAGCCAAGTCTCCGCTTCCGCGCTCAGCACACTACCTCCTGTTGTGTCTGAAGAGCTGCAATCGCTCTCACGCAGTGGGGAGCTTGCAAATGTTATGGATCAACTTGACGAGGACGAGGAGTTCCTTGCCGACGTCGACTGGCCAGCAAGTCCACCACCGCCGCAAGGACCTCTTGTAACTAGTGCATCAGCGTCAACTCTTGTATCTAGTTCACAAGCACCTCAAGCAATACCAAACTGTTCGTTGTCACGCTCTGCTTCACCGTCTGGGTCTCAGGGTTCGACGCTCGCAGGCAATCCTCAGTGGGATCCTGTTTCGATGGAAATCCTTGCCAAGGCTGTGCTCAACCGCAATCCAAACCATGCTCCCAACAACAGTGCAAAGGCATCTGTGTGGGAGCCGATCTATCAAGAGTACAAGGCAGCATGTCGACGAAAACTTCTTCCTTTTCGTGAACTGTCTGCCACAAAGAAGAAATGGCGTGACATGGTAAAGAAGCGCCGAGGAGGAGATCAACTGAATGCTCGCTCCACTGGTGGTGTTGAAGCAACGTCAGTGACAGAGAAGCTTATTGACGACTTCATTGCCACAGAAGGCGTCAATACAGCTGCAGCCAGTCGATCTCTCCCAAGCACGCCAACACCAAGACGCCGACGCGGTTTTGTGGAACTACCGGTTGATCGCGATCGACAGCAGTTTGCTGAGATTGCTAGCAACACAGGTGGTGGAGACCCAGCAGCAAGGCCTTTGACAGCGCCAAGTGAAAGGGCTAGCCAGGAAGACTCGGCGACTTCTGAGTCAGGGGATGATAGGGTTGACATGCAGGCACGAAAGCGACCCAGGAACACCACAGCCGACGTGCTGTCTTCGATTGCTGAAGGCATGGAAATACACCGACAGCATGAACGTTCTTTCCGGGATAGACAGCTTCGATTCATGGAAGAATCACTCAAGGCTCAAATGGAGCTGTCGAAGGCACAGTTGAACATCGAAACACGTGGACAAACAGAGATTCAAACGAAGATGGAATCGTTGGACAATCGAATGCGAGCAAGCCAGGAACAGACCGACAGGTTGGAGTCAATGGTATCAACAATGATGAGCATGATACGATCAAACGCCGCTGCAGGGCCCTCATGTGGCCAGAGACATCGCCGCAGCTGTAGATCCCACTCCTCATCTCGTACAGGTGTATATAATGGTTTCGAACCCTCATCAGAACAGTGAATGTATATATCATTGCAATGCTATAGTACATTCTCCACAAGCGTCTCATCCTCGTTATCTGCCATAGCCTGTGATGGTACCTCGCTCTGAGACAGGGTGGAGTCCGGTGACACTATTGTTCGCCTTACCCGCCAGTTGCTGAAGTACTCTTCGAGGCTTGGTGGGGAACAGTGAAGCCTCATGCTCACTTGGTTGCCGACAAGGCAGGTTTTTGCATTGAAGAGCAAGACGCCGACAAGCCAATCTTGTCTCATCGGCGTCAACCCGGTCTTCTGCTCCCGTTCGACGGAGAAACGCGGCCATTGCCGGGGTATCATACCAATAGACCATTCAACCTGTATACGAAACTTGTTCATGATGTGATTGAATGCATCTTGCATTGAACTGATGATGTTTTCTCCAAATGCCGTGACAATCGCTGCTGAGTTGCCATATGCTTGGTCCCCGTACAGATACATCTGCTCACCGGCTTCGTTCTTGGCGTTGTCTCTAGCCCAGCCCACAAGATCTGTATCTGCAACAACGTATGCATCATGGCGTCGATCAACGTACGGCATTGAGCAAAAGATCAGACCGTTTGGCAGCGAGATGAACTGATACTTGAGAGCATGACATTGTTTGGGACCGTTATACACAGTCTCCTGCTGAGAAACAGGCATGGCAATTGGTCGAATAGTACCATTAATTGCACCCCAGAACCTCGGAAGCTTGAACTTCCGCTGCACGGCTGCAGCATACTCCTCAAGCTTCCGAGGACAAACAAGCCGGTGTCGCGTTGATTGAACGTCCAGTAGGTGACACCACCGCCGGTAGATCCACCTGCTAAGGTGTCGAACCACGCGGCTTATCACCGAGTGAGACCAACCATACTGGCCTTCCAGAGACCGGAGAGACCGGTTTCGAAAGAAGGCACACAGCAGGAAGAAGGAAGACTTGCTATCAACACAGTCTTGCTCGCGTGTTCGGACAGGATTTGGGATCTCCAATGCATCATGTATTGCTTCGAATTGTGCCAACGTGAAGCCTGTGTCGCCAAGGAAGTGCGACTGGTCAAGCTCTCGTTTGATCCTGCTGTAGCGGCGAGCCTTCAGGTTGGTTGGCGGCGCCCGCTGCGAGGCAGCAATTAGGGTTATGAAGTCAAAGTATTCACCGGAAAGTGTGTCATCGGTGTCCAACATCTGCATGATCGCGTCGAGAAGGTCCGTGTATCAGCGGAAACGGCAATACAACCGCAACATTAAGGTTCTTGAGACTGTGGGGTAAGAGAGATATGATGGTAGTACTACAACCACAGCACAGGTGGGACGAGAAACCACCTTCGGCTGGCTCATTTCTCACTATACTTTCACACCCACTCATCATTAGTAAGCAATATATGTTACATTCCTCTCAAAAACATGCTTGAAGAGCAGTTGGGCGTTGACTTTTCCAACGCCTGACTGCTAATAATGGAAAAGGGTCTTGGTCAGCGTCCACGGCCTCGGTCTTTGAGGTCCTTGCCGAGGCCGAGTCCGGCGTGGACGTTGCTACCGAAACCTCACTACTGTTGCCGTGCTACGTTATGCCAGCGACTGACTGTTGCTTGCTGCTATCCCGTGTCTGTCGTGCACGGTTACACAAGCACGACTTTCAAGCACTTTGCTAAACATGTCGATATGGTTCAAGGATGTCTTGGAACGATAAGGACACCTCACGCCAGGCGCCGAGATCCGTGCCATGAAGGAAATCGACGGGCTTGTTTCGTAAAGCCCCAGTAGTCTGCCGTAGACCTCTTCTGGCCTCTTCGTTCACTCGTAGCCTTCCTTCATCTTGATGAGCTTTGTGGCACTTTCCACGCCGGAGGAACTACGGATTAGCAGTTTGCAACGTCGAGCCTTATCTCCGTCGTATTGGTCGAAGTGCTTGGTTGATTAGCTCCGTGACATCTACTGTCAACTGAACCGCAGCGAAATGGACTCGCCCTCAAGCAGACGACGTCTTGTAGATGTTGAGAAAAATGTTCGTGAGACGATGCAGAAACACTGTAAGTGTGGTTCTGGTCCTTTCGACATGCAGATGGTAAGGGACACAATGCTGACTGCTCTATTCATGCTTTTACCGGGATGTGGGATTCAGTCAAACAAGCTGTTGTTCCCGGTGCCAACAGAAACGCCGCTGTCCCTCCCAAATAGAGCAGGGCCTCATTTGGGAAATCTCTTGCTCCCTACGCATATCGGTCCGGTTGCATATGCTCTATGATCGCTTTCGTTCCTCGTTGTCGTCAACAAGGTGGTAGAGTTGAAGGCTAGGATTGATGTAGCGGCTATGGTATGGCACGAGCCAGCTCACTTCTCCACAATCAACCAACAGATCGGCAACCAAAACACGCGTCCTTCAAGCCCATTCCTCAACATCGGCTACTCTTTCCTCTCATACATCGGTCAATTGGGCCTCACTAAATCGGGCTCAATTGTTGAATGACGTCAAACAATGCCCTTCCACGCGCACCCTTGACAGCTCTAAGAAGTTCTTCGAAGCTCGGTCATCCACAACCCGGCTTGGCTTCTGCGTAACCCTTCTCTCGTTGTCGTCACCACCCATCTTTCCTCTCCACACACTACCACCTTTCCACACCACCGCCGTCTACTCCTACATCCGCATCTCATCTTTCAATATGTCGAAACACATCGCACTCCCCGCCCTGACCGCCTCGATTCCGGCATTCTACCACTTCCTCGCACCCAAACCCGAAACCGTCCAAGGCCTGTTCCTCCCTGTCGGCTACGGTTATGTTGTATCATGCGTCGTTTCAGCTATCTGGGTAACCTTCTTGATGGGTGTGAAGGTCGGAAGTGCACGTAAAGCCGCTCAGATTCCTTATCCCTACGTCTACGCTGAAAAGGCAGTGGCGGAAAAGAACAGAGATGCTCATCTGTTCAAGTATGTTTTCCCACCCCACACACCTTTCCAGTATTCCTGCGAGAGACAAACACTGATGATATTGCTCTTTTACTGGCTGGGAAAACAGCTGCGCCCAGCGAGTGCACCAGAACACACTCGAATATCTCGCCTCGTTCGTCTTCCTCACCCTCCTCAACGGTCTCTTTTTCCCTCGTATCACCGCTTCTATCTCGGCGACATGGGTTGTCTCCAGGATTCCTTATGCGATCGGTTACTACTCGGGCACTCCAAGCAACAGAGCTTTCGGTGCGATTATAAGCGGGTTGAGCTTCCTTGGTACGTTCCCACCACCCCTCTCCTTCCTTGCTCCTATCTCGGTATCATGTTTGATGAGAAAAAGGACTGCTTCGCTGACATCGTGCCTTCTACACTTCTTGATATTCGGTTTGATGATGATGCCAGGTCTCTTGATCGTAGCGACGTATGCTTGCTTCACAGTTTTGGGCGCTGCTAACTTCGAGATCTAAACGTCGTCGCATGTTCAGCACGAACCACTTCCTCAACCTCCTTCAAAAGTCGTCAATAGCACTCCCATCATCTCAAATCATCTCAAATCATCCCGCACTTCATCAAAGTAGTTCAAGTCAATCAAAATTCGTCCAAGTCAAGTATCACTCTAGTGTGTGGTTTGCATGGGCAACTGAATTGTTCAATTAAACGAAAGCATAGGTGTTCTGTGGACAAAAAAAGGAGGGTGGGATTGTGGTTTCTACGTGCATAACCTTTCTCTGCCCTAAAAGAAGTACGAAATCAAAATCAAACCAGCACGACTCAACCAATGCTGAGTACGAGTTTACTGCTGCTGCGAGTAGATCTCAGCAGCCTTAGCAGCCGTAAGGTCGATGTCGATGACGGCAGGACCAGCAACAATGTTGTCATCGGCGATAGAGTCACCAACGCGCGAGACAACCGCGTAAATCCTGCCGTAACCAACAGCCTCAGGAACAGTGACCGTATTACCATCGCCAATCTGGGCGTAGTAAACCTGGAGACCAGCGAGGAAAGCAACGTACTGACCAGGCTGAACGCCGTCACCGTTGATGGTAACCTGCTTACCACCGCAAACGTCACCAGAGATGGTGGCGGCGGGGAAAGCCTTAACGGGAAGAGCGGGGTTCGTGGAAGGGCAGCTGGTGATGAGGGGAGCTGCGAGCGAGTAGGTCTGGTTGAAGTTGAGAGGAGTGCTGAGATCACGAGGGAAAGCGTCACCGAACTGGACGGAGGACTTGACCCAGGCTGTTGGAGCGAAACGAAGTCAGAACAGAAAGATGGGGGAGGAGAGGAGGGGTAAATGGAGTCAGTTAATTTGTGCATATCGTGCATATTTTTCCACAGAAATGTCTTACGACACTCTTTTGGCCATATCTTCGTCGTTTCTCGTCGTATTGACGTTCTGACAAATGATATGGATAGCGTAGGACCTGGGGATGATACTTGCCTTTATGTCGTGACTCCACGGTCAGGATTGATCCTGCTGCCGTCAATGTCGATGGGTTAGTGATGTTCTGGGCAGCACCAAGGTAAGCAGACTCGCCAATGCCCTCAAGAAGGACGGAAGTAGCGACGAAAGACTTGACGTCAGTAACACCGAAGTTGTAAGTGCACTCCTTGGTAGCCTGGTCGCCGAGAGCCTTGGTCAAGAAGTCAACGTGGGCCTTCTCGTGACCGCCGATCTCGATGAATCGCTGGCGAACCCAGTCGGGGTATCCGGCAGCTCGGAAAGCGGCGGCATCGTAAGTAGCAAGGGAGTCGCGGTAGAAGGCGTTCTCGAGGTGCTCAAGAGTGAGGGCGTAGTTGAGGATGACAGAGTCGATGTCGGCCTGGCCAGCAGCGGCACGCTTTTCAACAACGGGAGCAGCGGTGACGGCTGCGGCAGCGGCAGCTGCGAGGACGGCGTACTTGGTGAGCATTTTGAAAAGGAAGAGGTGGAAGTGTAGTGTACGGGTAGGGTAAGGAAGGTTAGATGAAGGATCGAGGCCGCTTATGGTGCTAAACGGGACTCTTTAAGTATCTTTCCAAAAAGTGAACGGCAGTGCTAAGGTAAGGGGGCGTTCGTATACTGTAAACACGGCAGAATGGGAGGGAAGAGAAGGAGGAGGAGGAGATTTACTAGTCGAGACACAACGGGACAAAGCTGCTCAGCAAAGCAAAGTCAAGCCTCCGCAGCGAGGACCCTCCGGCGATTGACCGCTGACTTCTCTTCCTCTCAAAGCATAGATGATCAAAACACATGACATTGGCCTTTCTTCATGCGAACCCTTTCCAGATGCCGGTCAATCTTTCCATCACCTTCCTACACTAATCTCTCTCTATCATGCTTGGACTCTTCCTCGCACAACTCGATTTGTCACCAGCAATCACAGTTCGGTATTAGCCTCGATGCTTCTCCGAGAATACAGCCTTCTTAACACAGCACCAAACCTGTCCAAGCAGAGGTTTACAGAGACCGTCCCGGAGCGGACGATGGAGGGCTCTAGCGCGCAATCAACAACTGAGATGAGATCAATGCGCGGGAGCTACAGTAACTGGGGCCTGTGCTAGGAGGAGGAAGACGTTGGCGAAGCATCTCTCGGCGACTCGATTATCAATGCATGTAGGGACAGCTGCCCGGATGTGCACCATCTCACTCTTTTTCTGCGTACCCAAGCACGGCGCCATCCGCCTGTCTCCGTCGGCCATCTAACGAAACTTTGCGGAAATGAAAAAAAAAAAAAAAAACGGAAGCCCAGTGCATGTGTTTTTTGCATATCAAGGAATGAAAGTAAGTTAGGCGCCTGCACTAAGATCAGCAAAGCCAGGCGTATGGCGAGATGGGCCTGCATTGATGACAAAAGAAGAAGACGAAAGAAGATAGAGCGGACTTTCGGATGGAGCAGGCGGAGTATCGAAAAGGAGCTTAGCCGAGCAGATCAACAAGAGAGAAAGGAAAGGACCAGGAATTAGACTTGGGCTCGAGAGGGAGAGAAGTTCGGTTCGATTCAGCAGTGATAGTGAAACGTGGATGCATTTGGCACTCATGCTGAATACAGCAGGGTTCCGTGAACATTGCAATTAGACGGCAGGGGAGGGGTTCCGTAGGAAGGGTAAACAAGGATCGCTGCTAGATGTCGATCAGCTGAGTTAGCAGAAATAGGAGGACAACGGTCGTCGTCTTCGAGGGGCCTTGCGGGATGTCAAAACATCACCTGAGTTTCAACGACGGATCAAGTCGAGCAAGAAGCTCACTTTCACTTTGCTTCCCCAAGCCGTCGCAAATGCATAGGCCGACAGCTAAACACCCCCACCAAACCTTTGAGTGCTTAAGCGAGGTCCCCACTTCGCTGTTTCCCCGTCCATGATCAGCTCGCACCGAGCATTTTCCTTCGAAGTGTTCTTTCCTCCTTTGTGACATGGATTCGCAGCCACGCTAACCGTGGGAGCCGGAAATACAATCATGCGCAAAACATGCCTGGCATTGTCTTGAGCTGTCCAACTAGGCCGATCAAGCTACAGTCTCTTCCGCAACCTCAATTTGGATGTGGCTTCGTCAGTCCAGGACACCTGCATGAGGCCTTGCCTGCTTGTGTGAGCATTGTGATGCGTATTTTCCGTGTGTGATGTTTGGCGACTCTGTCCGCCGGATCGCGCTCGAATCAAACTGTGCAAGCATAAATTTCCATTCCAAGATGCAAATGAAATTAATGCGCAAGTGGACACGAAATACTGTAAACAGCGGTTTGCATTGCAGCTTTACTCTTGCTTTTCTCTCGACGGCTTCATCTCTCGCCGACATCTGCGTCTGCGTTCCAAGCGAGGTGAAGACGGCACAGAGTCTAGTCAAAGATCATGTCATGTCTCGTCTTCGACGCTGCCCGACTATGTCATGGGAAAAAAGCAGACGAACAAGAATGCGAAGCGAGAAGGGCAAGAAATGTGTAAGCGAGCGGTGGTTGACGATCTCAGCTCTGAACAGCGGCTTAGCGAGCCAAAACGGGCCAGGCTCTCTCTGTGTTGTGAGGCAAAGCAAGGCGCGGGAAAGGACGGAGTTCAGCAAGCGACAGTACACACAAAATAGCAGCAGTCAACGGGACAGTTGGGTGGAATCACACTCCGACGCACGCACATCGCACCGAGATGGATCGACAGGCTGCTGCTCACTCTTGCTCGTCGAGGGAAGGTCAACGAGGAGGGGAGGGAAGACTGAGAGAATGCTCGCCCTGCGGAGCTAAAAGGTGGTGAGCTGCAAGTGTCCATTCACTGACAGCCCTCCAAGTCAAGAGAAGACGGATGAGGACGCACCCTTTTTCAGTTCTTCTTCAGGATTGCAAATCTTCCCTTTCCCCTTCCGCCTTAGCATTATCTGCTAGTTGTTGTTGGCTTTATAGTCTGTCTGCTTTGTAAACCCGCACAGATGGGCTCGGGGCAGAAAGCTGCTCTCCAATGCGTCCTTTCTATGCATGACGGCTGTATGCGGCCTTTTTCAACCAAAGACCATGGAAACAACATCACTGATATTTTGTACACTTCGATAGCATCAGGTCCTCGAATGTAACCAGCTCGAAACCTTCTCGTTGGACCTCATGAGCACAACGGATAGGAAGGGCAACTACATCAAAGCAAAATGACCAAATCAGGCCATTCTGGTGTCGATGGCTGCTGCTGCTGCTAACGACCCGCAAGACCTCGCTTAAGATCCAACGGCCTTCGATTTGTCGATATGTGGCGGATTTTAGCAAGGTCTTCCCAAAAACTGGCACTTGTACAGTGTCAGGCAAAGAAAATCAATGCAAAAAGAGAAAAAGAAAGAAAAAGAAAAAAAAGTGGCAAATTCTTTTTGACGTCTCTACCTCGGCTACGCCGGCGTCTGCTCTCCAATATTCCCCTCCTCTCCTCTTGAGTGTACAGAGAAAGTAGGTCACGCCATACTCCCAAGCAACAACGACAAAAGCAGATGATACACGACAAAGACACATTCCGGGAAACCGCTCGTACATACGCCTCAGCTGCTGACCGGACATGTCGTGACACGGATTGTCGTGGTTTAGATCTCGTCTTGATCGGAGCGGAGAGTGCCGCACGATTGCGGGGACAGCCATATTTTAATGCTCCCACCGGGAGCAACTTGGATGCGACTTGAACAGTTCTCATCGGTCGATTCCTCTCAGACCCTCATCTCGATCAAAGTCAAGCCAATGCAGCCAGACGCAGACACTCAAGCCAGAAGAATGATCGGGCATGTATCGTTGGCATTGCATAGTTGAACCCACACTACAATCCGACCCCCCTCAAGCAAGGTAGCGATACACACCACGCTGACCCTCCACCCTCTCCATGTACTCCTTCTCAATCAAGATCTCAAACACCTTCTTGATCTCTGCCACATCAACGGTAAACCTGCTCTTGATCTGATCTACCACCTCCGTGATCAGCTCAGAATGCTTAATCGTCTTGCGTGCCTTCAAAACACGCACCGCCGCAGCCTGCAGGATCAGCTCTCGGTCCAAGAACACACGTTGCTCGGTCGACTTCTGCTCTTCAGACGTCTCCTTGAGCTGAATCTGGTTGATGCGGATCCTGAGACGTTCGTTCTTGAAGTTATCGTTGAACATGAACTCGTCTTCGTCGTTAATGTCTTTGCCTTGCGGTAGCTTGCGCAGCACACGAGTCGGGATCTGACCACAAGCCAAGCTCTGCAGCGTCCGCTTGAGCTCTTGCTCGTTGAGACCGGTTTGCGTGCGGATGTCGACATAGCTAAGCTTCTGACCAGGTGCGAGCGTGTTGAACAAGATCAAGACTACACCTTGGAAAGTACTGACGTGAAGCTCCTTGGTGCCAGCCTTCTCGAATTGGGTGGTGATCGAGAGGGTGCCGAGCGAATGCTGCCAGTGCAGCCTACGACCGCTGTTGCGATTCTTGTAGAACCCTTCAAAGCGTTCAGCAGCGGCAGAGAGCTCAGCAGGCAAAGCCACCTCAATGTTCAGATACGTAGGCCAGTGAGCTTGAGTGAGAACGCTGACACTAAGGTCAAAGTCATCCTTGGGCGACTCTTCGTCCCTCCGCTGCTTGGCTGCAAAGCGGTCGTACTCGTCCATGAGATCCTTAGACACTTCAACATCCTTGATCATAGTCTCGAGCTTAGCAGTGAACTCAGGACCACACTCTTCCTTGAGCTTGAGCAGCATACTGCGCTCAGCATCCGACGAAGCAGAGCGATTGAGAAGCAAACGCTTGGCAAAGTGTCGCTTGTAGAACTCCTCGAACATGTCCTTGGCATGAGTGTAGCGGAAGAGGATAAGTGCTTCATCCAGAGTGAACTCGAGTTTCTGATCCGTCATGGTCTTGTTTCCACTGCGAAGCTTAGCATCGAGGAACTTGGCGATGAGCTCGGCAGGTTTGTTCTCGCGCTTGTTGACAAACACTTCGAAGCTGTCCTTCTGAGCATTGATAAAATCACCATCACGCTGGAAGCCGGTCGAAACGACAGCATCGATGAACGCCTTGAACTCGAGTAGACGCTCGATCATCTCTTCATCCTTCTCGCGGTCGTTGACGATGGAAGCACCGTGGGTTTTGATGTACTCGGCAAAGGCTTGGCGCAAGTCAGGAAGGCGGTCGATGCTCTTGATCAGCTGATAGGTCTTAGCTAGACGATCGAGCTTCTTGGCGGTGATGAGGTCAGGTAAGCCGGCCAAAATCTTGTCGGCGTGCTTTGTGACCAGGCGTCTGCGTGCAGCTGCTACGCTGTCCATACGGCCTTGTTCGGTGAGCAGGCACCATTCGCTGCGCTGCTCTTCCTGCTGAATGCGGCGATCTGCATACTCGACATAGTCCGTGGGAGATAGATTTCCGATCGAGGCCTTGGACTCGGCTTTGTAGAAAGCATTGGTCGCAGCTACAATGGCACTGTCGAGCACTGTCTCGAACTTGAGCTGACGGAACATGTCGGCGATAGATTTGTGTAATTCCCGGTAGGAGATCTCCTCTTTGCGCACCAGGTCGATGGCTGCGGCGATGCGGCTGAGAGTCATTTGAGCAAGGGTTTCGTCCTTCAGGATGCGGTGACCGAAGATGTCGAGACCGAGATCCCAGATGGACAAGCGAGAATGGTCGGAGTCAGTGCTTTGTCCGTTGGCCGCAGATGTAGGAACGCTCGTGGTGGTGCCAGCTTGAAGGAGGTGACGATCGAGTGGAAGGAGCACATCTCGCACCAAGGCCAGGCTCTCACACCAGTTGGACCAGATGGACTGAAGCTGGGTCAACCAGCTGATCTTGCTCGCAGCGGATCCTTCATCGGATGATGAGCCATTGAGAGAGGTGGTATAGCTACCAGCAGCTCGCTCGATTTCGATCTTGAGAGAGTCGTAGAGATCGTCGAGAGCATCTTCAGAAGAGTAGGCGACAAGGTTGTGCGTGATGGCGTAGAGAGATTGCAGAGGGGGCAAAGAGGATGGTGCGCTCGAGGAGCCGGACGAGTTGGAGGACAAGAGCATGCGCACCGAACGCACAAGCTGAGTAGTAGCCTGAGAAGCATAGTCGGGAGGTGGAAGCGTCTTCTGTGGATCAATCGATGAGATATTGACACGGGTTGACTTGTCGGTGGTAGCGTTGCTGGCTGTTCGGGTCGACTTGGCTAGGAAGGCAGTCAGTCCGCCATCGGAGGCGCCTTGAAGCGCTGAGCCACCATCGAAGAGCGCCGAGTTCGAAGCTTGAGCTCGTGAGAGCAACGCATCTGCCAGCGACATGGTTGCTGATACGAATGCGCCTGTAGATTGATGCTACCGTGGTAAGAAACGTTGTCGAGGTTGGTGTCTAGCACTGAACCCTGATGAGGAAGGCGCTCGAAATGTGACCTGTGCGAGGTGCCGAGTAAAAAACCGCGCTGGGCAGTCACTGTTTCGGCTTGTTCCGCTCCACTTTTTTTTTTTTTTTTTTTTTTTTTTTTTTTGGTTCACTCGACCGGCAGCGGAGAAGCGGAACAATGCAGTGGAGGTTCAGCCAAACAAACCCTTCTCAACCCAGTGAAGCGAATCGTCGGAGGTTCAAGTAAAAATGCATGACTGCTTAGTCATTTCGTGTCATCGCAAACCTCGCTCCACATCACCACCTGTCAACTCCCACCAATGCTCAATGCCACCCACCAACGCTATCCACCCCACACAATAACAACACACAGCCATACATGCCACATCATCCATTCGCACACACAGAAATCGACATAGAAGCATATATAGTTCATGATCTCACCTTGTACTTAGCTCCTAGAATACAATGATTTTGACCTCTCGCTATCTCGAACGCCCTGGATTTCTCAACAGTTCAGGCAAGCAAATCATTCTCAAACTGCTCTTGACAAAGGCGAGGAGGTAACATGGGGGATTATGTCAGCTTCGGTCAAGCAGAGTTGAGTCGAGTCCTTTTTTCCTCTCCCGTTCTTCTCCACAGTCACAGTCACATTGAGGAGGTGTGTGTCAGGGGTCTCGCGCCTGAAACCCAGGTCGGTCTGTCGAGATACTCGGTGACTATCAAACTGTGCGACAGCTATTGTCTCGGTATTGGTGACTATCAAGTTGTGCAGTGACAGCAGGTGGCGTTCGTTGTATACTGTCGTAGGTTTCGGCTGACCTCTGTGGACACTCCGTTCAGGGGTAGCTTGGCACGATCAATATCAATGCTATGATGACACCAAGGTCTGGTGTGAGTGTTGATGATGATGAGGTTGATGACGTTGGTGATAAGGTTGGTGGGTGTTGATGATAATGAGGTTGATGGTGTTGGTGATAAGGTTGGTGGAGTTGGTGATAAGGTTGGTGGCGTCAACACAAGTGTCCAGTGTGTTGACTGATGCTTGAGGTGATCCCTGGACTGCAGTGGACTACTGCCTTCAGTTCTATCTATATCTGGACTGCTAACCTGCTATGGGCGCCTTCGGACATCAGGTAGTGGTGATACAACACACACACTATGATGAGGAGCAACCTTGATAGATTGCTGCTATGCTGACTGAAACTAATGTATACTTATGCTGAAGTGATAACTAGTTATATGGTGAGTAGAGTGGATGAGGATCCACTTGACCTATGATGATGAGAAAGCATGGTTATATACCTCTTCACAGCATCACCAGTGATGCTGCTCCTGCTCTCTCTCCAGAGAGTACCTTCTTCATCGAGTGCTGTTCAGGGGCCTCTCCTGCTTGGCACCCCTGTGCCTCTTGAGCTGTGTTGACTCCTTCGACACTGCTCCTCCTCCTCATGACCTGGTGTCGACTCCTTCGACACTGCTCCTTCTCCTTTGATCAGTGACAGTTCCTTTGGCTCTTGTCTATCGAGCCCCTGAGTGGTAACCATCTGCATGCTCCTTGAGCTTGGTCCTCTTTGTGGCTGTGCCTGCTCCTTGAGCTTGGTCCTCTTCGTGGCTGTGCCTGCTCCTTGAGCTTGGTCCTCCTCGTGGCTGTGCTTGGCCCTCCTTTGCATGTGAGTCCGTAGGAGTCCATGGTCTCCATGGAGACTGCACTACGACCATGCTCTCTACTGGTATCGACTAGATCTTCGATACCTGTGCTCCTTCCATATGATACCTGTGCTCCCTCCATATGAACCCGTGACCCTCCTGCTTCTTGAGCATCCAGGCCCATGACAGTGTGTTTGACATGGTAGAGAGAAGAGGATACAAGGTGCAGAGTTTGATGGCAAACAAGTGGTACCTTCTGTGACCAGAGGAGGAGCATGATTGCAAGAGAGTGCCACTGTGGAAGCAAAGCAGTGCTGAAAGTGAATTTGATTGGCTTGGTTGGTTGCAAGAGGGATGCTATGGATGAATTTAAAGTGAAGCTGAGAGAAAGAAGATAAAGGTCAGGGAAGATGAGGGAAAGGAAGGGCAAATCTGGGATGTGGGAATGATCTGGGCCCCTTATATGTGCCATTAAAAGCCAGCAGTGAGCAAGTCTTGCCAAAGGGAGAGGGCATCGTTCCCTTTCCCAAGGGCAACACTGGTGCCATGCCAGGCTGAGCAAGGTTGATGCTTTCACCCAAGCTGTCCAGCTAGCCAGCCTGGATTACTCATCATTGGCTGAGGTGCCGAAGGGAAGAAGAGGAGGAGAGAAACTGAAGCTGAGCCATCCCATCATAGCCAAAGTCACCAATGTGACACTTGAGTTGCTGAGCTGTGTGGCCTTGGCTTGAGACATTGAACAAGAGGAGCAGAAGCAAGACAGATAAGCCGAACACTGACTGACTGCCTGCCTCACAAGGAGTAGTATGGAAAGGAACAAGAGGAGTGGAAGCAAGATGGATAGGCCAAACACTGACTGACTGACTGCCTGCCTGCCTGGCATGCATCCATGCATTCATGCGTCTGTGCCTGTGTTGCTTGATGTGACTTGGGAAAGAAACACACTGTCATGGGCCTGGATGCTCAAGAAGCAGGAGGGTCATGGGTTCATATGGAGGGAGCACAGGTATCATATGGAAGGAGCACAGGTATCGAAGATCTAGTCGATACCAGTAGAGAGCATGGTCGTAGTGCAGTCTCCATGGAGACCATGGACTCCTACGGACTCACATGCAAAGGAGGGCCAAGCACAGCCACGAGGAGGACCAAGCTCAAGGAGCAGGCACAGCCACGAAGAGGACCAAGCTCAAGGAGCAGGCACAGCCACAAAGAGGACCAAGCTCAAGGAGCATGCAGATGGTTACCACTCAGGGGCTCGATAGACAAGAGCCAAAGGAACTGTCACTGATCAAAGGAGAAGGAGCAGTGTCGAAGGAGTTGACACCAGGTCATGAGGAGGAGGAGCAGTGTCGAAGGAGTCAACACAGCTCAAGAGGCACAGGGGTGCCAAGCAGGAGAGGCCCCTGAACAGCACTCGATGAAGAAGGTACTCTCTGGAGAGAGAGCAGGAGCAGCATCACTGGTGATGCTGTGAAGAGGTATATAACCATGCTTTCTCATCATCATAGGTCAAGTGGATCCTCATCCACTCTACTCACCATATAACTAGTTATCACTTCAGCATAAGTATACATTAGTTTCAGTCAGCATAGCAGCAATCTATCAAGGTTGCTCCTCATCATAGTGTGTGTGTTGTATCACCACTACCTGATGTCCGAAGGCGCCCATAGCAGGTTAGCGGTCCAGATATAGATAGAACCAAAGGCAGTAGTCCACTGCGGTCCGGGGATCACCTCAAGCATCAGTCAACACACTGGACACTTGTGTTGACACCACCAACCTTATCACCAACTCCACCAACCTTATCACCAACACCATCAACCTCATTATCATCAACACCCACCAACCTTATCACCAACGTCATCAACCTCATCATCATCAACACTCACACCAGACCTTGGTGTCATCATAGCATTGATATTGATCATGCCAAGCTACCCCTGAACAGAGTGTCCACAGAGGTCAGCCGAAACCTACGACAGTATATACAACAAATGCCACCTGCTGTCACTGCGCAACTTGATAGTCACTGATACTGAGACAATAGCTGTTGCACAGTTTGATAGTCACCAAGTATCTCGACAGACCAACCTGGGTTTCAGGCGCGAGACCCCTGACATTAGAGTGGATCATTCAAGCAGCTCCTCACGATCACCATGATGGACCCAGACCTCAACAATAAGCTCGATAGACTACTCACTCTATTGGAAGCCCAGCTAGAGCTTACCAGACAGGGTCATCGAGAGGAACGATTACAATGAGCTCAACTGAGCAGGGAGGAGACAATGGACCTCTCTCACTCAGAAGACCAAGCAGGAGGAGGAGATGAGTCTATGATAGGAGACCCACATACTCCTACTCCAGCTCCACAACCAAGATGATCAGTCTCATTCAACCTGGATGAGCAGGAGGACATCAACTACGAGAAGTATGCTTCACCTACTGGGCCAAGATATGTCAAGACTAAGCTGGACCCCTACAGCAGGACCAGGACAGACCCTTACCCCCTGGACCAAGAGGAGGACTCTAGCATCATGGCAGAGCTTAACCGGTCAAAGCCCATTGCCACCCCCTTTCCAAAGTTCAATCCCCAAGACATGGAGATCTTCATTCTAGAAGCTGAAGCATGGTTTAAGTTCAACCAGGTGTATGAGCAGACTAGGATGATCAACCACATGGGTGCTCAACTAGAAGGGACAGCAAGAGAGTGGTGGACCTCCAAGCTCCATATTGATAGAGCTAGAGAAGGAAGGTTGTTCAATGATTGGCACTACTTCACAGAGTGACTGTCAGAGCAGTTCAACCCATGCAATGCTTGGATGGAGGCATACAACAAGCTGTTGGCTCTCAGGCTCACAAGTGATGCTCCTGGTGCCGCCACACATCATGTAGAGCAGTTCAGAGACTTGGAGGGACAGGTCAACCTAGATGACAATGAGCTAGTGATTGATCTCTTCAGAGGTAGTCTCACTCATAGCATACAGGAGAAGTTCGAGAGGAATCCACCTGGAAAGAGATGGGAGTGGTACCGAGAGGTTGAGGAGATCGATCGACAGAGGATGCTACTACAGCAGTCCTTGGCTAGACACTCACTCCCAAATGCCACGTCACCTCCACTAAGAACTGGGTCTTGGCCAAATCAAAGTTCGATCCCCATCCGTCAACCCACTCAACCTTATCCAGCTCGATCACCAGCACAAGCAACTACACAAAACCTAAACCGACCCCTTCCTCATCAACCCACCCAAACCTTGAAGCAAGTAAGCCCTGCTCCATCAGGTATCAACACCTG